GTCACTGTATCATTGAATAACTTCTAGTTTATTAATCTGACCCCAGTATACCACATAGTGGCGTAACCAGAGGGGGGCCAAGGGGGGGGGGGGGGGGGGGGGGGGGGGGGGGGGGGGGGGGGGGGGGGGGGGGGGGGGGGGGGGGGGGGGGGGGGGGGGGGGGGGGGGGGGGGGGGGGGGGGGGGGGGGGGGGGGNCTTATCCCCCCCTACAATTTTTTTCTGGTTACGCCCCTACTACCACACTGAGAATTAGGGGTGGTACATTTACGTTAATTTAAAAATAACATTAACCAAAAGCGTTAACCGTTAATATTAACGAATTAATGGTTAACGCTTTTAGTTAATTAACGCCGCTAATTCAGCTCGCATTAAATTAGATGGTCCACCCCTACTGAGACTTAACATGAAAATGATGTTTTGTATCAGTTCACTACTCTAACGAACGATTTTTGATGATTGAATGATAACTGTTTTCATATGAGAAGCCGTAAACATGGTTCTGACATGACACGAAGAAGCATAAAAATGCTTGAGCAATGATTACATTGAAAATGAAGGAGATTCATGAGGGAGTGATTACAGCGGCAAACACTACATCAATCATCATCCAAAGTTCAGTGGTACAATAGAGTAACTGAAGAAGCGAAAAGATGAGCCAAGTGCAAACATGGAATAAAATGAGAACTTGATATTCAAATCTCTCAACAAAAATATCCTATTGATGTGGTCTGTCTTAACTTTTATTTTGAAATCATGTTAAAAATGAAACCATATAAAAAAATTACAACCAACAATTGGATATTGTTCATTTTGTTCTCAGACTGACTTCTCCAGTATGAACTAGTAGTTAATAATTTACTGGTCATGATGTTGCCATAAAACTATGTAAATATGTCGTACTCTTCAAATTGATTTTTATCTCTATTGATCTTCATATCCTCTCAGTTGAGAGAAAACAATGTTTTCATCTTCATACATTATATAGTATATCCAACGTTCAACTGGAAATTCAAGCTTATTCATGTAGTTTTTCAAGTAGCATTATAACGAAAATATTATTTACTACTCGGCTATGTCAACCTAGTTGCAGCAAATTTATTTTAGCTTATCACTTGTTAAGTTTCAATAGAACAAAATAACAAAAAAAATGATTTTTACAGCAATAGTTTATTTTATGTTTTCAAAATTAATGATGACTGCTCCAGCGAAAAGCTTTATATTCAAATCGAGTAACTGCTGTGAAAAAAAATATTGAAAGTTTGAAAAGTTTCGTTTTTCTTTATGAAATCTATTCTCAGGATTGATCCTTGTCACTATCTCATCTCGATGTCACAATGGGAATGCAAGAAGAAAACCAATCGTACATTTACTTGCAATACACCGTACTAGCCATATTCTTGTTTTGATCATTGAATTTGCATCGTATTAGTGCAGTGATGAAAACATTCTACGATCCAAGTAGGAAAAAATTGTTGACTTTGAATAAATACAGTATGTCGAACATTTGTTTTTTGAACTTTTGTTCTTGACGTGTCTCGCAATCGATGATGTTCATTTAACAGAAAAAGAACAAATATTTTACAGAATCCTATAGTATAGCTATATGCAGTGCTTTCACATTTCAATCCGGTCAGAGAGACATGGCAGTTTTCGTAATAATGTATTCAACACTAATGGCAATGGAAATTCTCTGGATTGTTATCACAAAAGAAAAACTCGAGCTTGCGGTAACTTTATAAAAACTAAATTTCTTGTGGTAACAACGCTCAAAGCTCACATACACAAAAAAGTTCAGTGCTTCTTCCCTCTTTCTATACAATTATTGTAAAATTTGAGTTGTCCGGCGGTTGGACCATACAACGATTTAATTGTCAACATGACTTTTTCGAATTTCCCTTGCAACTAATTCTAAGATTTGAAATATTCTCTCACAGCTAACAAGTCTTGCATAGATATAAAATCTAAATCAGCCGACTTTTAATCGGTCGTTTCTAAAGAGTCGCTTCTAACAATCTTGCAAGTTCCTATTCTAGTATTGATTTAGTCGATAGAACTAAATCTAAATTACTACTTGTTTCAAATCAATCGTTCAAACATTCTGAAAATATATGCAGAAAAAAAGATCAAACCATAACAAAAGCTTTTACTAGACATCGAATTGACTTGAAGGCTTGTGACTACGAACATCTGTTTTTTGTCTTTTTCTTGTCATACTTTTCTTCAGTGAAACCAGAGCTGGGCAAGTCAGAGATTTTCCAAGTCACAAGTCAAGTCAAGTCAAGTCTGACTTGACTTGACTTGACCAGCTCTGTATAGCACTTATCGATTGTTACAGTGCCGCGTGCAGAACAGATAAGAAAGAAAAGAACACTAATTGTTACACGATAAGTGTAATTGGATTCCAATTGTACTTATCTTGCAACAATTGATGTTCTTTTCTTTTGTTGTTCTGTGCGCATTATATTTACATAGATAAATAAATTTTCTCTTTTATTGTTTCCTGACCGTGGTGTATTCTCACTCAACATTAAAAAAATCACACAATCAAAGATCAGAAAATTTAAAATTTAAAAATCTGGAAAATTCATAGAAAACAGTAAATTCGTCCAAAAATAGAAAATTGCTTTTTTTTATTATGTCAAGTCAAGACTTGACTTGGCTGGCTTGACTTGACTTGACTGACTTGACTTGCTCAGCTCTGAGTGAAACATTCATTTATTTATTTATTTATTCTTCTAAATAGGTAAATCAAAAGCATGATGCTGCACTTTGATAGTATTTGATTGAATTATAGTTAGAGATGAGATACTATTCTTATCTGATATGTTCAATATCTGTGGTTTCAGTTGAAATTATGCTAATACATGTAATCAAACTTTTTATACTAAGCATGAAAAAATTCGATGAAGACAACGAAAGGCTTTAATTTATGCGATAAATAGACTTTGTTTAAAAAGTTTTCATTGAAATAGATTGAGGCAAAAATTGATACCAATTAATTATAGAAATTAAAAAAGGTTCTTTTTCCAATATTTAGCAATACTTTAATGGAAATTTACAGATCTAGATGCAATAAATGTATCAACTTTATTCAGTATTTTTCTTTTTGATATATCAAGTTCTCGTAATGATTCTTGTAATAGTAGGTCCGTACAGTGTCGTACGAACATCAGAGAATAGACAAGCAAAATCATGCTGTAATTTGCCGACATCTATTCCTTGTGCATATGGAAACTCATTCATATGAACGTCATATTTTCAATTGCTTAAAATGCATCACCATTACTGAGTTAAATCACACTGCACTATCTATCATATTTACACATTATTTTTCTGTCTTGTTTTAATTGAATTATACGTAATAAAAATAACTCAAAAAAAGAAGAAACATTCCATAACGTCAATTCTTTATTATATTTTATGACATATTCAATAAGAATTACAAATGCTTTGATATCTACAAGCAATCACTAAACATGGCTGTGGTTAAGTGTTTTTATTAGCACACAAACAAATATTCAACATCATCAATAGCTTATTGTATGTTTGCGTCACATCACATAGTTACTATTTGTACTAAAATTTCATTCATTCACATTCCTCTTGCCAACTCTTTTGGAATATAGCTCGTCAGAAAATTTTAAAATTTTCACGAATAGAATTAAAAATACCGTACCCTAAAAGTATTTCTGCCTGTTTCTATCTAGAAAATACTAGAGTTTCACAGACCGAAGATGAACTCCCTGATTGCACCGCTCTGTCAGCTACAATACGTCTAATCAAGAGTTGAAATTTATTTTTGATGGATAATATACTCATTCGGATATATGGCCTCTGTTTTTCTCTAATTCAAGTCAAATGAATGAAACAAATTACTCGGCATAGTTTTTCGCTCTCGATTGCATGTTCATCTAATTCGAGTTTTTCTTTCCTCGAAAATTATAATAGATCCCAGTAGATCGTTCTTTTTTAAAACAATTAAAAGGAAGCCATCATAAACGCTTTCTAATGTTTAGTTCTATTGGATGTGTTGTGATTGATCAACGAGGAAGAATGTCTATATTTTTTGCTGCAAAATCATTTTTCAAAACTAAATAATATAATCTCTAATTTAATCCTTTGCAACAAAATTCGTTCATATTATCTAAATTCCACAATTATACATTCATGTATTACGTATACGCAACAACTAATTTCTATTTTAAGCAGTCAGATTATTAAAAAACAATGAAAAGTCGAAAAATTTTAGATAGAGACACAAGAAGCATCCTTTTCAGAGCCCGAATTTCGAACGTGACGCCATTTTTACTGATAAAATAATTTCATTCTTAGTTATACAACTAAATGAAACTTGTTTTTTTGTTTTGAATGGTATCTATTTGCACCGTAAACTCAGTGAAGTACCGAGTAAGTCACGAAAGAGTAATATCATCGTGAATATATGAAAAACAAAAACCATGGATTTAAGATATTATAAAAATCAGTCAGATAAAAACAAAATGATTAATGTGTTTTTGTTTTCTATTCTTATTGCTTTCATATCTATCCTTATAATTCTTCCGAGTTCGAATGTTAAGATTAGTTGGCCTTATCTTAATGATTAAATTAAAGAATGTAAAAAAAGGACCAAAATGTAGAAAACTTTATACTGCCAATGTTATTTATATCAGTAAGAAAACTATATATATATATATGAGTAGAAATAGTTTCACTTAATATAATTTCGATAAAATGATAATCGTAATTTATTTTAAATACATGTATACCTTAACAAAGAAATAAAACGAAACGTTGATTGGTATTCTGTCATCTGTATGCACCTGGGGTATATATTTACTTTTCTGTTCTCTTTCATTTTTTTTTATTTAACCTACGAAAAAAAGAGATCATATCATTCATTCATTTTCATATACATTTTTTGCTCCGCCTATACGTGATTATTATCATATAAAAATTTTTATTTGATAATAACGAATTCTATTATATAAAATTTATTAAGATGAACCAAAATCTTAAAAATGGTACTTCAAAAGCTTCAACATCCAGTCAACGGCGAACGCAAAGTGTCGATGGATATTCATTGCCTAATTTAAACAATGAATTCTATGGAATTGATGCTATGCACAGTAATGGAATATCAAGTAATGGTAATCATGAAATGATGAAGGAAAGCGATGATGATTCTGAATGTGTACCATTGCCAAGAACAAATAGTCGACCGACAGAAAAAAAATACTGGTTAGTATTTTTTTTCTTCTTTTCATATTACTTATTAATAGTGTTTGTCGACAAGGTAGATTCAATAATAGATTTAATTTTAATGAACAATAAATAAATAAACATTTTTATATTGTTCTATCACCTATGCTTATGTAGGCTAGGTGTTGACTAATCAATGTATCTAATAGTCACATCAGTATCATTTAATGAGCAAAATGAAATGTTTCGTTTGAAATCATGATAATATTTTTCTCATGAATGATCGAAGCAATTTGTTTCGATTTCAGGAGATTCTAAAAGTAGCTCTGGTAAAATTAATCAAAGAAAAAAATCTTACGCTAATTCTACGAACGAAATAATCCATTATATTTCTATTAATTTATCAGGCGTGCTCGTTCTGTCTTTGCTCCATCACCAAAATGTAATTTTGGACCAAAAGGCACACTTAAAAAAATTAAAAATGATCAAGAACTTATGTTAGTATGAATGTGTTTATTCTTATAAATACTTATTCTATGCAGTGTTTTCATTGCGTAAATAGTATTATTCAAGATCCATGTACTCAACGTCTTCATTGGATTTCACCGCCTAATAATATTCTTGTTATTCGTAAGCCAGGTCAATCGACTGTGGTAGAATTTCGAATTCTTGTTGTGAAGCTTCTTAAAGTAAGTAAATTATACTATACGATGCTATTGGTAGGATTGAAATGTAGCAAGAGAAAACCTATGAAAATTCATGTGAAATATTTTAAGGAAAATTAATCTGATGCATTTTCTAGTACTTTTTTTTGTTCTATCTTAAAATTAATGTTTCATAATAGGAGCAACCGACGGATAGTCCATTTTTTAAATGCAACTCATAGTTCATCATGCTATCCATAAAGGATATTGATATATAAAATCAAGTGAATGGCATTTATTTAAATGCTTGATGTTTTTCTTTTAGCGTCGTCTAAATGTGTTTGTTGAAACTGCCGATCGTACACAATTACAAATTACTACAGATTCTGATTTACAAGAAAATATTGAACGATGTATTCCGTTGGATAAAAGTGTTTGAAATCAATTGTTTTGTGGAATTTTTGTTTATCTATTTTTATTTTGTTAATTTTTATTTTAGAAAAAGATTTATGTAAGATCGATTTAGTTATTTGTTTGGGTGGTGATGGTACTCTATTGCATGCTTCGAGTTTATTTCAAAAAAGTTGTCCACCTGTTTTGTCATTTTCTATGGGCTCATTGGGATTTTTAACACCATTTGATTTCAAATTTCATGAAAACATTTTAAATGAAGTTTTATCTGGCAAAGTAGCTGTTCTATTACGAACACGTTTAAATTGTACAATTATTAAAGAAGGTTCAGACAATGTGCTTACATCAAACGCATCAGATAATTCTGCACGAACCAATGAAACCAATACATCAAATAATGTTGGTGGTATGTATCATCTAGCATTAAATGAAGTTGTTATTGATCGAGGGCCAAATTCATATTTGTCAAATCTTGATTTATATATTAATGATAAATTTATTACCAAAGTGCAAGGTGATGGTAAGTGAACTACGAATGATTTTCTAGTTTCGTAGAAAACGAAAACTTTCGCTTAATACGACTTCATCGAATCTTTTGTTTATTCGGATTATGCCCACCGTGAATGCGTAGAATGATTCTCAAAATTGATCGTAAATACTTCAGACAAATAGAGAAGTAAGTTTTACAATGGATTTTGTGATAACATATATTATCAGAAAGATATGCTTGCATTGTGAAAGTGAGAAAAACTGCTCCCAAACACACTACGAAACACTTTCTATCTGGTCACACTAAGATATAAAATGTCTAATAATTGTTAAACTTGTATCTATATTTCTATGAAGTATTTCGATCAGTTTTGAAGTACCACTGTACATAGAACATGTAAAAATTATCATGCCAATATGCTCAACGATTCGTGTATACCATCAAATCTCATTTAACTTCATTATAGAATAATAATAATGTTCTATTATAGGTTTGATTCTGTCAACTCCTACTGGTTCTACAGCTTACGCAATGGCTGGTATGTTTCTGTTGTTGTGTTTTTAATCTTGAAGATTCATTGGAGAATTATAGCTGGTGCTTCAATGGTTCATCCGAATGTTCCTGCTATGGTGATCTGTCCTATATGCCCACATTCATTATCTTTTCGTCCGATTGTCGTTCCAGCTGGCATTGAACTTACCGTAAAAGTAGCTCAAGATTCTCGTCTAACTGCATGGCTTTCAGTGGATGGAAGAAATCAACATGAACTACATCAATACGACAGGTAAATTATTGATCTATATCAATAACTGCCATATTTTCTATTAAGCATCACACTTAAGTGACAGTTTCTTTTTTATCTAGTGTCAAAATAACAACAAGTGTTTATCCCGTACCATGTATATGTCGATTTGATCAAGTAGGTGATTGGTTTCAATCATTGGCTGATATACTTCATTGGAATATACGTAAACCACAATTAAATCTTGATACAGACCAAGAAATTCAACGTGATGAACAGATACAAGCGCAAGATGATGAAAAAATATTGAATAAAAATAAACAAATTTCTCCTATCTCAAATGGCGAGTCATCAACAAATGAACTCTCGTGATTTATAAAAATAATACCATACAAAAAATGGTTATTAATGTACTAAAACAATATTTTGTATCTGTAATGTTATTCATTCTTATGGTGAATTTTTTTGTCACTCTTTTTCCACTTTTATTTTCATTACAAAAGAAAATAATAATAAATATCATTTATTAAAATAGTTATGAATAGATATTTGCCCAGGCAAATTTATATAATCAATCATTGCAAATATAAGTACTTGAAAATACAATGGCATTTGTAAAATGACTGAAGTATCACATGGATTTATTACAAAAAGAAAAATCGATTCATGAAAACAAGTATTATAAAGCAACAACAGAAAAGGCCTCAAGATGAAAGTTATTACGCATTAAGAAATAAGAAATTGTACTGTCAAATGTTTAATAGAAGCTTGTTTTTGTTCCCACATACAAATATTTTCAGGTTATGCAGTAGTGAAGATTATCGATATTTTTAATTTTTTTAAATCACATACTCGTAAAAGTAGATTTATTACGATATTCAAATTTTTCTCGTGATCTATTTTATGATAAAATAGGATTTTAGATTAAAAATTGTTTGCTTCCAATTAATGAAATAAGTTTCTATCGGGTCTTTGATGTTTTGCTTTTATGTTGATAAATTTGATTTTTAATCACTTCTGTTTTAGTCATAAAGCATATAAGTATGAGAGATTTGATCTTTTTAAATCGTTGGCAATTGAAATTTGAGAAGATGCACTTTTATCAATTATGTAATGGTCAATAAATTGCTATTACTATTTTTTTAAATTTTCTATCAAATTTATTATCTTTCAGTTTTAAAAAACATTTTTTCGAATTCGAATAGAACAAAAATGCAATCAAACGATTGTTGAGGGCATAGAGATCTTTAAGAAAAATACTTGAATGATTAATCGAAAAAAAATAAACCATAATATGATTATAATGCATTTTCTCCCGTGCGTTGAAATAAATTCACCATGTTTTACAGTTTGTCTGTTTAACGAAATAATTATAAGAAGAAAAAAATCATAATCTTTGCAATTTCATAAAACTAGTTGATTTTCTTTTCTAAGCACAAAAGGTAACTTGCATCGCATAATAATATATGAACTAGCGAATGTTAAATACAATTTTGTTAAACACGTCTTCTATAATTAATTCATTGTCAACATCTTTTATTCATCAAAAAATCTTAATAAATAATCCATATCAGTCCGTTCGAATAAAGCAAGATAATCAGTACAATTGTTTTTAAGAGAAATGTCATTCTAACCAGAGACGTTGAAAAATGTGCTTTTTCTGACACGCTCTGTTTGAGAACCAAAGAAAATTTATCGCGAATGTTCTATCAGTTTTTTGCTCCAATCTAAGACCTAGCACATTTTTCATTGGCAAAATATTTGATTACTAATTAGATTTATTTTATATTCACGCTTGCATTTTTTTTCAATTGTATATGAAACTAAGATCTTTCAATTAAAATATTCATTGATAAAATGCTAGATACAACTTCGACTAAAATAATAATTACGATAAATGCGTGTAAAAAGCCGAGCAGGAACTACATTAGAGATGTAATTTATTTTTGTTTGATGCATTCAGTGTGAACTAATGATTTATTATTCAATAAACTTTATTTTATGTAGCGATTTTATTTGTTCTATATTATAATTAAGACATGACTGAAGATACTTGTCTAGAATAAAAAGATAGTTGATAAAATCTTCAATAATTGAAACGATGAACGGCACGTTTAAGTGAAAAATTATTTATTAGAAACAGAACTCATATTTTATTTTTATTTTGGAATATGATCAATGATGTTCTATTTAAATTAATCAGGACAGTTTTTTCGTTTATTTTCTCTATGTTCTTGTTTTTTTGATAGTTGAATAAAAAACAACGGGAAAGACAGGGGGTGCGATTGAATGTCAAGAAGAATTGCATCTACACTCACACCGATCCTCTATCGATAATAGTAATCGAACTAGTAAGATTGTTTTTCAAAGAGAGTACTCCAACAGAGTGAGTGCTTCAATATTAAGATAGACTTTCAGTGTTGCTACTCACATTATTACATTTTTAACATTAAAAAAGGAGCTATCCCAACTGCAACCTGAAGTCTTGAGTTTATCACAAGAGACGGCTTCAATAAGACTATAAATGTCTAAGAGAACCCATTCTCATATCTCTTTAGAGCCTATCTATGGCTGTTTTACTGAATTTTTGATCCGTTCTAATGGTTTTAATGAAAAACCAAATTACTATCGATTTTACCTAAAACATTTCCCCATAAATGAATCATCGGACTTTTTTTTTTCAGTCTTATTATGACGTCCTTGTGACTCTAATATAAAACCCAACGTTGTTTTACTATTGGGATAGTTTCCTCGTAAGTATCCTTTTAGGTTTTGAATTCAAGTAATGTCTAATTTAATAGTATCTTACCGATGTATTTGATTGTATCAATTGGCAAGAATACAGAAAAAGTTAATTTCTACTATAACATAAAAATGTGGAAACTTCGGATTTCATCCGAGAGTTATGTGTACTGCAAACAGTGCATGGGACATATGAGTCATGCTAGAATGTCTGAACACCAAAATTATTATGAGAAACTTGGCAATTTTATTTCTGGATGCAGTTTTTGTGCATTTTGAGACGTTTTTCAAACGATGTTTCGTTAGAAAGCTACGATTTAATTAGTTCAAAACTAATATCAGATTCGGAATCAGCGTTAAAAACTGAGCCGATTTATATATGTTGTGAATAATTCTGAGAAAAATTTGTTTTTTGAAAAAAATCCCTGTCTCCCCTCCTCAGGGATGGTCTGGTCAAAAATGACAATTTTTTCGATAACTCAGCCATTACTTGACGGATCCTTCTCATCTTCGAATTCGACCGAGATATTCATGAGATTGAACTGTGTGGAAAATTTCATCACGATCTGACTCTCCTTTCGAAAGTTATCGTGCCTACGGACGACCGGACACACTGGCCGATACTAGAGTGTACTCACTTTTTGAGTACACAATATTTTTGTTCACATTCTCTTTTATTAGTTTCAATAGAAAAAAAAATTAAAAGACTACACCTAAGTTATTACGAATGAAAAATGTTATTTTATTTCTAGAAAAGATACTCTATTTAATATGTATCAATGGTGTTATTATTGTACCAACCCAGTGTGTGTAAATAAATATTGTCAGTTGTAGTGAGCATACATCAAAAAGAGATGAAAGTATATATGGTAATTGAACGAGTAATAAAAGACATGTGACAACAAATAATAGGCCAGACTTAAGTGGCTGTTCAATACAATGTTTTGTTTGTATTGATGATGAACAACTTAATGGAGATGATGAAAATTCATCAAATAGAGGAAAAGTTTCATGTTGATCAGCTTTACATGATAATGATCGATTGAATTTTTTCGATAATGGCTTTGAAATTGAAGATATACATGTCTGAAAGAATAAACAAAAAAAGATAATTACTTTTCTTGCTTCATTTTATATTTACATTAAATTTCTTCGTTTTATTGTCGGATTGTTCTAGTTGAAAATTAAATACAGTTTCAATAAGACTTTTTAATTCTATCATATCTTGATGGTGTTCATCAATATTTTGATTACGATCAATATTTTTCTTATATTTTCTATAATAATAATTATTTATTAAGGGCCAACAAATATGAATGCTACTTAATGCAAATGAAATAATTAATGGAATGGCATACATGCCAAAATAAACCATCGGAAATATCCACCAAGGTACATTCAACGTTAATTTTCGATAAGGTAAATAATCGATTTCATCATGTAGAGAACTCAACCATAATAATGGTGAGTATGTAATTATTGGTGCTAGCCATATAAAACAAATAAATATACGTTGAAACGATCGGATAGTTATTAATAATAGAATAGAATAAAGTTGAACAGCATCAACAATGTGAAAAGCAAATGACCATAGACGCCATGACATTGAGTCCGGTGGCCATATTGTACGAAAATAAAAACATGGAATAAGCCATAATGATACAATTAATGATGATAAAGATGAACTAATTAGTATTAAACGAACGGATTGAATTTGTTTATTATGTTTACGTATAATTAAATAAACTATATGGGATATATTTACAAAAAATATTAATAGAAGAAGTAGAATAATTAAATAGAATTCAGTAGAGATTCTTTTCATATCTAAAAATATTCGAAAAAATTTGTTTTTGTCTCGTATTTTTTATGATAAAACGTATTACTTAGTTTTATACATCAACGAATACATCTGTTCTTGATCGATATCATCATGTCTGTTCATCTTGATATGTCTATGATCTGTACACGATAGTATAGTACATTTTATTCAGTTAACCTTTTTCTTCTTATACGTATGATAGAAACTCTAATACGCATAAGATAAGATAATCATATCATTATGTTATGAAATATTGATTCTATGATTAAACAATTACATTCAATCATTTTAAAAATATACCTAATAAGAAAAGATAAAATCATTATCTGTTGTTTATGTAATCCGAGAGACGAACTCATTTTTTATATTCAATGTCATGTCAGATTCATATAAACCATCGTGATTGACGTCTACCTTCTATTTCTTTGAAAATTGATTAGATTTGATTGTTCTTTTTATAGGAAAAGAAAAGTTCTGTAAGATATTTATCTTTATACGTGATGTAATATTGACGCAATATGAATGTGTATCGGTAGATTGATTAGTGCAAGAAAACTGGTTAATCTGAATGAATATAAAAAAAGGTTAAGAAATAATCTATCAATAAAAAGGTGTATTGAATTTCTTGGGATTGAAAAAGATTTACTTTTTATTTAAATTAGATACTTTTCCTTTAGCATTTATCTATGCAATCATTTTGCCTCATTACAAACGACGAAAAGTTTACTTATATTTTACATTTTGTACATTTCATTAGAGCAAACAATCACTATGAATAGCAATAGTGATCGAGAAAAAATGTATCTTTTGTAATCTAAAAATTAATTTCAACGAATTATGAAATCAATCATTTTGTTTTGATGATTAAATTCAACAGTCTAAAGGCATAATTCATAAAAATTGTACACAAATTGTTAATTGTACAATTATTTCTTTTGAAAATTCATTTGTGATTGTATTCATTGATAGAACTGAACTAATCAGTATCAGGCGATATATCAATATAGTCGAATTACTATCTTCTGTAGCCATAAAATAAAATTCTATATTTAATATAGAGACAAATATCATAAGAAAATTAGAAGGGAACTCATTGTTGAGAGATCTTCCATTATCAAGATGTAATAAAACTTGTTGACTTAACATGCATATTTGATCGAGTGAGCTGTCATTTCATCGAAATATGTTTCTTCTAGGATTCTTGTTTCGCGAAAAATGAAAATGGTATGGGAAGTAGAGTACATTATTCTTCTCAAATGTTTCTTTTTTTATTGATAAGAATTGAAGATAGGATAATAATTCTAAATAAGTGTTCTCCAAAACAAAACTTCGAGAAACAGTGTTAGCTAAGCATAAAGATATCCGCAGTCCACCCTAAGAAATGAGAATTCAGCGTTTGATTGAATACAAATTGTGCCACGTTAAAGGCGTACTTTCATAAAGATATTATCTCATTATGATATTTCGTTGAAAAATTAAACCATTCTCTTTTCATCAATACTGATAATTTTCAAAAGTTGATATTAACATTTGTCGAATCTCTTTTGTAGCGATGTCACCACACCATAAGCAAACTAGCTGTCGACACCATGCTAAAACCTTTAGATAAAAAGTCACTACCTCCATCAGTCCAGATAGAAAATATGCAACATTAATTGTGCTCAGATAAAAAAGCATCCAGCTAATGATGATGCATCACTTCTTCTTTTTCTTTTTTCTTTAGTTTCTATATTATGTGAAATTAAGCTGATATACATAACCGTAGGGTCTTTTATCATCATTTGTGGTATGTAGCTTTTGACGATGCAAAGATAACGGCACGTATAAAACCGCTGACATTTATTTTTCTTTTTTTTATTCATTTCATTTGTTTCACTGTATCAACAAGAATGAGTGATAGCGATATTAAATTCTACTACTTTAATTTACAAGCTCGAGGTGAACTTACTCGACTTATATTCGCAGCTGCTGGTCGATCTTATGAAGATATTCGTTTTGGTTTTGATACATGGCCAGAATACAAACCAAAAATGATTTTAGGTCAATGTCCTGTATTAGAATTCGCTGATGGTACACAAATACCACAATCACTTACAGTTGCTCGTTATGTTGCTCGTGAAGCGGGTTTAGCTGGCTCGGACAATCTTGAATCAGCTAAGATTGACGCTGTTGTTGATACACAACGTGATGTTAATGAAGTGTTTTATGGTAAAGTTTTCTTTGAAAAAGATGAAGCAAAAAAAGCTGAAGAAATGGAAAAATTCTTAACTGAAACACTAGTTAAACATGTCGAAAATTTAGGTAAATTGAAGAAAGCCTACAGCACAAATGAAAGTTATTTTGTTGGAAATAAATTATCATGGGCTGACTTATTTGTATTTCAATCTATTCAAATCTTATTAAAAGCTGTACCACAAGTTCAAGGCAAATTTGGCGATCAATTTAAACCATTGTTTGATGCTATTAATGGTAATGATAAAATAAAAGCGTATTTAGATGCTCGTCCAGAGACAGATTTTTAAATTTGTATTAGGAATTTTTTTTAAATAAAAGAAATCAACATTTTCACTGAATGCACGTGAAATCAGCATTTGAATTTCTTTTCTTCTAGAACCTTTTCTTTTCATAAATAACAAATATTATTCGTTTTATCTAGGAACAAGACAATAACCAAAAGGAATGTTTTGATAGACTTCTATTAAAAGTCCAAGGTGTTTTTAAATCAAAGATAAATTTGTTACTAAATAAATATTCAAGCCATATAACTTGAATAACAAAACATTTTTTTTTGGTATTCAATTGGTTAAAATCCTTCAAATGTCAGCATTCGTTTTTAACATGTTCGTAACATTTGCGATAAGAATGGTACAACATACTATTTTTAATTCCATTCAATAGAATACTTCGTATTACAGATAAGAACAAAATACTACATACTTAATATAGATGAAATTAGTTCATTTACTCCGAACTTTGATATTAAATTTCAGTTTTTATATATGAGAAGTTGTCAACAAGATATCTCAATATATGAATGTTGTCTTATTTTTATTTGACAATCAATATAAATTACAAACATAGAGTTATTCATCTCAATTTATCTATAGTGTATGTTTTAGATTTATTCATGCTTTGATTAACCCTATTTATTGTTTTGTTAAATAATTCTCTGTCCCAGATTCGATTATTTCTATTCAATAAAGAATCCTGAATAGATTGATTGATAAATACGAAAGAACATATTTCATTCAATTAATTCTTCTTCATTATTCAACAAAGAAGAATCTCAATTTTCAAATAGTTTGTTTATTTGGAATGCACTCATTTGAATAAAACCTGAAAACTGATAGTAAATCCTCGAAAAAGAACAAGATGTCCTGTACTGTATTATCTAGTTCATATAAAACTGATGTCGAGACGATTAATAGGAAAAAATAATTAACCGTTCAATATAAAAACATTTCGTGTGGTATATTAAGAAAATTATAGCTTCACAGATTTTTCTAAATATATTTTTAACGAATAGCTTTCAATGGATTTACTCTAAAGTTCTTAATTGTTCGAAGAAAACATTTAATGTATCCAAGTACTGATGATGTGCATGTTTCATGGTCAACGTGTTCGATGCGTGTAATACTCTTCAGTAAAAGAAAATTCCGTTTCAAAGAATTATACTCTAGGTATGATAGGCAACGCTCTTTAGTAAATTAATATGTTCCAAACTTGGAAATTTGACTAGGATGTTTATGAGTGTTTTCATCGTTGAGAAGTCTTAATATAATGGAGTGAAGAGTATTTTTACGTTTTTAAACCTTGAGAGCCCCCATCAAAAGCTTCAAGACATGCCAGTCTCTCGAACATCAGCTTTTTTAATTAAACATTACGGAGATTAATAGCATGTATTAAAAGAATTCGACTGAAAACTTTGTTCATTTAAACAAAAAATAGAAGTGTGCGTGTGTGCATGAATTTCCACAAGTATAATCAATTTTCTCTCAAATTTACCATGTAAATTTATAATAAAATAGACATATCTGCAGTACAATGAATCATTTAGTGACGTGTTATGGTTATTTTTATACACTTGACTGATAATGTTTGAAATGCATGTGTAGAAGAAAACACATTCGGTTAGATGTATGTTCAAAGTAATCTATTTATTTATTTTGTAGGAAATAAGCACGGTCTTTTGTTTGCTTTTAATAATTATCAGATAATGTTAATACTATTAAAATTATGAATTTAATATATAATAGGAAATTAAATTTATGAATACATTATAAAAAAAAAACTTTTATAAAATCACGTAAAAATGAAGTTGCCTGAAATCGATCGTGTGAAATGTTTGTTTTACGAAATTTTCTAAAAATAGTTTTTTTTCTAATAAGTTCATCAAAGAAAAACAAGACTGTAACTCATAATAGAGATGTAAGCATTTCATTATTATAACATATCCTCCGGTGACCAACAGTTGTTATTCATTAATATCATTAATTTTAAGAAACCTGATTCTATATCTAATTACAATGTCTATTCTATTATTTAGAATCAGTTTAATGTATTGGATAACGTGCTCTTTTAATATTAGTTAACATCAGTATTGAAACTATTTGTTACTCATCGTTTTCCTATTGTAGCATGATCAGTAAAAGATTCTTGATATCAATCAGTATAGTTCGTAAGAAGAAGAAGAAGAAGAAGAAAAATAGAACAAAACTTGATTGCATGACATAACTTCATTTATTGACACAGACAAATAATTGATATTCATTTTCAACAAAATAATGCTACTCAAAAATCTACGCCAAACAACAAAATGAGAACGATGACATCATGCCATAGATTCAAAAAGTACTTTCATTCTATTGGCGCTGATGAGTTTGCTATTATATAATTATTCGTTATTTGTCCCAGGGCACATATTCAATCAATCGTTATATTCTTTCCTTCTTTTTGCAAAAATAATATTGCACCAATCATTAATTCTTGATTTATGTTAGCTGAAACGACCAACCCAATATACAAAAATGATAACATACGAATAGAAGAAAAAAAAATGCACATGGTACACGCCCGACTGCTTCATTTCTTCATTTTATACGAGAGGTGAAACACTGTTTTGATTACGTTATATTGAGAACCATTTCAATAATGAATATTTTATGTTTACTAATAATTTTAATCACTTTGAATCGTTCATCATCGATGCCATTATTACTCATCGATTTATCCCATACCCTTGATCCAACAATTCCATTTTATCCATCACAAACACGCTTTAATTTTACACAACGCACAGCAGAATGGACGAGTGGTGACAATTCATTTTTTTATTCATCAAATTCATTCATAACCAGTGAACATATTGGTACACACATAGACGCGCCCTATCATTTTTATCTAACTGGTTGGAAAGTAGATGAAATTCCATTGAAACATTTAATATCAGTGCATGCTCGTCTAATTGATGTATCAAAGCAATGTCAGAAAAATAAAAATTATCTTATAACAATTGATGACGTTAAAAAGACTGATTTATATATTCCAGAAATAGATGAAGATACTGGCGATGATTTTTTCTTCGTACTGATCTTCTATACTGGTTGGACAAAATATTGGCCTGATCAAAACACATATGCTGGTGAAAACTCAAATATTGAGTTTCCCGGTCTTAGTGAACAATTAGCTACATACTTAGTTGATGCATATGGAAAAAACCTTGTTGGTGTTGGTATCGATACTCTTTCAAGTAAAATAAAAATTTTGATAAGGAATAAAAAGAAATTACTTTTATTTATTTAGCTGATTATGGTCTCTCGAAAACTTATCCAGTTCATCAGATACTTGCAAAAAACAACAAATATGGATTGGAAAACGTTGCTTTAGTTGATAGTTTACTTCAAAATATTGATGATAACTTTTTTACGTTAGATATAATTCCGATGAAAATCGGTAATGGTACAGGCGCACCATGTCGTATAATAGCTCGTATTGATAATTCAAGAAGAAATTCTGTAAACTGGTTTGGTTTCTTATTTTTCTTTTTCATCTTATTTCTTATTGGTTTCTTTTTTAAAGTTGTCTACGATTTAAAGTATAACCCAAATAAAAGTTTCTAAAAATTAAATGCAAAAGTAATAATCCATTGGGAAATTCCATGCAAATAATTTGATCTTTATCATATTTGATTTCTTCTTGTATGTTTCTAGAAAATTGATAACATCAAAAACAATAATTCAGTCGATTCGCTAGGTATTCACCCAGAAGAAAACTACATACCTCTTCCAATGAATTTTGCAATAATTCCTCTAAAAAATGTAATAAACTGCTATACAGAAAAACTGATCATATTCCAAGTTAATTAACTATTTGATAGATCAAAGAGTGCAAAATAGAAATATTCTTTACTAACTGTCAAACAGTAGAAAACATTTTCTCTAAAATTTTTACTATGCATCATCAACAGGCGAAATATCTTTTGTCATTCTCCTAAGTATCAATAAATAAAGTTTCAAATTTTCGAATACTCTAAGGACGTAAATTTTTAAACTATTGTTCTGATATAATACCATGACATCATTGAACGAGTATGTCTTGAAACGAACATACTTTCATAAAAGCCCAGAATATCTTATTAGATTTTGCATAGCGTGCATAAGAACTAAAAGCAATGAAAAAAAGACATTAATATTGAGGAAATGCGAAATGTTTTCTCCAACTGATGCATTCATGTGATGAAAAAAACAAAATGAGTACAATTAAGATTTTATGGGAAAAACTTCCTTCGCATTAATTGAAAAGCATTAAGAAAATTGTGACATACTCTAAGTAGTGTTCCGTTGAGAACAGTCGGCATTTATCATGAAAACAAAAACAAAGTCATTCAATACTAACTATTACTATCAGTGTATCTCGGTTTTTAAATCATATTTTATTTTCATCTATTTTGACCTTCTAATTAAAGAGCTTTTGACACCTGTTACAGCTTATCGTCTCAGATTTAAAAAAACCATACCCAGGTCGAAAAATCTGACGTAAGATCTTACAATCCGAACGGAATCTTATAAGCATCAGACAAAAAATCGTCGTCTCTGAAATCTTGCATCACATCATACTATATTTCCTTTAGAGATCACACATGCAATTTATTTTTCATACAAATTTGTCGTGATATTTTAAGGAGATATTAGTTTAATTAAAATATCACAGTGATATTTCATGCGTAATAGAACCTTTCAAGAATCTTCTGATACGACTTAGTGTAAGAAATCACAGACGACGATTTTCCGTCTTATGATCAAACGTACGATTCTTGTAAGATCTTGCCGTCTGGTTTCTCACCTGGGTACCCTAATCGACTCTCCCCCAACGACTCCCCGGGGAGTCCCCGTAAAATAACGAAATCCCTGGGGAGTCCCTGTCGTGAGTCCCCGGGGACTTTTTATTTGGGGGACTCGCTGGGGAGAATTGATGAAATTTTTTAAAATAAAAAAAAACTTTTCAATTTTTTTAATTTTAAAAAAATTNTGAAATTTTTTAAAATAAAAAAAAAACTTTTCAATTTTTTTAATTTTAAAAAAATTAAGAAGAATTTATTAGTAATTAGATATTTCATCGATTTTGATCAGATAACTCCCCGGGGAGTCCCCAGGGAGTCCCCACAAAAGAACGAAATCCCTAGGGACTCCCTGGGGATTCTTCTAGGGAGAGTTGGCTAGGGTATCTTCAACATTAAATAATGAACATAAATCATATCAAATGATAAAAATTCAATAGATTATTAACATAAAGACATTAATTTCAGACATTGATAAATCAGATTCTTCATTCATCTTCTGTATATATTTCAAACTACAATCATATGTACAAATACTTTGGTATCATCGTTTTCAATCGTATCACTGAGATTCAAAATAGTCTCGCACAAAAAAAGAAAAAAACGAGAAAATCAAATGCATATTTACATACGATTTGCTAACATCAATAAAAAAAAACAACCACAAGCATTAAAGAGTTAAATTTTTATTTTTAAACATGAGATGTATCCAATACGGTTATAGAATTAGTTTCGTTTTTTAAGGATCTTGATGTTGATGTATGCATAGACACTGTTATTGGTGGATTTACACGATTACAATTGGCATTATTAATACCGTTAGTTAGTATTGAAGATTTTTTTGCCTTTGTCTTTAATCGCTGATGGGAATACTTTTTACAATTATCGATTTTTTGACAATGCCAACAATTAAATACAACTCTCATGGATTCATGAAGCAATTGATTATTCATAATACCGTAGACTAGTGGTGATGCACATATTGAAATACAATACAGTAATGTTAATAGAACATATATATCCGGATGTAGTTGACGACGCTTATCATATGCACGTACAAAACCGTATGGATGATATCCAAGAAAAAATAATGTAAATAAAGCAGCAAACATTTTTGTTATACGTATTTCACGTCTTAATGAATGTGACGTTGATACTGTCGTATTATTTCTTCTTCCGCTTACATGTGTTGCATGTAAAACATGCAAAAATATTCCAACAAAACAAAATATAATAATTACATTTGGTAATAAAATAAGTATTGTTATATTAATATAGATTTGAAATTTATTACATATTGAACAACGTAATGCTTGTGATGAATAAGCTATAGAATCTGTTAAAAATGATGGTATACAACATAATATAGGTAATATTCTTGTTATAACAAGTGAAACGATAATATAAATTCTTATTGACATACGACGTAGTAAATTTGGATAAACAACAACAATTAATCGATGTATGGCAATCAGACAATGGTGCCAAAGAAGACAGCCCATACAAATCGTTGAAAAATACGTAACTAATTTGCATAATATAGGACCGCCCAGCCAACCACGATTAGCGTACGACAGACCGACAAAAAATTGATTAAAACCAATATTAAGTAAATCATTAAATTGCAGCTAATGGAAAATAAGAGCAAATAAGATTGTTGACATTTTTATTTTAATTGAAGGAAATGTTTGTGAAAAAAACAGTCGGAAGTAGGGGAATTTACGGAAGTGACTTTCTTTTCCTTTCTTCTTTCCTGGTTCAAGTTTGTAAGACGACGATATATGCATTTTACTTATTCATTCAACACTCTGCATTACGATTCATTAATTGATCGCACTTCTAGATGAGCTCTCGTTAGCTATGTGTTTAAATGCGTTGAAAAATTATAATCAAGAAATAACTGCGCCATTTGATATTTATACAAAAAAAAAAAAACTGGTATAAATTAATTTCAATGTAGATGTTTACTCATGTAAAAGGAAAGAAATGAGGAGATTTTAAGAAAATATACAAAGAACATTAGAGTAAATATATCTAGAGCATAAATTAAAATGAGTTCATTGATATCTTCCTATTAGGTTGAAAATCGTTAAATAACAATCTTAAAGTATTTGATGATAATTAATTTCAAAAGACAAAAGATTACAGTATAAGCATTATTAGAATAGTCTTAGTTTGCTGTGAAATACTTAAACTCAATAGCATATGAAAATGACTTCCGCTGATGTATTCATCTTTCAGAGGGCGTTATAAAAAATGACTATCAATGCTCTTCTTCTGTCCGGAACTAATTTAATAGGACAACAAAGAAAATAAAAGTTGTAGGAAAAGATTCAATCTCGTTTGTTTCCTAATTGTTATCATTAATGTAAAGATCGATTATATCTTACCGAAACAATAAAAATATTTATAATATGAGATCGAAGTTTTTTCACAGAAAGTATTGTTGTTATTAGAATAACATTTCCAATGAGACCAAAAAATATAAATACAAACGCAAGTATTGCACCAACAAATGTCGCTTGTCTTGTTGGTTGGTTTAATTGGTCAGACAGTGTTTGCTGATAGGAACTTGTTAAATTGGTTTTCATTGACCAAGGATCTGGCGTAACTAATGTTGCCTCATTCGTCATGATTAACCGTAAAAGAATGAAAGACAATTTAGTTGTTGTTATTTATACTAGAATATTTAATGAAACCAAAACAAATGAAAGACAGAAAGAAAGAATAAAAACTGGAAATAAAATAGGTGTAGATAGCTATAATCAAGTTAGCACGTCGATCTTCACATAGAAGTATTCATCGACAAACACAAGAGCACATACGAAATATATATAGAGAGAAAATTATTAATTTTTTCATCGTGGCATATTCTTTATTTCTCTTCAGTCATGTTCTCTTTTCTATATCCTCCTTTTCCTACTCTCGCTTCTTAATCAACTCGTTTTCTTCTTTGCTTTTCTCTTTCACCAATTTATTCATGTCTGCTACTTTAAGTTCGAAGAGAATACAGAATGTAGAGTTGTATGCAACGTGTATGAGTGTGGCACCTAATTTGCGTAGGCAAATATTATTGTATTTAAATACGACTACTAAATCAATTGCTTTAACATTACAAAATAAAATAATGCTTCTTGATAGTTTCATTAAAGAATACAAAAGAGACAAGGCTTCGCACAATATTACATTTCTGGACGTTCGGGAAATACGGAAAAATTTATGACTAACACAAGATAGTTGTTAATGTATTTTCGTCAAATTTGTCGTTTGAATATTTTTATTCTTCTTAGATCCAATGTAAATGAACGATAAATTAGCCTTTTCTTCTCCCATTTATCCTTCTTGGTTTCTGTCACTATCAAGAGACAAAATAGATGCATGTTACAACTAAATAGACGACTGAATGATTAAGTAAGTTTGAAAAGGGACCTCAATGCTGAATCCTGTAAGTGAAAATGCAGAACGTAACCATTATTATCAGTCACGCTAGCTGAGTGTTGATTAACATTTGTAGTATATTATATTACTATGTATATTCTATAAATACAACAATATAAGACACAAAACAACACAGGAACAAAAATAAGAAAAACGAAGTCGATCGAGACCTTTCCCATAGTGCATTACATTACGGAAATATAATGAAACTAACAATTGAATATCTTGGAGACAACTTTTAACTAGAATATATATCTAGTAGTCTGTCATTTTTTTTCCATTCAAAGTTTTATTTAAAACAGGTCAAAACCATAAATAATTACTTTGTTCATCTTATTAAGGATTCCATAATAAGATAAATATGTCATTGAATGTCATATTAATGATAAGCCAACAATTATATATATATACATATATATCAAGATAGAAAAATACGACTAGTAGTTTTAGCTGATGAATACTTACATATAGGTGTCAACCTAAGGGTTGAACGGTTGCGGCGGGCAACAATTTTCAATTTTTGAAGATTTTCAGCGGCTCATTATTTGAATGAGTAATGTGTTCAGCAGCGGCTGCTACAAATTCTTAAAATTTTTCTCACAGCGGCGGCGGCGGCGGCTGATATTTGCAAGTCCTTATGTGACGATGGCGTGTCAGTTAAAAATTTATTGATGAAAATTAAAAGGAAAATGTTCGATTCGATCGCATATACATTGATGTCAGCGGCGGCGAATAGCGCTATCAAAAATTGTTATCTCTTGCAGCGGCGCAACGGCTAAACTTGTTTTTTCGCAGCGGTGGCTCCCCAAAAATTCTTAAACTTACCAGTAATTTGGCGACTGCGGCGGCTCAGCCGTACGGCTGACACCTCTACTTACATATGCAACATGTGCAGATGTTCGAAAACGTTAAGTAGCAACGTAATGAGGAAAAGTATCAGTTAGAGAAGAAGGTGAAACAGTGGTATTCAACGTGAAATGAGCTTAGTGTCATCGCTACCTGACGTACAAGAAGAATATTGAGACTGTTTTCTCGTTCGTTATTATTCTGACGCTGTATTTGTGTTTGTTCTACTTTCTTTTTCTTGACATTTTGTCTCTCTCTCTCTCTTCTTTTTTTTGCTTTCTTTCTCATTTTTTTAGGGAGAATATAAGAGATTGTAAATGGAGGGTAACGAAACTACTAGTATTTCCAATCTCTTTTCTATGTTTTTCGCCCCAGAAAAATCGAAATCAAGATGCAAACATTGAATGCAAACAAAAGGCTACCTTGTTCTTTTGTCCTCTCAAGTTTTTTTTAGTCGTACTAACGTTCTTGTCGCAGATCGAACTCACGATTCTGTCATCAATCACTATACTAAATGTTGCTAAAGGGCAAAATAAAAATCACGTTAGAAGAAAAAAACGAAAAAAGGAACTATTTCATGTGTTCAATACGGAAAAATCATCATTATCTGCATCATGATCATCATCAACACCATCATTCTTTGCTTCTTCCTCTGTATATTTTTTTGTTTTTATTCTAGTTCTCAGTTTCTTTCTCGTTGACATTAGTTTCAAATGGAAACAGCAAACTATTAATGATGACTTTCTCTTCATTCTCTATTTATCTTTTTATCAGCGCCTTGCGATGATAAAGTTTGCTCCTATTCATTCAATTGTGTTCTCTATTATTTACACGAAATAGATCTAAGCGCTACATTATACTCACTTATATTTTACATTGACAAGTATGCCAATGACAGAATAGCGTGTGTTCAACAGAGATCTATCGATTTCTTTTTTCTTTTTGATAATTGTTTTCTTACTAGAAGTAAGCTAGAAACACGTTATTGAGCGATGATGAAAAGCAGAATGATGAAGCTAAAAATCGATAAATCAGATAAAAATAATTGCCTGAACGACTCAATGAGTCTATCTGATATTAATATCTTACTTATATTTCATAGAGATCAGCAGAAATAAACCGACACGATGAAAATTATCCATGAAAAACGAATAGTTTAGGTACAGCGAGTGACTATGTGTTAATACTGGAATATGATAAGAACTGATCTTGTTAAAATAAACTGTTGAGAACAATGACGGATAGAAGATCATCACTAGGCTGTATACGTACTCAAATGCAAATCAAATGTATTGAATTAATAGAGTTGTCTTCGGCCGATAGTCTAGTCGACGATTTAATTATGAACTAACTTATTTCGTTACTGTAAAGAAAGCAGCATCAGTGCGCTGACAAGCAAAACGATGTGTCTTCTATCTTTCTGTTCGTATGACTTCATTTCAGATCGCTTAAGTAAATTGCCGAGATATGTTGATGTGCGCGCACGTATATCAAAATAGAAAAAGCATCATTTCATTGAATAATAAAACTACGAAATGATGATAAAAATAGATGATTGTGGATATTCTCTCTCTGGATAATTCGCGCGTGCCAACAATACGCACTTATACATTCTCATGAGATTCATTCATATTCATATACTAACAGACAACGACTCACCAAGCATGCTAACAACACGTTACTAGAATTGGTTGTAATAAACAATAATAGTAATAATAATAATAAAATGGTTCTGCAATTCACCAGATAAACTCACACAACTTATATCTTACTGTGAAATCTTTTCTATATTCAACATAAATGCAAAAATAGATAAGTATTCGTTTTGATAGACAACAAAGCTACTCTGATACGGGTGATATCATCTTTTCTCACTGAATCTCGTAGCTTTTTCCATTGTTTTCTTCTACATGCGATAGATCGATGTTCACTATGACGTAATTTTACAAATAACAAAGTACTAAATGTAGTGGCAAGGAACTCCTCCTCATCCTCGTAACACGATGAATATTTGTTAGAAACCTGTCATTACACGACAATTATGGAAATCAAATTTGCATCTCTCAACTCGAAGTTGACTGTAACCAAATGGGCAATAACGTCAATTATTATGTGACTACACGACGGTAGTTACTAAGTTAAAACGACAAAGTTACTAAGGAGGACAATACAATTGTACTTTTATGATTGAGGAAGAGCATATTAGCTACTGTATAACATTTGCACGTGTTCTTTCTGATCTTCTCATGTCGTTCATTTCACTCAGCATTATCTTTATTCGCATCATTGTATTACACAAAACAAAATGAAAACTATGACTGAATAATACTTTTGAAATTTGAAATTCTTTCACTGATTAACCGACCGGTTTTTGTAATTTTTTCCCCACAAGAAAAATTTAACTATAAAACTAACGGTTTTATTACATATAATTAGATGTAAATGAAAACTATCTCTTTAGAAGTATTTTCGATTCTACTTCTTCGATATATTTATAGTTTACTATAACTCTCAGCGATTGGCACATATAATACTATTCTATTTAGTAAAAACATAATAAAATATACCTTATATATATTTTGTGAATTAATATTTAAAACAGCTTATGTTACCAAAATCGAATCAGATCTAATTATGTCACATCACGCCTGGTGCCATTTCTATTTGCACTACCTCCTACGTACAACATAGGCTTTACCCTAATAAACAAGATAATAAGGTGAATATCGGATGTGAAATAGATGAAGTAAATAGTATATCAATGATATCCATATGTAATGACGATTAAATCAGCGCATAAAAACGTGTAAACACGTCAATATAATCGACGTCAGATTCTATGCAATTAGAGATAACAAACCGTTTGCTTTTACCATCGAAATTCCTTGCCTGGCCACCATTGTTTGAAACAAACATTGGAGCAATGCCTTGTGCATTTCTTCGGGAAAATTCTATTTTTAAAAATGATTAAATATTAAAGTTACATTTATTCTAAGCTAGTATGATTATGATTCTATTGAAATATCACTTGGAAAATGTTAACATTTCCATAGGCCGATCTTTAAAAACATTCCCGGTTGATATTTATGCTCGAAACAAAATGTTCTATAATTTAGAGAAAATTTTTGACAAATCTGTCGATGCGACTACAAATTTTTTTCTTTTATCAAATCATAAAATGTGCGTCACTTGGGCGTAGCTTCCAAATTGAAACCGAAAACAAAGCCAGTTAAGAAAAAAAGGCCGCAATTCGGAATGAAGAATTTTACGTTGATTCTCATTTTTTATTCGATTCCAAATTGCGACCACTTTTCAATTATCAATCAATCAATACTTTTAATTGAAAAGATGTACTGAAAAAAGACTACAGAAAATTATTCCTGATCACTACTATCTTTTATAATGTGAATGTAGCGATGAAAAATAGCACGCAAAAATTTTTGAACATTTTCTGGCAATTTCGGTTCGTGATTATGATTTTAATCATTTGATTTTATAATTACATTATTTTTCAATGCTATAGAACGAGAGCACCATTTATTAGTGCAGACATAAAGTGATGAATTGTTCTTATTTTCTTGCTTTAAATGAAATAAATAGTTATTATATAGAACAACCTTTTCATCTTTTTCGGTAGTTGACCCAGTAAAGCCAAAAGAATGGCAAATTATGAAAATAAATAGCAGAAAACATGATAGTAATGACGTAGTACTTTTATGTCATTACTCTAGTGATATTCAAAGACAGATATGATTTATGATAAGTTTGATTTGGTTTTTATAGAGCAAGAAAATTCAACAGTTACTCATTTCAATGCACTCCCTTAGTTTCGTAATGCAAACTCTGATCAATATAAATAGACAAAAAATAATTCTAGTGATTTCAACTCTTTACACAGCACACTATAGATTTGGTTTTTATTAAAAATACATAATCACAATTTTAAGCATTTTCTCAAATTTGACTTTTAATCATGTAAAGAAATACATTCGTAATTAAATTATCTCTCTTCTATTACTCGCGACATGTTCAATTTTTGTTGTGCTTTCTTTTCTTGTTTTTTTGGGATTCCATGATTTATGGTTAGTGACTCTCGGTTATATTAATCTCTTTCTTACCATTGCATATTTATCATGCTTACTACTCAACAATGCACCTCTGATTCTGTAGTTATATACATAATGGTTTTTGATAACAACTTTGATAGTCTATTGTCTTGTATGAATAGATAGAAAAACCATAAACAAAATATCTTAATGCCCTTAAATCAAGAGTAATAAAGAAGCCAAACGTCTTAGGTTAAAAGAAGAAAACGAAGCACTAGCGCTATTGCATTCCGAAGAGCTGAGGAGAAAAAGAAAGCAAGGTTCTTTTCTATGAAAGAAAACTAAATAAGAAATCATCAAAATATGTCAATTATAAGCCGCCATGGGGTTGAGTGGATATGTTATTCGACACATATTCACAAGGTACTGTGTTCAAACCACAGTATCACCAACCATGGAATAACCCTGAACAAGTTACTAGCGGCTAATTGTTCCGGATGACTCATTCGATAGCGTATCGATTATATCATTAGTCAGTATGCAGAGTCAAAACAATAACTTCAACATAGATGTCACGGCCACGTGATCCTATGATGATCGCCTACCCATAATCATTAACGGGGGAAGCGTTGGACGAATGGGCTGCAGATACCGTCGTCTGTAAAAGAGAAAAACACGATAGAACCTGGCTGCTTGTGGACCCTTTAGTGCCGGCCCCAACGGGCGATAAGCCTATGGGAGATATTATTATTATTATTATTATGTCAATTATAGTCATAGTTGTCAGTATTGATAGTTTACTAAACGATGAAACAGATCAATTGATTTATTCGTCTTTCATGAAGTAAAAGCATTTATTTTTGTTTTATTATAGCTTCAAGGCGTAAACTTACAAAAACAAAATAATTAAATTACAGTGCTTAATTCTCATCCGACACTCGATTTTCTTGTTGTCAATTCTGTACACTAATGATAACGTTTTATCATAATTATAGCCAAATAGCAATGTATTTTGTTTTCGTCATTTAATGATAAATATACTATGGAAAACGTCGATTATATAGAAATATATGTCTAACGATACATTTTCCACGCACATGATATCATAGCTTGTAGAATGTCAGGTCTCGTCAATTACAATTAGAAATAAAATATCAGGCATTTAGTTCGATAAAGCGATATTTAATGGTGAATTACTAGAAAGTTTGTTTTGTTTCTAAACCAACTAGAACAAAAGATTTATTAGTGTTATTTTTTTTCTTCTTTCATAACTATTTCATTAAAAGCTATGTGCTTAAGAGTATGATTTGATTTTAATTTGGATGGAACGTAACAGAAATAAAGGTAATTACAATTTCATTAAAATGCATGAATCTATATATTTTTAAAACAAAATTTAATCAATCCCCACTCTGACTTGAAATGTGTTCATATAAATTATAATACTCTAGGCCTAACCATTGCAGCGTAAATAATGGTCCCATGTGCATTTTACATTGTTCGCTGTCAATTTTCATTCTAGAAATTTGCTTCTATTCGGAAAATATTTGCCTGACAATTAGCTACAAATAATATCAGGAGGCTGAGTCAAAATTTCCAATTTAACAATATAATTCAATAATACGATCGATTTGTAATAAATGTGACCTACTAACATAAAACCAGTTGATTTAGTTTTATTAGGCAGAACTTTTATGTTGCCAGCGAAATGTATTAAAATAATTTTGCTGAGGAAATTTGACTAAAACTCTAGATTATGAATTTGTAGTTTTGTCATACTCAGATATTTTCGTAAAAATGAATCAAAAATTAGTCCTTTGATATAATAATTTAATAGTTGTAAACCTAATTTTAATTGGTTAGTTTCAAGATATCGACTTTTTTGTAATAATGCTAAATTGAAATGAGCTTTGTTGTGTCTGACGATAAACAGTTCAAAAAAACAATGTTAGAACTTTCATGTAATGCAGAAGCATAAAATGGTTCGATCAATTAATGTCAATTCTACGTTAGTCTGTAGAGAATTTATAAAAGAATTTTTTGAGACTAGTTCTACAACGTATGTTGACCTGAAAAAATACTCAATACAAATGGTGTGATTATTTATAATGTTTCCATTGAATCCTATAATTAAGATATACGTACATGTGTTTGCGTTCAAGAAAATGAAAATTGTTATATTTTTTATTAAATATTGTAGTCATCAGAGAGTATTTTATTTATTCAATAGACGTCTATGATTGTTCAGTTTGATACTTGTGTCTAGAAAATGTATATGCTTTTACATGGCTTAATAGCACCTTGGTTGATGTGTTGAAGAAAAAATTAATTTTGTTATCTTATTACAAAATTATGAATAACATCGTCTTTTGTTCCGTTTGACCTATGGTAACATATTTGATAGACAACGAATGCCATTTAGATAACTCATAAAGTGCTGCTTTCATAAACTCAATATGTAAGTAACGAGGACATGACATGTTATGATCTAGAATGCAAATTAAAATTCTATCTATTCAATTATATGATGATACGTCATAAGCACTAGAAGAATTCTCTCGAGTTAAAATTCACATGAATAAGACCCGAAACGAAGTCAACCAGACAGAACACGTGTAGTATATGAAGATTGCATTAGAACAATGCATACAAAAGATGGATATAAATTCTATTTATTTAAAAAAAATTGAAATTGTCGTTTTATTTGACCTATATCTGACATATATTGTCAATTAATTAATTAACTAAATCATTCAATCAAAAGAAAAAATAAAATAAAATAAAATCACAACTAGATTATAGTACAAAGACGACTTTTTTTCCAACGTTTTTTCTTACAATCACTCTTATTCGTATTATCAATAGTGTTCGCCGTATTTGTTATTAAACGTTGATCTTGTTTTTGAACAAGTAAATGTTGAAGTTCACTACGTAATGAAACATATTCGGTAAGTGGAACACTTGAACCAGTACGTTGAAGTAGTTCATTATTTAAACTGTGATACATCGATGCTGGATCCATAGATAAAATTTCAGCAAGATGCACAAGAGCTGAACCATTAAGACGTACAACTAATGGTTGTAATGTCTCAAAACTGCCTAGAGTTGCATCGCACCATTCACTAACATCGTCTGGCGACCAACAAGGCACAGGACGTGTCATATAGTTAGATGATTGATTTCGAGCTTCACGAGGACTCATATTACGTGACTGACTAATAGTTGATGCATCACTTGTTCGACTTGGTAAACGTACATCATTATCTTCTATTTGATCTAAATGTCGTCGAATTTCATTGACAATTGATTGCATATCAGTCAATGATAGAGATTCTATCCAACTGCCTTCAAGTTCACAGTCATGTTCAACAAGAACTGCTAACATCGGCATTGTATGCGATTGAAGTGACATATATTGATGAACAAAATGCGATAAATTATCTGATTTCATTTGTGTACTTGCACAAAAAAGACAAAGTGATGAACGATTAATCAGATGCATTAATGAATCAAATGATTCACATGATGATGTAGTAATAAGTTCAATTGTGTAGAGTTGCTCAATGAGAAGTCGATCGCGAAGTGTTAAACATATTTCTTGTTGAGATTCATCAGCATTGAATATACATATGAGATTATTTGATACCATTGGTGCACGATAATTTAATGTTGAACGACCTAAACATGTACAATGTATTCAGTTTAAAAACAAATTTAAAAAAATATATTACTGGTAGTTTTGTTGTTTAACTCTAAAATTGCTAGAATAGCTTTTGAAGCAAGACGTACATTTGATGTAGAAATATTTGCATTTGTTTTTAAATAGCGACATAGATCAAAACGTTTTTGTAACAATTCATTGATATTTGTCGATGTACTCAATGAAAATGTCCATAGAAGTTCAGTCATAACATCAATTAATTTCGGTAAACTATCATCTTCATCTTGTTGTACAGATAAAATTGTATCAATAAACATATTAATAAGATTCACTTTTTTCGTATAATTTATTAACTCATCAGCAATCATTGTAAATGATAGAAAACTTGTACGTAATAAAAGAAACCATTCAATAGCAGTTAGAGCAGTTTGATTTCTCGATGATGGCGTTGTTGAATCAAACGATGTATCATTGGACGCTGTTGTTAATGATTGAAAAATATTTATTGTACGCTGTATTAATAAATGTACAAGTCTTTTAGATAACGACGAATCAAATAAATCACGTTGAGTTATTAATAATGAAAGTGGATGCCAAAGACTACTATAACGTTTTGTTCCATATAAAACATGTTGTACATAACCTAAACGACGTAAATGTCGTTTACCTTGTATTGTTGTTGAAAGTGTAAGAAGCAATGAAACAATATCATCAATGACATTCGATGATAAACATAACGCTTCAAAATGTGGTACAAGAAAAGCACAAAGATTTTCATGAATAATTGAATCTTTATATGATAGCGATAAACGATGAATTAGACGAATGAGACGCACAATTAATGGTGATACATCATCGTCCGCATTTTGCGGTACTTCACACCAAATATGAAGAACTTTACGTGTCAATGGTATTAATTGTAATGTTGCTGCTTCTATTGATAATGTACAATAATCAAGACATGTAAACAGAAGAAATATTGAACGAATATGAATTTTTTCACTTGTTAAATTTTGTCGTAAAAACTTTGTTGAAAGTTGAATAAATAAAGATGAATTCAAACAATCAAGAAGGCATGATCGTAAATTGTTAGTTGCTATTATATTATTTATTAATATCGGATGACTGAATAGAATAACTAAAGAATTGACACAACGAAATAGTGCATCAAGTACATCAGCTTGTTCAGCTTGATCATCAGATGTTTGCGTTTCAAGATGAATATCGTCTGGCGATACATGATCTTCATCGTCCTTTATTGAATTGAAAGAGAACAAAAAGCATCTTAGGTGTTTTTTTAAGGAGCTTGTCCTTTGAATATTCAAAGTAATATTTAAAAAAACACCTGATCGAAGTAAAAATGAATTTTCATAAACAATATAATTAGCAAAAATCTTTTATTTTTCATTAAAGTTGAAAGGTATGATGGTTCTCGACTTGACAACGTACTTTCTAATACAAAAAAAAAACCTAATTTTCACCGCAACAAAAACCATTCCCTTTTGTCAACACCGTCAATAAACAAAGAAATGCACTTCAGTTTGATTGATTGACACCTCTCGAACGCTATTCTTTGCCCTTATTCCTAATGTAGTATAAAGAATTATATCAATAAAGTTTATCACATATTTTCATTTTGTTTTGTTTAGATTTTATTCCATTAGAGCCATTCAAATGAAAACAGACTTTTTTTCGAACTATCGATGACTAGAAGAGCAAAGATACACTTATATATTTATCTTTGGAAACCTTAAAAAGTAGTCTCATTCTGTTGCTCTATTTATGCGGTCTAGATAAAAAAAAATGAACAAGGTTATTTCATTGAGAATAGAAATTATATTTACCGACAAGTTACTTGCTACCGAACTGAGTTGATCATCGTTTTCATTCATTATTAATTGTGTAACAGTTCTACACAATGTATTCATAAAATTTTCATCGACAAATAAATCGGTTATAACACGTTTTACTGTTTCTTGATTATCGTTATCGATAATTATACTATCTTGTTGATTCAACCATTCCGATAAAAGTTTAAATAATTGGTGGGTATAAAATAAAGCTCGATGTTCATCACCATTCAATGTACCATTAATTAACCACAATTGCAATAAACGTTCAGACCATTGTCGAATAATAAGAAATAATTGATGATTAACAATATTGATATCTAATTGTTCGACCGACATACATGATATGGATTGGCCAATGAGTGAAAGAGATGGGAGAAGATATTGGGGCGGACATGCATGAAAAAGAGCAAGGATTTCATCAAGGTGTTTAACAGGTGACGATGATGTTGTGCACAATTGACGAATTTCATTCATCGTTTTTCTTTTTTCTCGTTTTATTATGTTCGTTTCGAAATGAGTGAAAAAATAACTAACGAAAAAAGAGTCGAGAGACAAAAATGCCAGAAAAAGGAACGAATGTATAAAATTTTTTTCATCGTTTTTTGAAGCACTAACATACGATTTCTATTGTCGTTTATATTTGCTGTTTAGTAACGAACGAATTAAGTCACACACACATATATATATATATATATATATTTATGTATGGAATGAAGAAGAATGAAGAAAAAAAGAAATAATACAAGAAAAGAATTCAAGAGAAATTTCTAATTGAGTCAGTCATTATTGTCAAGTGTTTACAAGGTATTGTTTGTCTTTAGAACGAAAATTTACTTCGGTAAAACACGCATTTCTAATAATAAAAATTAAAAAACAAAAAGAAGGAAATGCAATATTCTTCATTCTAATCCTTTTTCTTTAGCATTTTTGCTCTAAAATTCACATTTCAGATCAGTATATTCAATTGGTTAATTAAAGAATACGAGTTCTTATTAAACTTCTATTTGTTCGAGAAGCACTTTTTTTTGTTACTTTTACTACAGATATTTATTAACTACGATTTCTTCTACTATTGACAACTAGTAGAATTATCAATTTTGTTTTATTGAGAACAAATTGTACTTTTTTTTGTTCTATTCAGATTTTTTGAGCAGTCTACAGAGAGAGAGAGCGCGAGAGCTTTATTCCGTATTATTGTTTATTAATCTATCATATTTTATTCAAAAATACGACATATTTCATTATGAAACGAAAGATCCTCGAACATCATAAAATCAATACTTGAATCAGCTATTTCTTTCAATAATATTTAACGTTCTATCGGCCATCATTCGCATATATGTATTTCAGAAAGCAAAAACACCCACACATACCCACACACACACACACGCGCGCGTATACACAAATAGAAAGAGAGGTGTACGACAACAACAGTAATAACACCACCGGGTTAGTAAATAACAAGAAGACAAAAAGAAAAATTATGAAACGTGAAAATAATATCTATACATATATATTAAGATCAACCTGAGATTATGATGAAAATGAAAAGGTTAATCTGGTACATAAGTAGCTGAACCACAATTTTGTTCGAGAAATAATTCGAGCTGTTCATGTATAAGCGATGTTGGTTTTGCATTCCATTCAAAAACATTAGATGTTCGATATAACTTTGAAATTTTTTCGCGTGCCTTTATTGATGATGATCCATGTTTATTTATTTCATCGTTGACAAGTATTAGAAATATTTTAATTGATGAACATGTTGATAGAATTTTCATATAATCATGTACAATATGGTATGGCTTACGTAGAATAATAATTGTCGCACAAGAATTTTCAATTAACCAATCAAGTTCACCCAGCATACGATCACGATGTATAAAATAAAAACTAAAACGTTTACCATACATATCTTCAAGTACTTCACCTATATTTCCATGTACTAATTCACTATCGTTTATTGAGTAAAGTACGAGTGCATCGAGTTTTATTTGCAAACATGAGCGAGCTGCTGTTAATGATGATTGAGGTTGTTTAGATGCTGAAGAATTCGTTCGTTTTATTATTGGAACCACCGATCGACTTGTTGTTGATGTTGAAACTGAAGATGTATGAGATGCAGGACGATTCAATACAAGATGTGACTGTTGAACTTGACGAGGAGGTGGAAGTGGTGGAACAATTGGCTGTGGACGAATTACTGGCGATAGATTGACTTGTGAAACTGTCAATGGTATTGAAGCATAATCATCGTCATCATCGTTTTCAGAAAATGATATTGAAGCATCATTTTCCTGCTGTTTATATGCTGTATTCGAACTTAAACCTAAGTGAAGTATTAAAAAATGCAAAATAATATTTAGAATTTCTTTTTCTTCGTCTCAATAAATACCTTTTTGTCTTGTTGAATTTATCAGTTTTTGTATCGCAGTAGTCGATGATGATAAGGATATTTGCGGTGGTGTTGCTGATGTTTTTTGTTGTAACGGCTTATGATAATGATTTATTATTTTATTTGTATCTCCATTTGATAATAATTTTCTTTCAACTGGTGAAGGATGTTTATCGAGAGTTTTTCGTCGACAAATGCAACATAACATAACAAGAAATATTAATACAAGTAAAGCTAAACTGAATCCAATAATAAAATAAAGACGATAATTTTCATGTACTAACAATTGAAATAAACGTTTAGGATCAAATGCATTTGGACTATTATGAAATGGAAAACTATTTTGATCAGATTCAAGACCATATTCATTTCTGTTCATCGATGGTTGACACGAGTCAATATTTGAATGTTTACAACAATCTACAACTGTAAGTGGAGATTCCATTGTATTCGATCGATTGCATACTAGACCACTGCCATAAGTCAATGAATTTAAGCGTATATTCGATTGAAATTCTCCATGTCCACTATAAAATTTTGGTATCCATGGATTATCATGTAAATAGAGATGTTTCAGTTGAAACAGTGTTGAAAATGTTCTTGGTCCAATAGTTAGAATTCGATTTGATGATAAATCTAAATCTTCTAGTTTTGATAATGTTGAAAATTCATCATTTGATAAATATTCTAATTGATTATTTGATAATGAAAGATATTGCAATCTAGTTAAATGTGTTAAATTTCTTTCGACTGTTCTTAGTTGATTGTTATTTAGATACAAATGTGTGGTTGTATATGGTATATTTGATGGAATTTTCTTTGAATAAAGATTCGAACAATTAACATAATTTTTTGTTAAATCAAATGAATGTTTACAAGAACATTCCGATGGACATTGATAATAACAATCACAATTATTACTATTAAATAATAATGATGATGAACAACATGAGCATGTCGATGGACAATATAATGTATATCCACAAAAACTATTCGATGAGCTGAGATCAAATAAAGATCGACTAATCTTTGGTTCAATTACATCTTGACATGTTAGATTAGGTAGATGTAACAGTTTAACACGCGCTTGTTTAGCAAGATTTTCTGCCAGTAACGAAACAGAAGATGATTGAGTGGGCAAATTTAATTGACGACGTTTACGGAAATAATTCAATAGATTCGTCGATGGAGGATAATGAGACGAAGGAATGGATGGTAATGGTTGAGGATAAACATTTGGTGGTGAATACTGATTTGGATAAAGCTCAGATGGATACTGTTGCGGTTGAAATGGAGGATTTACTACGTGAAACAAAAACAAAAGGAATTATATTTTAATGTAAATCTATACTTGAAGTATTAATAGAAAGAAAAAAGAACTAGTTGATAAGCATTATCTTGATATTTATATTCATAAGCCTGATAACTATTATTTGAATTGCGATTCAATCTTGTTCTACTCGATTAAGATATATTGCATGATCTTGTCATTCAAATAATTTTAATATCTTTTGCAATATTAATCTTTAGATGACTTAAATCTTCTATTGCCCTTTTTGAAAAAAAACTTGTTTGAAAGAAAGAAGAAAAAAACGATATCAGATGACGTAATACAACGTCATATGTCAATCCAAAAGAAACATTAGATAATATTTCTTAGTAAATTTTCAGCAAGACAGGCGTGATAATATTAGTCCTTGTTTCAGATATCTCTCTCTCTCTATATATATATATATATATATTAATATAAACGAATATAAATACAAACTATAAATAGATCATCGCTTGATAAGCTCAAATCAAGGAGTCAGAAAAACATTGCATAATTACAAAAAGTATCCGTTCGATCTAATGTTATCGAAGGAAATTGCCTATAGAAATGTATTTTAAATATTTATCTAATCTTATCTAAAACTAAAAGGAAACCATGGAAAGCGCCAGACCAGAAAATGCATTGTATTATAAACAGATGATACGATACTGGAAAAAAGACTGAATGATAAATCTTCGAAGTTACCGAGTAATAGAATCATTTGCTCAGATAGACTTGTACAAAATTCTTATCAAGATAAAATCTTTCTATTGTATCTAGCAGAAGTCGTATGTTATTGTTGAGCTCTATGTTTTCAAACAAAAAATAGTCTAAGATTTGAAGTGAAGAAAATCAAATCGCTTTTGAAACGTACTGACGTCTTGTAATCCATCTCTATTTGATCAAGTTTTTGTGTTATGTATGAAAAAAAAAGAAAGAAACGCATTAAGATGTAATGTTGGCATTCGATCTCCATTGTGTCCTATTCATTCTAAAGTATTATCACGACTAACGGCATGTGAGAATTTAATTATGTATCATGTTTTTATTTCTACGGGCTTTCTTTCTCTGATAATGTTTCATAGAAAATTGATATAGACACAACCAAGTTTCTTTTCACTCACCAGAACTATACTGCTGGTACTCGCTGAGAAGTCTATAAGTTCTCTTCTTCTTCGATGTCATAATCCGAGTGTATACTATTTTCTCTGCGTCTCTCTATGATATGTTAAACAATATATATTAATAATAAGATAAATAAATCAATATGACTCATGTGCTTGCAATAAACGAGATCATTAATATAAAGAAAAACAGACGAGAAAATTCAATTACTTCCGGAGAAGTTAATTATGTAATTTATATGCAGAGTATGTTGTCATTGGTATGACAGTGAGTGAATGGCAACAGTCAAATCTATTTAAAATGTCGTAAACTTTTGTTGGAAAACGATGTGTTTGTTCCTTATTAGAGTTGGTATAAAATAAAAATAATCATTTGTATCATAGACTACTTACAAACAAAAGAATTATCTTGATGTTGAGGAATTGGCATATCATTTTGTAGTAAATGAAAAATGTTTTCATAAAGAATGCAATTACATTCCAATGGATTATTATTAATATTTAATTCGATTAATGGTCCACGTCTTTTTAGACCTGTCGATAAAGTAGATGGTAATTGCAAGGTTTTTAATTGATTATTGGTCATATCCAATGATATAATATATTTATCTTGAGTTGATGCTGATGAAAGTATATCAAAATTAATATTATTTAAATTATTATTTGATAGATCAATATTTAACACAGGCAAATGATGATCATAGCTGGATATAGTATGTGCATCGTGAGGTATAGGAAGACGTGGTAGAGAATTTAAATTATTTGATGATAGATTTAAATAGCGAAGTTTTTGTAATGGTAAAAATAAATCATCGATAGGTATTGACGGCAATGATGATGTCAAATCGAGTATTTCTAAATAGGGTATACGTGTAAATGTATCTTGTTGAATATCTAATGGTGAATTATAACTTAAATTTAATATATTTAATGAATACAAAGATTTAAATGATGTATAATCTAATGATTTAATCTCATTGTATGATAGATCTAAATAACGTATTCGTGATGGAAATTTTGTTTTTAATACTTTTATATGATTATTCGATAAAATCAATGTTGTTAAATCAGGCATTTCAATTTGTGAAAATAATTTATGTAATTGTATATCATTTAGTTGTGTATGACATAGATCAAGATAAATTAAATTTGGATATGCACCAATAATATCAAAATTCGATGTGTGTGTTATTGTTAAATGTGTAAGAGATGATAGAGAATCAATGAGAAATTGTTTGAATAGAAATTTAACGTAATATAATGATAATGTTGTTATTAATGTTGTTTTTAAACTTAAAGTATCTATATTAAATGTACAATTATAAAAAATTAATATAATTGGATTTATTTCTGATAATAAAAATTTATTTTCTATTGTTGAATCGAGAAAGCGCAATGATAATATGGTTAATTGACAGGAATTTATTTGATTAAATGTTATATTCGATTGTAAACGATAGAATGTCACACGAGAATTATTAATAAAAGAACATATTTGTTCAACATTTAAAAAGTCTACTAATATATCATTATTGAAATGGTCCAATTCAAATTCAATATCATTAAACGATGGTTTTCGTTGAGTTGAATATTGTATTTGCCATTGATGATCTGTTTCAGATTCCACTTCATTGAGTCTTAAACGTAATAATTCTTCAGTATGCATTTTATTTAAATTATCTGAGCATATTAATGAGGTTGATTTTGACAACGAAGAGCATAGGTTAGAAGTTGAAAAAAGCGGAGCTGATGATATACATTTACACGTGTCACATTTATATATACGTTGATTGAGATCTTTATAATGACATGGATGTACAGGACTAAGTGTCGACATTGTTAATACTGTTGACGATATTGATAAGATTGATATTACGGTGGTGAGAAATCGAAAATTAGTAAAGAAATGGTCATCATTCATTCTAGAAAGAAGAAAATAAATTGAAAACAAACCAAAAATTAATGAAGTGATTGTTCGTTTAGCTTTGTCTTTCTTGTCAATCTATAAAGAATTATTAAAAATTGTTTTAAATTGGTTTTCTTTTCGAACCTCTACTTTAAGATTAGTTGTATTCGTGTGTCTAAGTACAGATAAGTAAATAAAATACAAAAGTATCTAATCCGTTTCCGCCCATTGAGGTTCACACTTACAGTTGTCTCGTAGATTATACCTGCCTATTTCGCGTGCTTTTTGCAACTATTTATTTTTCATATTCTAATCGAATGGTGTCAAAACGCAGTTGTTATTTGATTAAACAAATGTCAAGTCCGTTTTATTCTTCATATTCTCTCCTTCTCTCCCTCTGTCTGTCTCTCTCTCTCTGTCTTTCTTTTTCTCATTTTCTTCTCCCGATTCTATCTCACCTATTATCGGCATCGACGGGTACATTTCATTGTTGAACTTCTTCAGTGGCAGTAAGGTGTAAAACATATAGATCATCATCGTTATCATCGATACATAGGAAAGCTTTTTTTTTGTTTTTCTTATTTTTTGCTGGAAGATGTAGAAGGATGGATGGATGTATGAGCGCGCGTATTGTTGATGAAAGAAAGGAAAGATATGCACGTCTGAAAGAAAAGAACGTGTGTAGATGATGATGGTTTCTCCTGTTTGATTGCGTAACGGGAATAGAGAAGCAACAGTGTAATGGACAAATAATTTGTGCGCATATCGTGTGTGTGTGTGTATGTGTACGTGTAGGTCGATGAATGGATACATTTGATTCAGATTTCATGGAGAACAAAGACTAATGAACCGGAAAATTGTCTCGCCGCTATGTCACTCACCCCAATATATACATATACATCTTTTTTTAAGTGAAAAAGCGTTAGTTTGCTTTTGGAATGATTAGCCAAGCAAAATTTAGTTGAATGAAGAACGAATTCATAGTAAAGAACTCTAATTTATGAACGCAGCAAATGAACAGAAAGAAAGAAAAGAAGAGATGCAGAGAAAATATCCAATAGACCTGCCATCAGTTTATTGATTCAACTAAATGCGAAGTGCTTGTGCTGTTCAGCCACAAGCTAAAAAAAAAGGGGAGCGACAGAAAAAATAATGCATAGCATCACATCTCTCTCTCTCTCTCTCACACGCACATGCATACTCCCTAGTGTATACCAAACATAAGAAGGGAGCAGACAGTTGTATATGTATGTGTATTGTTCTCTCGGTGCCACTTTATAGAAAAATAATGAGTATCGTAGTCGACGAAAAGAAAAAGAAATCTGCATAAGGAGACGCGATAAACGATGTGTGGTTTCAACTAGTCACTGACGATACAATCATCATGATAATAGTACGAAGTCCCTGTCTTTCGCAGGTGAAATGTGGCGATTTAATCTTTCGCTCGAATAACTATTTTTTATACATGTCGCAATAAATGTTCAATAAAACAAAAAGAAAAGAACTGAATAGTGTGCTATTATCAACCTATCGCATACATCTATGTAGTCTCAGTGTTGTTCAATAAAAAGGATGAATATTTGCAAAAGAAAAACATATTTATGAGTAATACAAGAAACGACAAATAGAAAAACATTATGTACATTTAGTTCAATTATAATCATAGAAATCCTGATTTTTTCAATAGTTACATATGAGGAAGTGTTGCAATGGCACGTATACTATCAAGGCTAATACGTGTATGAATAATACATTTTTAGTGCATACGCTTATAGAAAATGTTACGTAAAATTTGGTTCTTTATTTGTCAATTGAGAGTATGAGTGAACATGTTTATCAATCCTTTGTTGCCTATAATGTAGTAGTATCAATGAAGTATAAGCAAACGGAAGATGGTGATGGCGTGCATGTGCCAACTGTGACCAACAGTCAAAGCCAACTGTGCATTTCAACTCACGTTCTCTCGACGATACCAAGCATCACACACACACGTAGAATTGAAAAAAAATAAAAGAGAAATGAAAAAAAGTAACGAAACACCTGTGGATAGTTTTTGTCACGTGTGTGCGTATATATATATATATATATATAATATATGTATATGTATGTGTACGTGTTTGACATACTGCCTATGTAAAAGAGTTTGAATGCATTAGTCATTCTATAAAATAGGAATCTTGCGCTCCTCTCTTCTCTGTTTTCTTTTCCTTGATCAATGTCTCGAAATAATCACATAAGATACAAAAAAAAACTCAACTATGATTATATTGAAATGCGCGCGTGCGCCATCGTCAACAATATAAAATGTAAGCGAGAAGAAAAAAACAGAGCACATACAACCACATAGTTTTTATCGTCTTTCATTCGCACACTTTCAAGGTTTGTGTTCTATGGAATTAGACGAAGAACAAAAAAAAGAAAAAAGAAAAAGACAGTTAAACTCGATACTAAACGACCCATGAGATACAGAGTTTTTCTTTTTATGACGCAGAACGAATAAATAAACTTGAAAAAGAAGAAATTTCTTGCACTGTTCGCCTTTTTTTTTGAAAATTCGAGTGGAATTGAAAGAACAATTATCAAATCGATTTTTCTTTCTCGTCTAAAGAAATTACACAGTTACATTCTCTATATTTTATACACATATCTGACCTTCTTTTTGTTGTCTTCTATTTGATGGGAAGACAGACTTGCAAATTAATTTTTTCAATATATTGCATATTCATGATACCTGACTTTGCATATGTATTGTACATAGGCGCAAAGCACTTACACGCTTCGTTACCTTTCGTAAATGAAAAAAAAAGTCGACGTGTAAATAATATTAGTAACGTTTTGAAAGAGATTTCGTAGGTGGTGGCTGCATTAGTTACTAATATGAAATCGGTGACAATAGAGCGATCATCAGAAAAGTGAATAAAGAACACAGCAAGTGAACACTGCAATCAATTGATTTGTCGCCGACATCGGTTCGCTGATCGCATGTATCGTTAAGTGGTTGCTTATATCTTTCTTTCTCGTTTCTCCTCACTTCTGCTTCCTTTTATGTCCATTACATATTTGGACTCGTTAAAATCTTTTCTCCTTCCGTTACTACTCATTTGCTTGTCGTTGTTGATGTGATATGTAAAAGAAGGAAATGAGAAGAGAGAGAGAGAGAGAGAGAGACCGACATAAAAATATGTCACTGCTCTAATTTTACTTGACCTGTATTGGCAAGTATGTGTGTGTTATGTTAAATCGTACATGATGTATGTGTTCAATCACGCACATCTGTAAAAAATCAGACAATGCATAAATTATAAAGTACAGAACAGGCATTTGAAATCATTAGGTATAATGACAATAAGTAATGATCATTACATGGATAACAAAAGTTACGATTTTTTATGACAAACATGATGTCTTTTTCTCCTCTATTATTTTTTAATGGCAAGGTTGTTTCCGTTGTTCTCTTGTCATCAATTGCTAAATAGGCATATACAAATACAAGCGCACGAGAAAAGAAATCCCCAATTGATTAATTTTTATAGTGGGTTATTGTAATCGTGTCTCGATTATTGCATCATATATATGTTTCGTTCACATTTTCTCTTTTTCTCTCTCGTATGTATATATTATATATACACGTCGATGTACAAGAGTAAGTCATCAAATGTGACAGCCGAGTACCGGTAGTGATGATATGCACAGGAAAAGAAAATATCTTTCAGTTAAATTATATTTGATAGCGCACAAATTAGCTGATGACATCGTCAGTATTCAATGAAGAACTTGATATGCTGATTATTTTCACATATATTGTATCGTTTTATTGGTTTCTTCTATATTGGTATATATATGTAATACACACATCTATACATAAACTTGGAAGTGTACAAAAAAATCTAATTTAAAAAAAAAAAAAAGAATGAACTACTATAATAAATGTACGTGAGTAAAACAATGAGATTTAAAAGATGAGCGATTACGGCAAGTAGACTTATAAAGTGAATGAATGATTGAAAGTGCTTTACGTAGTTTTGGGCACTTGAAAATTTAAGACGAGAGAACGAAGAAGAAGAAGAAAAAATGCTGTTATTGTTATTGCTCAATACTTGTTCAAAATGTGAATCTACTTTGATCATCGAACTGTACATTAATGGTTTGATCAATTGGTGATGTTATTATCGTGTGTATAAATGTATTTATGCGCCTGTGAGTTACACAATCGAATCGATTTTTATCAGAATTCCAAGATAGACAAACGATAAGAAGATGAAAAAGAAAAGGAACACATTTGTGATAAAATTGAGTTAATCGAACAGATTAATGGATGAAATTTTAAAAAAAAGTTTAATTTCAATACACGTCGCGTGTATATTAATACAAAAAATTTAATTACAAACATAAAATTTCATCAGAATGAACGTGAATATATAACGAGAGACGTAATATTATTTTAAATTCACTTCATATTACATATTTCAAAAGTATGAAGTACTATTAATAGGATAACAAACGATACAGAAAAAATTCTTCTTGAATGATTTGTTTTCAAAATCAAGTGTAGAATATTGATTCTTACATGATTATTGTATTTTACATATTTGTAAATTTTTATTTTAAAGAAATGATTACTTAACAGTAAAGGGCAATATGTAACATAACCAACGATCAACTAACATCAAAGAGATAAGATGACGTTTACGGACCATCAACTATCATAAAAGATGAAGACGAAGCAACAGTAGTGTTCCTAATCAATTCACTTTATCAATGAGCTATTTAAATGTTCTCCGTTTGTATTTAATCTTTTATTCATCTGGAAGCAATACAATACTAGTGACAGAAACAGATGATTCAAGATTCCCTTTTCTGCCAAAGAAAACGTTAAATGCCATACGTTTAACAAATTTCTCCTGGATTTTTTCCCTTGTTTCTTTTTTCCATAGTAAAGGTCGAAGTGACGCGAACAAATGGGTGTCCTTATGTGCTCTTCCGTCCGTAAAACATGTGTTCTTTGGAATGTTGCACAAATTGATTCCATATGTTGTATCATTTAAAAGCGTTATTATTATCAATTGAAATTTATATTGAAAAAAAAACATAGTTTTATTTCATACTATTGTTTAAGCACAAACAGTTTTGATAATAATAATAAAGACGAATATCTTGTAAATAATCTTATTTATTTTTGTACATAATTATTGTCTGAGATTCGAATTTTCTTTCGCAGTTCTCCGCTGTCATTATGTCGATGATAGAGATTGATTATTTGTAATGAAAATCAAATTATTCACGTCATAAATGATTTTTATTGGCGAGTATTATCGTGAACTCATGTTAAGTATCATACATATAAAATTAAAAAGAAATAAACGATCCTGATTACTTCAGACTGATAGAAAAGGCCATATCAATTGAGACGAGAGTTATTTGTTCTAATCTATCAAGGTCTTTTTTATCGAGCAATATACCTAAGACAATATTTGTTTAGGACTAATATTAAACATATTTTCCCCATCGTATATGAAATATGATCTATAAATAAGATTTAAAATTATGATTCTTTTAATGCTTGCCTATGCCTATTTACTACATAATCATTTTAGGTGATAATATAAGTTTGCTGATTGCTTGTATTTATTGTCAACTAATAAGAGAGCACTTTTTTCCGTGGTCGCATAACGTCAGTCTAGATATCTATTTTTAACTCTATATCTAATTCGATCTTATTTGTAGTGCACTTCAAGTGTTTGGTTAGTTAAATCTACTTCCCCAGAATTAATTATTTTCTAAACCCTATTATTATACGAATTACTTCGGTTTCGTTAGTTATTTCACCGATGATTCTCTAGTTTTTAGCCTAATCAAAATAATGTAGACTCTGCTGAAATCTATCAAGGTCGTGAAGTAATTATAAACAGTCTTGGCGTTGCAACTTTGTTGACCTTACTTTGAAAGTGAGGTTTCAGTAAATTAATTTTATTGAAGAACTCTGTTTTTTTGTTCGAGACAAGATCTAATTTACTATTGAATTGTTTTCTTTTATATCAAGGTTAATAGATAGTTTAATTACCTAGAAAATGAACAGACGACCACATTTAACATATAGGAAAAAAACGTAACGTATTTTGAAGTGACATAAAATCTTCGGTGCCGAACAAGATTTTAAATTCAACTAAATTTTCTTGTTTCCGTATTTTGATGATCATGATGAATATATTCATCTTTTCATTTCATCTTACAATTCAATCAGAATGTGTGATGATATTTGATGAAGAATTTCATTGATTAGTTATTGTTGTTTCAATGTCATTTTGTAATGAGTAATAGTGTTTTACGAAATAAAATAACTTTTGAAGTTCATAAGATAAATTCAATATTTTGGGTTATCATGAATTTAGCTGATAACCACATAACTAGTATAAAAATCGTCGAAATCCAATGATGAACATTTCGATGGATGAAGCTGTGGACTATTTAGCGAGATAATACTTATATTTGATATATTTATGCGTACGTCTTCAGAAGGAACGACAGTCGAAATGACACTGCTGAACAGAGACCACCACAAGTAATGCATCTATCTTTCTTGTGACAGATGTGGCGTATTAATATTGAGATTACTAGTTTAGTAGTGAAAGATGCCAGCGCATTTTCATGTAATAGTATCTGATATTGATCTGCAAATTGATTGGCTATTCTATAAAATAAGTTTATTATTTCGCTTCAACGTAATTTGGGGATATAGTTTATAATATTTACATATTTTCGCTATTTAAATGTTAATCAATTCATAGAAATTGGTATAGTACTGAATTTACTTTATGCATTGGATTTTAAGTGAAATATATTATTCAAATAAGTTAGGAAAGAATGAATTTTCGACGAGAATATTTTATTAATGACCATAATGGATCTGTTACATTTGATACTCTTGATCAAATGCTAGGTAAACCATTTAAATCTTACAGAGAAGGCAAATAAATATAGGAGGCGTCTCACTCAGAAAACAGTGAATATCTATGGGCCTAATATTATAAATAATCGATATCAAAGACATACAACGTAACAATTGAGTGTTTAAAGTACTGTATAAGCCTGAGACAGTTTCAACTTTTCGAATCGCTATTTAGTATGATGCGAATTCAAAAATCTTATCTATCTATTTATATAAAAATACCTCATATCATTCGAATGCGGTTACTAAATAAACAAAATTCAAATCTTATCTAGACATTAAAAAGCATTCTTAACATTTATCTTCCCGATGAAATAATGTCTATCTATTTTCAATATTTATTCCAGAACGGGAAAACAAAAGACTCTTCCTTCCAGAATCATATTGGATTTTATGAGATAAAATTTTATGTAGATTTAAAAAAACAACGATACGATAAAAATCGTAGCTTATTTTTACAACACCTAAGTAGATTTCATCGAAATGTTTCAAGTTAATTTTGAACTATGGCTTGATAGTAATTTGCTGTGACTGTAATGAATTAATTCAGTTTTCTGGAGTGAATTGTAAGACTCTGAAATTGTTTCAGTATTGCAGAAAATATAGCCATGATATTTCGAAGTAATATCTATTGATAATAATCTGAAACATTATCTTTTTCAATTCATCATGAAAAATCATCTCGAGAGCAACATAGTCTAGTCGAAATGAGACACTCACATCCATTTAAGATTAAAATTAGTTGGTTTGCATGTGATCATTGCTCCATTCCTATAATAATCAACTTATCCGCCGTTATAGCCGAGAAAAATGACTTGTTGACTTTGATTCTCTAAGGAGCATAATCAAATTTTTTCTTGAGGTAAAACAGTAATTACTTCAATTATCCTAGACTAGAATGAAACTTAATCAAATAAAATTCCTATAAATTTTCATGAAAGACTAGGCTATTTGAAATAGAATTCAATTCATATCAAAATTTTAGATTCTATCGAGCAGTGCTTAAATCTGTACTGTGTATATGTATGAGCTACGTATGTAGAATTTTTCCTCCTATTTGAATAAATTATTTAGTGTTAATGGAAAACTAATTTATTCTAAAATTATTGTAACAGCGCTGCTTATTCCAAAGCTTCCGGCTCCATAATCTGTTGTCGCGATCGGCATATCTATTTTCATCCTATTCTTCTGAAATTCTATGGTTCGACCATTGATTGTCACTGAATCAGAAAGCAAGTGTTTCGTTTGATTCAGAATAAATTTGACAAACTAATAAAAACACAATATATGAAGACATGCCTAATGAGTTTTATCAATCAGGAAAAATACAATGACATTGGGAAAAATTTCACTAGTCACAAGTCTGAAATGTCAAGCTTCATCATCTTAGATACTATTTACTGTGTTGCATAAACATTTTGAAATTTTGTTGATTCCGACTCCGACTTTTCTCTATCTATATGTATGAAAATAAAAAATATGATCATGATCCATCGCTTTATCGTAATGAAAACAAAATTGCACTCGTTTTTTAAATTTCTCTTTACCTATAATCAACTTGAATACGTTACAATCTACGAGTTACTATTGATGAAAATAAAAGTAACATTTCAAACAGCGATAGATCTATAAATGGATATAAAAACGTGACTAGTTTAAAATCAAAACTTTCGATTTCCTCTTGTTAAAATTTAAGAAATTTTAGAAAATATAAATTTCTATTGAAAACATAACACAGATTTTTATGATAGCAACTATGAATTACACAATCCACAAGAGATAATAAATACTTTTCCCTTCAACTGTATCTTGAACAATAATTCACAAAAGTTTAATCATCTATCTTTCAAATAAAATTCTTTTGACTGGCTATAATGATTTGATTCAGTTACAAAAATGTATCTTTCTTCAAATAACTGAATAGATGGGAGTAGCCATCAACAATTAAAGGTCTGTCGTTATCGTTTTTTTTTTTTACTATAGATGTATATCGCTGACTACGGAAGCTCGAAGCTCTTCAAAAACTAAAGTTTGTCTTTTGCCAAAACTTCATGTATCAAGATTTGCTATGCCTGAATATCGAGACTTGCGTATGAACGAAATATAAAATAGATTAAAATAGTATGAGATATTCGATAACTATATTTTGTTTTTATTAATAGCGATGACATGAACTAGCTTTTATGACATGAAAGATATTCAATGTAAACAAATTATATTCCAACTGATTGTTTCTGTCAATACACCAGCGTCCTCTTTTCGATGCCTCGAAATAGTATTTGCACAAATAAGAAATATTTTCATCTAATCCTTGTCATCTTCTTCGACGTTCCATATAATTTTTTTATCATCGTAAATTGTAATTGTTAACAAGATAAAAACTACTTTCAACTATCTTTATCACATGACCGAAACCTTATGAAAATATACCATTATATTGTGAATTAATTTCATCGTCATCGTAGCTATTTACATTCCCTATTCATATGCAGAACTCTTATGACAAATTAATTTATTTTTCATTCTTTTCGTTTTTTGTCATATTTCATTCGAAACAATATCAGAACAAGCAAATAAAAATGTTGAAATGACAAGAATTCCTGCAGTGAAATGAAGTCGTCAGAAGTAAAAACTTACGTTTAACATTTTCATACAGACTTATTTGTATTCTTTAGTCGAATCAAACGAATAGTGGTAATAGTAAACCACCACTTCATCTTGTTGAAGGTGCAAACATGGTCATTGATCCACCCATTCCTGATCCATACACAGCTGATTTAGTTTCGTATGTAATTAAATTTATTTCGATACATAATTTATTTAATTCGAATTAGTGCTGTTCAATATGGTTATTATGATCGTGTTGTTGAATTGATTGAACCTGAACCAAATCTCGCATCAACATCTGTTAATGATGGTATAACATTACTTCATTGGGCAGCTATTAATAATCGTATTGAAATAGCGAAATATTTAATAAGTAAACAAGTAGAAATTGATGTTTTCGGTGGTGAACTTAAATCGACGCCATTACATTGGGCTATACGTGACCGTAAACTGAAAATGATTGTCTATCTTTTATCACAAAATGCACAAGCTTCATTATTTGACGGGGAAGGTAAAATAATATAACAACATTCGTTTTATTTTATATCTAACAAAAAAATCCTTTTTTTATAATCATGAAAAGGTTTTGCATCAATACACCTTGCTACGATGTTTGGTTATACAGATGTTATTGCATATTTAGTTGCTAAAGGACACGATGTTGATTTACTTGATAAACATGGTATGACACCATTAATGCATGCTGCTAGACGAATAGGAAATCGAGAGCTAACACAAGTACTGATTCGGTAATGAATTAATATTTCAAGCAAAAAACACTTTCTTCTAAAAATAATTTTTTTTTAGACTTGGTGCTGAAGTTAATTATCAAAATCCAGTCAACAAATTTACAGCACTTCATTATGCAATTCACGACGCGAATCTGGATGCTGTTAAAATTCTCCTTGATGCTGGTGCTAAAGTTGACATACGTAATTCTGATGTATGTTATTTGTTTTCGATTCAAAAACACTTGTAGATTTAATTTGTTTAGAATGAAACTGCATATGAATTAGAAGAAAAACAACCAAAACGTTTTCATATACGTTCATTCTTATTATCGCGTCGAGTTTCAAATCCTCATTTGCCAAAATGTTTACAGTTGAATAGTTCATATCGACGTTTAGGCACAAAACTTCTGCCCTATTTTATTTTAATTATTATTGCATTTATATTTCAATATACTTTGCCAATTATTTATAAGTTTATTCTTCTTTTTACTTTGTTTTTACTCGCAAAAGGTTATTCGATGTAAGCATGAAGGAACAATGAAGAATCTAATTCATTTTTATTTCTTAGGATATTTTTTGATGATAATGTTGATCGATATTTACCAATTGCCATTGCTCAAGCATCAATATTTTGTCTTTATGCTTGCTATTTATATTATTTTCTTGAATGTAAATTAGCCATATCATTATTATTATTATGAGAAATTTAATTTTTATCTTTAGACGTACATGTTATATCATGGAGTTTTCTTTGCCTAATTATATTGACGTATTTTTCATGGAAAAATTATTATCTTTCACAAAAATGTGATCCAGGTATTATTACGGAAAATAATCGAGAACAAAGTTATCGAGTATAAATTACTATAGTCGAAATAGAGACATACTAATGAACTTCATTTTTGTTTACTGTTTAGGTCATTATTCAATTAATTGAACAAAATTTATTTGGTTATGAAACTTTCTGTATGACATGTCTTGTAAGGCGACCGATGCGATCAAAACATTGTCGCGATTGCGATAAATGTATTGCAAAATTCGATCATCATTGTCCGGTAAGTTTTGCGAATAGTTAAAGAGAGATAATAAGAAGTGGTTCGAATGGAGCGTCTTCATTCTTTCTGAATGTCTATTCGAAAATTTCCTCTCAAATAATCTCAGACAAATATTATCGGACGGTTTTAAAATAGCGATAGGTTTTCATAATATCTTTTTTCGTAGTCATCATTATTGTTGAGGCATACAAGAGAATTGCCCTATTGCAATCGTAGAGAAGTACTAAAATCTAAGTATGAACTTATCTAGATCTTCTTCATTGATTGATACTTACGCAAAGCTGAACAGTTTTCATGAGAGAAGCGTTCAGCCTCTACTACCACTAGCTAATAGTTAAAAAATAAATATCACCATTCAATAACGAACGCTTTATAATAAATGTTGAGTGTATACTAAAGGATAAAGAAAGTTATATACGATCAGATTTTATCAGCGTAAAGCAAGAGATAAAATTTTATTCAAGTTCGACATAATGATCACTGCACAAAAACCTTTCAGAGATTAGAAAATTGAGTAACAATCTCTTGTGTAAATGAATCCATACAATTTCTGTGCGACTGTTTTACTAAAACACCAATGGGAAAGCCATTATGAACCGCATACATTAGAAAGAAGAATTTATTCTATTCTATTTCGCTTTCTGACACTCCTAACTAGCTGGTTTTTAGTGATAGAAATATGAGTACGTTCTTCGTGACAGAGTTTCTTAAATGTCATATAATTTTCATTTAATTAAATATTAGCCTTTTCTTTGGACAACATTAAAGTCGATAAAAGAAAAATTGTGTAGCGATTTACTGACAAAATATATCAAATTTAATTTGAGATATGACCTTAATATACAATGAAGATAAATTTAGACTTAACTTTTCGTTCATAGTCTAGAAGGTTTTCATAACCATTCAATATTTAATTCTTACTTTTATCATTTGATTATAAGAAGAAGAATTTCAGTAGAAAAGTTAGTGTTTATCATTGTCTAATATTCTAATTGAATAAAATATTATTTTGTTTTCTTTCTAATATCTATATCTATCGTCTTATACTAAAAGCAGAAATGGATCTCTATTAAAAATGATGTATACTAGGACATGCATTAAAAAAATATATGTAATTCATTTTCTCTTTGTAATACTACTTATCTTCTCAGCTATTAATATAATAAAAGAGTTTTGTTTAAATTTCTTTCAGTGGATTGATAACTGTGTTGGCGAAAAGAATTTAGGATATTTTACTGGATTTATATTTTTTACACCACTATGTCTTTATTTGTATTTTTATGGTGCATACTTATGTAAGTTGTTTTTATTGAAAAGTTTTGTATTTAAAAAAAAAATGTTTTTTTATTTGTAGACTATTATTATCATTGCAATTTATTTTCATCTGAAACTATCATAGATGGCATAAAGAAGATGATAGATTGTACACCAGCCGTTCTTTGGTTTACATCAATAGCTATTTTACATACCATTTGGATTGGTGGACTTTGTATATCAATTCTTTATCAAGTAAAATAGAAAATTTTCTCGTTTATTTTTCAAAGTTTGATTTTTGTTTTAAATTTAAGATTGCAACTGGTTATACAACAAATGAAAAGTTCAATGCTTGGCGTTATAAACATCTTAAACTTAAGGATTATAGTCCATTTTCATTAGGATGTAAACAAAATCTAGTAGATTTAATTAATCGACGTATACTCTGGTACATACCAGTTACTATTGATTGGACACGTATTTATTCATTAGATGACTTCTATCAAGCACTTCCATTAAAAATAAGACAAAAATTAAATATTTCTTCTGTTAATTCTTCAGTGGATTTATACGATGTCTGATATGAAATTAAGATAGCAAAAACGGGGAGAGACTGATTCCAATACAACATACATAGTATGCAACCATGTTTGTTTGTTTTTAATTTTATATAAAACGACATTCAGGAATGTAAAAGAGAAGAAATAATAAATCACCTGTATTGAGAGGGAAACGCTTTTTTTTTACTTATTTTTTTTTTGCAATAAAGACGTTTTTTTGCAGTGTTAATGAGATTTAATGAAGCGATTAGTAGCGTTTATTGTTAAGAGCACTGCTGCTTTTTTCTCTATTAATAGATATATACGGGCTTGGACACAGCCTATTTTTAAAACAGAGTTAATGATGTGCCTTGAACACATCATGTACACGACATATGATTTTTTTGCCTTTCTCTTAGTCATCGTATATTTGCATAATGAAAGTAGGACTTTTCGTTTTCTTGTGCGTGCATTTTTGTTTTTTACAAGTATTTTCAGTTTTTGTTGTTATTTTGAAAGAGAGTAAAGACTCATGATGTGTATTGACATGCGTCATTCTGATGTGAATGAATTAAACAACTACAGTGTTTTTTTGTAAATAGATTTTACTCACTTGAGTTAATCACGATAGTTTTGATCATTCAAGCATATAAAATGGTAAATTTTACTTTCTTTATGTTATTTTAGATATTTCTATAAGAATGGATCTTGGTCGACATCCACATAGGTCAGCACACTTTTCATTTCGTGATAACGTAAGACAGATCGCAGAAAGATCTCATCGATTGGAAGCAAATGCAAGACAGGCTATTCAACGCTTACCTGTTGTATTAAATGAACAACAAATAGTACGCTTAAAAGAACACACATACGCTTCTGAAGGAATAACATTGCTTGATCCATACATGCAAAAATTTTGGAGAAGACTTGTTGAATATTGCCCATTATGGGTCGCTCCAAATCTTATCACAATTGTTGGTTTAGCGATAAACATAAGTGCTAGTATTTTACTTATGTTTTTAACAAACGGTGCTAAGGAACCGGTGAATAACATTTTGCCTTTGTTGTAATCAAGAAATATTTCAAACAATAAACTTTTATTTAGTGTGCAAGATGGATGTATTTTTTGACTGCTATTGGTCTTTTTATATATCAATCACTTGATGCTATCGATGGTAAACAAGCTCGTCGTACGAATTCTTCAACGCCATTAGGTGAACTTTTTGATCATGGTTGTGATTCAGTTTCAACAGGTTATTTTCATTTCTAAATTACTCAAAGAACTATTGATCGATTTTCATATCGATTTTAGTATTTGTCACAGTTGCATGTTGTTGTGCTCTTCAACTTGGATTACGCCCATGGGTAATGTTTTGGTGTTGTATGTCTTCTTTCGTTACTTTTTATTGTGCGCATTGGCAAACATATGTATCTGGAAAGCTTAGATTTGGAAAGTACGCTTTGCAGAATAATATCCTAAACTATTTGCTGTTAAATTTTAGACTTGACTGTACTGAAGCTCAATTTACATTTATTCTTGTTTATTTGATAAGCACTATAGATCCTCGTGTTTGGTCTGCAACGGTTTGTTTAGGAGAGAAAAAAGTTGACTAAATAATTGTATTTAATTTCAATAGATGCCCATCATTAATATTGAATATCGTGTATTAGTAGCATTCTCAGCGATTTGTTCGGCAATATGGAGTTCAGCTAATAATATTAATATCATATCAAAAGGTGGTTGTGGAAGACATTATTCATCTGTTGCTGTAAATATTAACTTGCATTCTATTTAATATATATTCTAGTATGTTCTTACGTTTTTTAAATAAAAGGGTTCAAGTATTATTTATCCGATTTTACCAATGATTTTTCTGATGCTTCTTGCTATTACTGCTGGTTATCGTTCAATATCGAATGTACTGGAAGAACATACATCGCTTCTTTTAGTTTGTTATGGTATTGTATTTTCAAAAATAACGAATCGATTAATTGTTAGTAAATGTTGTTTTCTTGCTTTAATATTTCATTTTATAATAAGATATCCTTTACATTTGTTTACTTCATAGGTTGCTCACATGTCGAAAAGTTTACTTAATTCATGGGATTGGGCTTATATGGGACCTATAGCTATCTGTGTTAATCAATATCTTAATTGTTTGATAAGTGAAGAAATCTTTTTCTGGTTTTTTCTGGTAAGCTGCTAGAGAATGTAAACCTTTTATTTATTTTTGTTGCTCAGAGTATTATATTTCTCTAATTTAAAAGAAAACAAGGCTAACGCCAATTAACATCTACTCTTGAGTTATGCATGAGATTCATGTGTCATCCATAAATAACATTCGAATGACGTCAATGTTCGCGCCACAATAAAAAAAAGAGCAATAAGTTTAATTTCAATTATTTGACAATGACAAAAAGTTCTTGCTTTGTGGTTTTCATTATTCGAAAGAGAGAAACTGTGGATGTCGTATTGTTTGGTCTCATATTATATTAAGATCAAATTATTTTAAAATTAGTATTTTTGCATGGAAATACATAGCAACGGTGTTACGTTTCCATGAAATTGTTTATATATATATATATATAAATATAATACATTATCAGGCGATAAAAGTTGTTTGAAATCTTTGACTATTTTGTTTCTAAACATTGCCGTGTACTAGCTGTTATAGCCGCGTTAGTCAAATTATACTCATTGATCTTTAATTTTGATTCGGATATGAGTTGGAACGTAGCTTCAAATTGCGACCGAGAACTAAGCCAGTTAAGAAAAAAAGGCCGCAATTTGGAATGAAGAATTTTACGTTGATTCTCATTTTTTATTCGATTCCAAATTGCGACCACTTTTCAATTATCAATCAATCAATACTTTTAATTGAAAAGATGTACTGAAAAAAGACTACAGAAAATTATTCCTGATCACTACTATCTTTTATAATGTGAATGTAGCGATGAAAAATAGCACGCAAAAATTTTTGAACATTTTCTGGCAATTTCGGTTCGTGATTATGATTTTAATCATTTGATTTTATAATTACATTATTTTTCAATGCTATAGAACGAGAGCACCATTTATTAGTGCAGACATAAAGTGATGAATTGTTCTTATTTTCTTGCTTTAAATGAAATAAATAGTTATTATATAGAACAGCCTTTTCATCTTTTTCGGTAGTTGACCCTGTAAAGTTCGTATTCATTGTATGATATTCATTAGCAGTCTTGTTTTTCGCGCTTACATATCAACATTATCATTACAGCACAACTCATCATCATATATACTGATAACTAATCAATTAAAAGTGACCGCAATTTGGAATCGCATAAAAAATGAGGCCAACATAAAATTCTTCATTCCAAATTGCGACCACACTTTTTCTTAATTGGCTTAATTTTCGGTCGCAATTCGACCATAGCCGAGTTGGAATGTGATCAAATTAAGAACCAATAGACCACAGTTAAACAAGAATTAACTATTCTATTTTCATGTGTCACATCGAAACATATAAACAATGTAGTAAATTAAATCTACTCTTAATGTAATTGTAAGCTCCGATTTATAATATATGAAAAGAAATTCTATTGTTCGAGCGTTGGGCACGTGTCAATAATGTAATGAAATTAGTTTTGTTATTTCTTAGAAATATGATAAATTCTTCTAATATTATCAGGAAATAGTATCGAATATTTTTTTTTCGAAGATTTGCACTCATAAAACTTAACTAAATTTTGGTATATTTCAAGAATTTTCTATTAGATTAATTACTTGCTTTGCAAGTCTCGACGGAAAATTCTGTCTAAATGACGGAAGCTAACCTATCGGTCTAATTGATTTAAATTATGAATGATACTAATTAACACTAATGCTCAATTACTTTTGCTTTTGCTTTATTTAGATTTATAACCTGTTCGATTTACTTCGGTACAATATAAAAGTATGCCAAGAATTATGTGATGCCTTAAATATATACTGTTTTCGAATCACACCATCAACAGTATTGATAGCTGATGGCTCTCATTAGTAATATCAAGGCCTTTTCTATCTTGTTATTATTTCTTTTTTTTTTTGTCTAACCCTTGCATTTATGTCTATTATACTTTGGAATTGATTTGTATTTTGTAATTTGACACACTGTTATATTGGTAGAGATATTTTCCTTGTGTACAACTTGCGATTCTAGTTGTCTATTTCTCTATCTAGAAAAAATAGAAGAAATAGAACACACATTAGTCATGTATTTTTTTTTCACTCATTCATTCATATAGTATCTATATATTTTAAGATTTAATTTGATTGTTCAATGTCAAACGATAATGAACCGACAACGTTCGAAGAAGCATGCGAACGTTATATTGAATATCGAACACGTTTTGAACGTTTAGAAATTGATTTCGATGAGTTTCAACAGTCATCATTGAATTATGAACAAGAATTAGAAATACAATTAAAAGAATTAGATTGTCAAAAACATCGTTTACAACAAGATTTATTTATTGAGCGTACACAAAATGAACAGTATCGAGATCGTAGTGAACAAACTATAAAACAACATGATAAACATTTTGATCAAATGCAAGAAGAATTAAATGCATGTAAACATTTGAAAGACAAATTAACACATTACATACGCGAATTGGAACAAACAAATGATGATCTTGAACGCAGTAAATAGAATTTTGTTCTTTTTCTTCTCGTCTTTAAATTGTTTTCAACTTAGATAATAGAACATTACTTGATAGTTTATCAACGTTTGAAACAAAACTTAATCGTGCATTAGAACAAAATGCTTTACTAGAAAATGAACTTGATGAAAAACAGCAGGTAGTGTAAAAAGAAAAAAGAAACATAGATATCCTTATGGTTTTGTTTTTCTTCGCATTTTATAGTTAACTGAAACAGTTCAACGATTACGTGATGAAACTCGAGAATTACGTGAAGAACTCGATGTACTACATAAAACAAATCCAGAAAAAACTATTCATTCTAGTGAAACACCCATCGTTAATAGCGATAGAATGAAAAGTATTCTATCTGAAGCAGCAGCTAATAGTGGCGCAATAATACGTAATTCTGATGTTCGAAAAGGTAACCTAGTAGGAATTTTTGTAAAATTTTACATATTCGAAAAAAAACGAAAAAAAGCACTAATTTATGAACTAGTTAAATATTTTTTCTCACAACATCAACACAAAATAGTCTCTTTCTAGAATATTTAAAAAGCAAGCGACGGAAGAGTAAAGCTAACTTTTCAGCAAACATCTTCCAGCCAATCCATGCGCTAGATTAAATTCCTAATCGTGCACAGTTCTACTATTAGTTGCTAGCACTGATAATTTTCTAATTTTATTTTACTAAAAATAAAAGCCTCTAATGAAAACAGTGAACATTATCTCTTCAGTATATATCTATTTTGTCAAATATTAGTATTTGTACTTGCTAATTTTTTTGGAATATGAAACAAAAAGAAGGAGATTAACTTCACTAGTTGTTAAAAAAGTCATTAACATCTGTTTACTATTAAAATCAAATTAACACCATCTTGCTCAGTTCTAGTATTATTTCCCTGAAAGATAATAATTTTGAACTTTTAGACTCATTAAAATGTGATTTGACCCTGCCATCTTTGCCACATGATCAACAAAATAATATTTCAACTCCTAAATCACCAATATTATCGACAACAACAACAACAGATTTGAATCATATTATTTCTACTTCAACTGATCCACAATTAATAAAAGGAAATGATTATTATCAACCACTATCAAATTCGACTCGATTAGAATCATTAAAATTAATCAACGAAGCATTAAGACGTTTTACAGCTCTTGAATCAACTCTTTTAACACAACGTAAGCAATCTCAAATCACACCATCCATCTATTCGACTCGTTCAAGATTTAATTCAACAACAATTTCACCTTATAGTAAACATACTGAGTCGATTGTAACTCAAACACATGCATAATAATATGTTTCGCGTTTTATCTCAGATATATAGCTATATATATTTATTTATTTATTTATGTATGAACATATATCTACTTAATTTACTGATAAGATTTATTTGTTTTAATTTTTTTAATCAAATAATAAGGATTATTTCTTGTTTTCTTTGAGACGACATTTTAGGCTTCTATAATCTATCGATTTATTTGTTTATTTATTTGGTGTAAAGAAAAAAAATTTAAATAAATTATAATTATTAAAAGTAGTTTTGGTAAATGCAAGTTGCGTGGGTGGGTTTGATTTCATTATCAAAAATCTGGATAATATCACAGTTGTTTTTGTTTTGACTTGTATTGTAATGAGTATAATCAAATATATGTGTGCGTGCCATGTCAAATGAAGATGAAAGAGAGTGAAGCTATTCATGTAATCAAATTTTTTCTGATATTTTATCATCATATAACGTCATCTATAGAAAAAATTGAAATCATGTTTTGATATATTTTATTTGATTTCAAATATTTTTCGACAAGTCTTGAAATAAAATCTCATGACAATTACAGTTCGCATACTGCAGCGCTACATTCATCGGCATAGAAATTTTTGAATGTAGCGACACTGGATTTATCTGTTTTCTCTCATTTTCCTCTTTTTTTCTTTTTTCTATAATAACGAAGTCCTGAGTTTCTGAATAGATCAGAAAAAAAAAGAAGAGAATATAGCGGAGTACAGGATTTGACATTACGAAAAAGAAAGCAATGCCCGTAACGGGCGGTGTTGTCGATTCAACAATTATATCGGTGAGACCAATCGATGTGATTCCAACATCAAGGCAACCGTCAACAGGAATAACAACGACAGCAGTCAATGCAGGGGATGATAGAGAGATTTTTAAAGTAGATTTCTACTCTATGAAAATCAATGAAAAATATATTAAATTCGATTTATTTTCATTATTTTAGGTACTACATGATTGTATGAAAGATGTAGGGAAATTTAGACAATATATCTATTATATTGGCACGTCATGTGATACAACGAAACTACGGAATAAAATTCAAAAACTTAAAGATCGTATCAATCATAGTTTCTATAGTCAACGAGAACTTGTACGAAAAGCAGCATCAGCAACCACACCGACGTCGTAAGTTGATTCATCTAATAGATTCAATTAAAATAGAACAATAAATAAACATCATTTTCAAATGAATTATTGACAAAACTCATTGTTTATTATTTTCTTATTTTTTCTTAGACCAAAACGAGAATTATCAATGAACCGTTTCGAAAAATGTTTATGTTTTACATTGGCTTCTATAAATTATTACGAAAATTTACTTCACAAATTCTCAATTCTTCTTGTATATTTTCCAATAGCTACTGGAGGTAAAAACAATTAGTCGGTTTCTACTATTTGAAATGTATTTAAATGAATATTTTCTTTAATATAAGATCGTACAAATGTTGTTAATTTGGGTTTTGAAGATTCAACGATAAATTCTGAGGAAACATCATATGAAAATCATGAAGCTGAAGAAAATGAAACCAATAGATATATTGAATTATTAAAGTAAAACAAAAACTGCATTTAAAGAAATAATCGATCTGAATTTTTTTAGTCAAATACAAGTTCTTCAGGTACTCCGAGATGAAATTGAAAAGAGTGATGTTTTAGAAAGCAGAACTCAAGCTGCATCTTATTCAAAAGAATTCAGTTCGTATATAATCTTCAACTATTATTTATAGAATTGATGTTTTTCGTTTGTTTCATCTTCTTTCTTGAAGTTGAAAATATGCATAAATACGCAAATGAAATTACAACAGAAAATAATTCAACCCGACTTGATACAGCTCGCTATTCATTTCGTGATTATTTTGGTGAAGACTCCGCAACAACAGTATGTAACTTAATTGTTATCGTCATCATTTGCTATTGTTTCGATGTTGTTGCATGTAGATTGAGTGATATGCTTGTGCTTCGTTTATTTTCACATTTTTCCACGATTAAAACAACGAGTATGAAAAAGCACACATAAAGTAAAAGGTAATTGTATTATTCTTTTGCTTTTCTCCCAATATATGCATGTTTATCAAGGTTGTGCCTTTTCTTACATGTATTTTTCGTGTATCAATATTGATTATTTTTTGTTTTCATTTAGGCTGGAAGATGTTATCAAAGATGTAACAGACGTAAATTTCTATGCACATTAGCTGTTGTTTTACTAATTTTGATTATTGTGGCCGTTATTGTCACTGTTATCGTGACTACTAATAAAGCATCGACCGGTGGTTAATAAAAAAATTTACGGTCAGATCAGTGTTACATTTTGCCGCCCGTTTTCAATAGAACAAAAATACAATACGAATTTTAAAAACTTTTTACGAATAACGAACTTAGTTTTATTTTGTGCTCGAGCTATCTTTTTATGTGTATAAATATATATATATATATATATATATATGTAAATCCCGTCCAATGTATTACAAATTGTTTAGTTCTATTTTGAATTTCTTTAAAAAAATATGCTTGCTTGCTTTTTATGCATACACACTGCTAATTGATGTTATATATTTCAGATATACTGATGATAGCATCAACAACATCTCCTATTATTATTCCAGTTTCATCTATACTTCGAGTTCTAGGAAAAAATTATGATGAATCGATTTTATTAACATCAACATATAATCAAGTAATTGTGTGATTTTATAGTATTTTTTATCTAGCGAATGATATAAGAAATAGAACAGAAAACAGATATTCTACTGATCCTATTGTGTTTATTACGCTGGTAAACTTCGCTCTTGGATCTATAATAGACGCATTTATTTTTCTACGTCGAAACATCACATGATTTAGCATGTGATATGCTATACATGAAATCAGATCCAAAGTTTATTTTTACTTTTTATTAAAAAAATTTATCTATACATTATTTATATTAGGACAGAACCAAAAAAAGAGAAGAAATATTGGGTTATATATATTTCGAAGTTTGTTGCTATGTCTTGACTCAAGGACTTCTTTATGTTCTATAAGATTCTCTTCTTCCTGTATTATGTATTCGTTGATTGTAATAGAATGCAAATAAATAGAATTGCTCTATGGTAATTCAAAGACAATAAAGAATATCACAGAGAACATCTGTGACCTCGAGGGATAAGAAATAAGCACAAAACAGAGTATGACGTTATCTAAGCCACTAATATTACATTGAAATTTTTCCCTGATAAGTGGTACTATTTTGTCTATGAATTAGTATTAAGAATTTTATAAATAATATTGAAAATGATATTTTGAAAAACTAAAAAATAATATCAACTGAATACAAAACTTCTATATTTTGATTAAATATCTGATAGATATTTGATCGAAGAGAATAAAATTAAAGAAATTTTTTTAAACAGTTCAGTTTGCTTTAGTCTTTGCTACGTGATCGTCGCCATCGTCTTTCAAATATAATTGATAATCAAACTGGTATACAACAAATAAATTCTTCACTCTATCATAACATATCCGATCGTTTAAGCACAACACGTACAGATCAAGTATGTGTTTATCCAAGACGATCATATTGCCGTCATATAAGATATAATCCATATCTATTGACATTACCACAAGAATCGAAAATTCCTAAAATTGATATTATGGATAACAATGTTGAAATAATAAATCCGTATGAGCAAAAATCTAATGAAAATGAAATAAAAAATGAAACAATCACAACAAATCATGATGATCAAAATACTATACCCGATGAATATATGTCAACAAGTAAAACAACGAAACGAAAAATAACTATGAATCATAATTGTCAAAATTGTAAACAAAAGTTTAAAAATAAAACTCAATTAAATTTACATATAATTAAATGTCAAAATGAAAGTGAACAAAAGTAATTTCTTTGACATATTAGCAAAAGTTTCTATTTTATTCTTTTTTTTCTTCTAGTGAACAAATGCCTCGTCGACATTATTCTAAAAATGAATCTTTATTAGTGTCATTACTTAAACAAGAAGCAATTACAGAGAAAAAATCAGACATCCAAACAAATGATATATCACCATCAATTACGATGACACAAACATCTGAGTCTTTTGAAAAAACAACACAAATTGATAATATGATAAAGATTGACTCCAATAGTATACAAATTAAGCTAGAAAAAAATGATGTTGATTTTATTTTAAATGATTCAGAAATATTAAAGAAAACAATTAGTAAAGCACAGGTATTTATATATGTGAAAAGAAGATTCATTTAGTTCTTTGTCGTTTCTTGAATGAATTGATTTGATGAAAGCAATTAGCTAAGTACTAATAAATAGTTGGAATAATTATGAATAAAAGTTCTTTTCTTTTCTTGATGTGTGTCAATGAGAACTGTGATTCTTTATAAGTGAATCTATATTTTTATTAAATGTTGCTGTCAAATATCATAGGCTTTAATTATGTATGAAGAATATTCTAATGGGTAGAAGAACCCTCATATTAATTTTAGTTAGAAAAGAAAAATAGAAATATAGGTTATGAATTTTATTTTCTAAGATGCTCTAAAAGGTTCATCATTTTTACTACTAATTTTGAGTATAAGGTTAATTAAGAAGGTCGCATGTCTTTCAACGATAATGAATTATGGAAGGGTTCGAAAGTAATGAAACACTGAGAATTTATTCTCTGTTTTGACATCATAGGTTGACAGTTATATATGACATTACAACTATACGACACAGCTTAGATAATATGTGTATCATAAGCTATTAAACCCGAAAGTTCCCAAAAACAAAAAAAAGCATCTGAGTATCTGTCATGCATGTTTTCATAAATGTCTCAGAAGTTATCCAGCATAAAATAATAGTCAATTAATTTTTGTTTTATAATGCCGCGTTTTCGAGCAGTTTTAATATGTCACAATTCTAAAAAAGAAATATTAAAAAAAAAAGAACAAACGATAGACACAGTCGTGCAGGAGATTCTTGTAAAATTTTCAATAAATGCTTATAAGCAAAATGTGTTTTCTATGTGTGTCGTGATATTTTTCTATGCATGACATTTAATTATCGGTCCAGAAAGAAAAATTGAGACGAGACATTAACTTGCTTACGGTAGGCTATCCCGTAGGCTTTATTCTGGTATTTTACTATTAATGAATTTTATTCATAAATAGAAAAAATGATAATTGCGTCAATAATTTCTTTTACCTTGAAAGCTTTGTAGCTTGTCTAAATTAAAAGATTAAAGATTTTCTTTGTCTAGCAGATAATCTTTAACTTTTCTAAGTTAGTAATGTATGAAACAATATCATCTTGAAAAAGAAAACTCAGAAATATTCTTTCAATTAAATCATTATCATAATCTTATGATGGGTTTCATTTTGAAATCTATAAATGACTTTTACAAACAAAACACGTTATGTCGTATAAAAAGGAAGGAAAAAATAAATTATAATAACATAAAATAAGTTATCTCTTACAGATTTTGTTTTTCTTTCAAGGCTAATTAATAATCGATTTTCACGAGGACTTTTTTTCCAACTGATAACCTCAGTTCGAACTTGTGGTTTATTGATTATTAAAGTCCATTATGCAAATAAATGCCCTTGAAGGATATATGTCATTAGCGTTTTTTTCTTGATTTATAATCATTATGCTAAACTTTGTGCCTTAATCTTGATCTAATGTGGAACGCTGAATGCAGCTATTTATCTGAATTTTCACCGAGAAATATATAGATTCCACAATTTTTATGGCCTCATATAAACGTCAGATGACACAGACTAATCCACCTTGACGTAAAACAGTTGAAGCAGGTCTACTCAGACGATCGACTATGTTAATTAGCTTGCTAGGAGTTCGAACGGAAATTATCAGTAACAAGAATTTCTTCGTTAGAGACAAAATAAATATTTCCTTGATGACACTAATGTATGGTTTGGTTTTGGAAAGTTTTCCGGTCTTCTCATCTTTGACAAACTCTAAAGATTTGTACAGAAAATAAAATTTTGAACCCATTTGCAATTAAAATCAAACACATCTGAAGAAGAAAACTAATTCTATTCATGAATACATTGCCAACATAGTTTATGTATACTAGCGGTCATTCATCCGATGATACCTAAAATATAACAAACATAATTAAACTAAAAGAAAAGAAAACAACGTCTATTAAGATAAACAACGAATAAATCTTTTCTTTTCCGTCAACTATTAAATAATTAGTATTTATTTCATTAATTTAGTCGATATCGTCTTGTCAATCTCTGCCAAAACCATTATCAATAATAGCTTGTACAATATGTGGCGAGGGAAATATAATTAATGATGAATTAATTAAGTGCTCGACATGTCAGAAAAGTATGCATGCATACAAATGTCTTAGTTTTGAAAATAATAAAATTTTAAAAACAATTAAAACCTATTCATGGGAATGTGTCGATTGTAAGAAATGCATTCAATGTGGTACAGTGGAACATGATGACGAATTACTTTTTTGTGACCATTGTGATAGGTAAAAATTTCATAAGTACAAAAAGAAAGAATCACATATTTTGCAATTTTTTAGAGCTTATCATATGGATTGTTTAAAACCACCATTGAGTGAACCACCACCAGGTGAATGGTATTGTCAATTGTGTGTATAATTGAACAGTAGATGAAATTTCAAGTGATTTTAATTTTGCTCAAAACAAAAAACCACAGCGTTAAATCAATTCATTCTATAAATCGTTGTTTTTTTTTCTTTGTTTTATGTTTGTGATGATAATGTGTGATATTTTAGGTATTTATCCGGTTTGATTTGACAAATGTTTTGCTTTGTTTTGTTGAATTGTCAGATAGAATTTTTATTTTTGTTGCTTTCAGATTTTCTCTTCTAAAAAAAAAACTAGAGAATCAAAATGATTGAACGATGTCTCTATATATTTCCGCTTTCAGTTTGTTTACTTGTACCAATTGCTTATTTTCTTTCGTAAGTAATTTTTCTTTTGAAATCGGAACTGATTGTATTCAAAGAAGACATACTATTTAGTTTTACTGTCGCAGTTAAACTTGGGCATTCTAAATTTGAATTTCCATTTCTAAGGTAGAAATTTTGATTGTCGAATGATATTTTTTCATTAAATTTAATTAGTCGTTCATCTACTGATTCGCCAGAATCATGCATTTTCTCGCAAATCATTAATTTTGCTTCTTTTGTTCGTAAGTACACTTGAATCGACGAAAACATCATTATATAGAAAGAAACTTTTTCATTTCTAGTTTTCATTACTATCTATATACGTTATCGTCAATTGTAAGTAAAGATTTAAATTAATAAGTAACTTCGAAAATCCGACTTTCGTTCGTTTTAAGATCTCAACTTATTCGCAATAATCCAACATGTGGCAAAAAATATTCTCAAGCAAATTTTATTTTTTTCATTTGTGGTTTAACAGCTGCATTTAGTTTGAGTATTATCTCAAATTTTCCAGTTAGTAAACGAATAGCATTTAATTTGGTTGATATTATTATTATTGTTCTTTTAGCATGCTAATGTATTTCCTATTCGATTGTTTGCAACCTATTTAACATTCACTGCTAGTGTCGTGGCACTCTACTGTGAAATGCTTTTATCATCATGGATTCGACCATTATTATATTCAAGTCGAGTATTACCAATTATTCGAACTATAATTACAGTTATATCAACTTTGGCACTTTTTGCATGTAAGTATAAATTAATATTAACAACAAATATTTATACGACATACAAAGATTTTGCTTTTGCTTTTCTGCGAGATTCGTGTTAGTGTGTGCAAAGCCTTCGATTTTTCCGTTGATGTGCCTTGTACATAGTAGTTATGATGGATGATATGTATATAGTGAGTAGTCATATTTAGTTTTCTGGTCGTTTTTTTAGAGGGATTAATGAGTTTTCTACGTGGTCGTATTAGAACGCAACAAGTCAATGATTGAAACTAATTAACAACATTTAGATTATGTCAAAGCTAGTTGTTCCGAGCATGCCATATGTTCTTATTAATAAGATCGTGCAATACTAATCATATAATAGGGTATTGACGACATTCGATGAGTAGTTATTAGAATTTTGACATGATATGATTATTTTCCAAGGGAAGCAAGAAGCGACTACCTTAACTTCTTGTCTATTTTGAATACGTCATTTCTGCGATGTAGATAACTCGACATATGCTGGTTATTCCAGCTGAGTATTAACCAGGAAGTAATTAGCGAAGTACGCTCGAACCAAAATGAAGTAAACATCCGAGAAGTTCGGAATATCGCAAGCTGCATCGATGATTAAATTTTTCAGTCATATCCAATTCCAAACAAATGTTCTCTATAACTAACAATTCAGAAAAAGCATTTTTCTACTATTGAAAATTGTTTTTTCAGACTGCTCATTTAGTTATGCAAGCATTTGTTTGTTCATTCACATCTGAATACTTCATCATGTCGCTTGTGAAAAATAAATTGAATTTTTGAAAGATATAAGTATGCTCAGAAGAAAAATTGAATAGAAATTAGTAACAGCAAGAGATGCTTTCAAAAACTACAGTGAAAAACTGTCAACAATAATGCCTCGATTCAACGCTGCTCTTTTAAGTAACACACATGTAGTGAGAATGGTTATGCATTTTTGTTTTGTTCTTTTCACGTCGCCAATACTGAACTCTTTTAGCGTAACTTCTTCGAACAATAATCTCTAGGGTTGATTTCTTTCAAGATATCTAGAAGAACATGACATATATGAATCGTATTAGAATTATCTCTGACAGTTATTATCTCGGGATGCTGCGTATTTTAATTTTTCACAGTTATATCGCTAACGAACGATTTTATCACTAGAACTGAAATGAATTATGATGACTTACAGTAACAGACTAGAACATTGCTGATATGCTCCTTATAAATCATAGTTTTCATGTCAATTATAGAGAAAAAGAGTTTATATTGAGATTAATGTTTACTTCATAGATTAAGTAATGTTAAATATCATCGAATAGGTGAATGCGATTGATTGATTTTATTGCGCTCGATTCTATACTATGGTACACTATTCAAGATTTCTATACGTATGTATAACTATATATTCAATTCTGAGTAAAAATAGAAAGTGCATTAATCAAAATTGAATCGATGTCTATTCGATTAATAAATATTTAGCAACAGGAATTGCTAATAATATACGTTTCATATACTAATTGTCAAGGTAAAAGTCGATGATAAAAAAGAAAAACACGACGACATCACAAAAGCTTAGCATGGGTAATTATTTCCTGATGTTACCCATAATCACATAGTTATCAGGAGGCATACATCTTTTGTTCGAAGCAATCTACAGACTATCTAGTAAGACATTTATAATAGGCATTGTTTTCATGATAACATCAGTTCATATTTTGACTTATATTATTGATAGACATCAAAAACAAAAAACAATCACTGGTTCATTTTGTCGTTTAGTTTTTGTTTTTCAAACAATTACTGTTATCAAATATGATAATGAAAAAAAAATCTGGGCACCAACAAGTCCTGTATGTACATTTAAAATTTTATATGTGATTGAAATAAAAAATATAAATAATTTCTTTTTTCCCCTTCAAATCTATAGGGCTGGATGTATCATTTAAGCAGTATTATATCAGCATGGATCTTAACCATATCTCTTCTTGTCTATACTCTCACACTAATATTTGATTTTCGTCGTATCAAAGTTATATCTCCAAAAATTTTTCTTACAGATGATATGATAGATGATCAAGATTAGTTTTTGTATATATATAATCATTTTTATTTGTCTTTTTATTGTATATACAGATAGCAGTGATTTTGTCAAATTTTTGTTTCATTTCCATTAGTCTATGCTCATATAATACATGTGCATGCAAAAGAAAACAGGTGGCCTGTCTTTTCTTTTACTATATAGTCTATGTGTTGTTTGTTTAATATATAATATCCTTTTTTTTTAAATGTTGTTTTCTGTATCAAAATAAAATTCAAATCAAATAAATCAAGAACAAATCAAAATAAGTATATATAATTATATGTGATTGTTGTGCTTGTTGTCATTATGAAATTTGATAAATGATGAATATGTTCCCATTTTGTAGATTGGGGTCGTATTTTAATTAATAATCAAATTTGTGAAAAATATTTCAACGAAACAGGTAAGATAGATATTGTATTGTTTTATGTGTTATATGTATGTAAAATAGACAAAAATCAACGAGTGATAATTTTCAGTAAAATTATATGATACAAAAACATTTCTCTCAGACTAAAATCGTATGAAAACTACCATCATCGTTACAGAAAATATGCGCTTATAAATAACTACCATGTTATTGTGAGATGAGAATGGCTGAAAACACAGCGATATTTAGATGAATTTTAAAGTCATGTAAGTGTATATCACAATATTCCCGTCAGCACTATTTCAATGGAAGAAAATAATCTTGTTTAGTGTTTTTCATACAGATTGAAGATGAAAGTTAATTATAAATGGCATAAAGTATTATGAAAAGTTTCTAAACAGGGTCATTTTTTAAATTATTATGTGAGTTATGTTGACAATGAAAAACGTGCTCTTGTTTTAATCTCAATAATTAACAATGTGAATTGTCTTGCTTTTTTAACGTAAGGTGTCCGTAAGGCGAATTTCGAGCAAACGTTTATTTTTTCGTTTTCTTTTACATGATTTGATAGAGCGTGATCTGCTGATCACGAAAATCCATTTTTTAATCTTAGCAAATGCTTTCTTCCGGTCGAAAAGTACGCAATACTGGCAGAGTGTCGCTTGTTTAAAAGAGTAAATCTTTTTCAAAATACGTAAAATTTTCTGTTGAATTCTTTTTTTCAGCTCTTGAAATTATCTGTTTCAGATTCACCATTGAAAATTGACTATAAAGAAGTTCTTAAATCGACTCTAGACCCAAAATTTTATTAGTGGTGGCACTTCAAATCACGTTCACTGCACTAGCGATTCGTCGATTTTGTAAGCCTATCTCGGTTTTCTATGTAAGTAATACTTTATCATCAATATCCATCGTATATTCATCATTTGACGAATCGCTTGAAGACAACGCCTTCGCATTTGGCTCGCGACAAGTTCTTGCAGCATGCAATTGACTTTTCCTTTTATTTGCTTTAGGCATACCGAACTAACTTAGTTCAGCTTTAAATAAATATCTTAAACAAAGACGCCTGTTTTTATTGCTGTTGATTTACTATGGTTTTTCCCAGAGAAGGATTTCCAGAGACTCTCTGAAGACCCTCTGAAGATCCTAAAAATATGTACATTCGGTTCGTCAGAACTTTTTACCTATTTGAGTAGAGTTTTACTAGATTTGAATAAAAAACAGATAGTTTATTCAAATATGACCTTCTCGTTTATCCTATCATATTCTACCTTACCAGTAAAAACGAATTTTGTCAACATAGGAAAGACAAGAAAAACGAAAGGGGCCTGTAACTTTATGACTGGTGATATGATGAATCGAATACGATAATATATTTGACTCCATCACTTACATAGAAAAACTAGATAGGCTTACAAAATCGACGAATCGTTAGTGCACTGGGCGTGATTTGAAGTGCCACCACTAATAAAATTTTGGGTCTAGAGTTGACTTAAGAACTTCTTTATAGTCAATTTTCAATGGTGAATCTGAAACAGATAATTTCAAGAGCTGAAAAAAAGAATTCAACAGAAAATTTTACGTATTTTGAAAAAGATTTACTCTTTTAAACAAGCGACACTCTGCCAGTATTGCGTACTTTTCGACCGGAAGAAAGCATTTGCTAAGATTAAAAAATGGATTTTCGTGATCAGCAGATCACGCTCTATCAAATCATGTAAAAGAAAACGAAAAAATAAACGTTTGCTCGAAATTCGCCTTACGGACACCTTACTTAAAAAAATAAACATTCAATGCGGAAATATTCAGTGTAACTTTGCTTTTGTGTGCAGTGCATTATTTATAAAGCTACGTAGGCTTCTGCAGTAATAATAAAATACGGTAAATGAAATTCATGTTTCATCAATAAGTATTAACTAGAGATTCTCGATGTGTGATTATTGTCGTGTTGGTGATCGATGGGGAGTTACACACGTTTCCGATCGGTTGTAGTTTCATTCCTAAAGATTAATTGTTATACAAACAAATATTTTGTGGTAAAGTTTAAAAACAAAAACATTTCATGAAGGTATTCGATTTTGATCATTCGTTACACATGAATATGTGTTTAGAATATAAAGAATAGTTTGAATATTTTGACAATCAAAATTCTTGTTAGTCTTTCTATCACATTAACAACATTTGTAGACTACTTTTCACAATATATAAATATGAGTATTTACTTGTTGACACTTTTCATAAAGAAAATATTTCTTCTTAATACCGAGATACAATATGCCTTGATATAATTAAATCATGAACACTAGATTAAGTTTACCAAGCGAGTAAAACAAAAGAAAATTCACACGTACTTCCGTTGACAAGAAGGTATTCGACATGATATGAACAAATAGCTAAAAAATGATTTTTAAGACGCAAATAATAATGGTATTTCGAATGAATTATGACAGAATCTATCTTATAGGTTGGCAATGGTGTCAATTTTTATTAATGGTACTTTGAATATATCGCTAAATGTTGATATATCTGTATATATATATTAGAAGAAAAACAGCATTTCATTACGAAACGTTTTCCTGACCTATAATATTCATTAAAAATCCTTCAAGATTTGCATTTTTACCACGGTATTATTTTCTTTAGACTAGCGTAAGTATAAATTATCGTCAGCGAACTAAATCATAAAAATCTTTGTGTTTGTTTGAAGACTTAGCAAAAACAGGGGTCCTGTTATTTTTTCAGATTCATTTGTAGATTTTCGTTGAACGACCACATGCAACTGATTGTCTGTATCTCGTGAGACTAGAATACAAAAAGGAAACGAACGATGCAATAAATATGCATGCTAAATTCTTCTAACTCGGTGAATAAGATCAGTGTCTAACATACCTCAATTCTTTTCTATTGAACGCTACGTTTGTTTTCTCCTTATTTTATGAACGCGGTTCAGTAGTAGGAGTGTGACAGCTCCCTAGATCTTATCTGAACTGTTCAAGCAGATCATATCAGATCCTGAGAACTGTCACACCCCTATTCAGTAGACATAATTTTAATGTTAATGCGTGCAACTACTTTAAACAAAAAGAAAATACAAAAATTGCCATTCTATACCATTGACTGTCTTTCGGGTGGCGACGATCAGAGTCGTGCGCTTGTTCATAAATGACAGAATCTACAAAGCGTGATTATTTAATTGTTTGAGTGCATATGGTGCGAACAATTAACACTTCTGACTAAATCTAGCGCAAATACATCGGTATTACAATGATACAAGAGAGAACGAGAAAGAAGGGTTTCTATGTTCGTCTATCATTATCTGTGGCATCAGTAATGAAAAGGAAGTGTTTAGTAAGTCGAATGGAAAGAATGCGAAGAAAAAGCTATATTTGTATATGTGTTTGATTGTCTACATCTTCTTTTCTAACGTTTTGTTAGAAGAGTTTTTCTTACTCTGCGTCATTGTGTAACGATGTAAATTGAATGATGACGTTCTTCTTTTTCTTTCTTCTTTTCTTATATTGTAACAGTGACACCATAAATAAGAATAGTTATCATTCCAGTAACATTCTCGACGCTATGTGATAATTATAAACATTATTAATAACAGTAGGCAATGTAGATTCATAGATGCATATAGTCTATCATAAAATGTACTGCAATGACAATTTAGTTCATTTGTTTTTTTCTTTTGTTATTATTTCTTCATCGTTTTTACTAATAAATGAGTTATGCTAATTAAATATTTACTATCGCAGCATGAATTCATTGTTTCGATTATATGCAGATCAGCAAGAATCTATTGTTTTGTCATATTGCCGGAGAAAAAAAACGAAATTATAATAGAACAAAGAAAAACACGTACATAATTTATTCCTTTGTTTCTATTTAATTTTGCGTATATTTTTTTGATTTGTTTTTTCTAGTCTTCGACATAAAGAAAAATATAACGAATAATCATTTTTAGCATTGTAGCTGACTCTTTTCTCCTAGATTTATCTTGAAAAATTGTATAGAATTTCTATCGTGCTATAGTTAAAAATAGATCATGAATAGAAATTGTTAAGTACAATGAAAACATGGCAGTGATGCCAATTTCTGAGAGTGTGTGCGTGCAAGCATGTGCATGTTGGTTGTCAAAGTCATTCGCGTCGTATAAGAGAAGGGAAATTACATTTTCTCATCCTCGCTATTGTCCTATATACGCACACGCACACGCACACACACGCGCACACAAATACACACTCGTACACAAAGTTGCGTATAATGACAATTCGAGGCTAATAATCAAGGAGTATTTCTCTATTTCAGTATAAGACAGATTTCCGCGCTGAATGTCGAGGGCGTAATCGCCTTATCATTAAAAGTCTTCGTGAGCGATATTCATTCTCTACTAGCCGATTTCATTAGATTTTGATGCTCATAGGGACTTGGATATTTTTCTTTCCTTCGGTATTTCACGTTCGCTTTTCTTTTCTCTGTGTCAGTGAAAAAGAAATTCATCTTGTTCTCTATCAGTATTCGAGTTTTTCCATTTTCTCTCAGTAACCAGTATCAAATAGCATGCGGTAGTTGCAACAGAACGACATCATGTACACGTAAGTTATAATAAACAACTATATATATATATATATATATATTATAATGCTTGTGTGCCCACATCGTGCGTGCGCTCGCATCTTTGAAGTCAGCTCGTATTTTGTCATAATTCTATAGAGAAAAATCCTTTTTCTTTCTTTAGAATGCAAACTAAACAAGAATCAATGCAGCCTTTTGCAGGTCCTGATGATTAAGATTCAGTCGTCAAATTTTCTTATTACGTATAGTTTACCTCATAAAAATGGCATCAATTATAACAAGTATTCATTGAACATGAATGGTGAACCTAATAAAGAAGAAGATATCGACGAGAATAATATGTCTAATGTATGTTCATCGTCGAATAGTACGACATCCAGTGCATCGTGTCGATCAGCATCTGTTTCTACAGAAAACTTTTTACGAAAACATCAACAAATCAATCGACGTCGAGCATTTTTTCATGATAGTTTAATTGTTAAAAGTAATAAAAACAATAATGCTTGTAATGAAAATAATAATGATAATAACCATTCGTTAATAATGGATGGTAGTCAACAAATATTAACTACAAATAATGAGAATGATGGTTTATCCAATGATGAAATTCCGACAATTGTTGCCAACATAAATGAAGAAAATCATACAAATAAATCATTGAAAAGAAAAGTTGTTTCATTTAGTACAATGCCATTTGAAAAGAAAGTTGCTGATGGTGAGTTAAAGATAAAAAAAAATATTTTCTTTAGATGATTATTTCTGCTGGAAAAACCTAATCAGCCAATATTTTAATATCCGTTTGCATTCTTTCGAAATACTTCTATAATAATAATATTTCACATATACATGGTTTTTCTTACATCTAGTTAGTGATTGTCTTCGTTACATGCAAGAAGGAAGTGATTTTCTTAAAGTTCGTTCGTATGCACGTCAATTTCGTCGTTTATACAAACTAAATGCTACACTGACAGCGATCAGTTGGTATCCGACATCAAAAAAGCCATCTAAAGCTACAAGTAAACTTTCTAGATAAACTAAAAAACAAAAAAAAATCAAATTTTCATTTATTATTCTGTTATCTTCCTTTTCCAGTTACTATTGATTCGATAAAAGAAACACGATTAGGAAAAACTACGGAACGCCTTCGTGAATATGCTCATCAATTTCAAAACGAGTCACTTTTCTCAATTATTTATACCAATGAACCTAATCAATATGTCTCGTTAGACCTTGTGGCTAGTAGTGCCGATGAAGCAAACATATGGGTAACTGGCTTATCGTGCCTTATTGCTGATCAAGGCAAATCATCATCACTGACAGGTAAATAAAAACAAAATGATTATTTAATATTTTTATACAAATATTTAACAAGCATCTACTAAAAACAAAAAACTAATTAAGTAAAACAATATAGTTACTATTTATTTATAATTAGGTTTATATAATTCTATGAAAGAAAATTAATAATAACGAGGCTTTAATGATATTCTATGGATTTTTAACAATAATATTCTTATCCGGAAATTCGAAAGTTTTTCCTTCTGTTTATTTCCAACCGTTAATTTTGAATATATTGTACAAGAATGATGTTTTATTGAGTTCCTGTTGAACTAGTCATATGTTTTCCTTGATATCATGCAGAGTAACGAGTTGATGGCATATTATATTCGTATACTAGTTGAAAAGAACACCATCATAATTCGAAACCAGATATGAATTTTTAATAAATGAGCTCATGCGAACAGTGCTTCCATTGACTTCTTGCTTCAACTAGATGTCATATCTATTTCTAACACTTTTAATCTACATAGAAACTATACTTTATATTTAAATTTAAATTTAGGTTTAGAAGATCGTCAACAAATGCGTGATCGATGGTTACGCGATGCATTTGCAGTTGGTCTTCCATCACTAACAGGTGATTCTGAACATTTAAATCAGAACGATGATCGACGAATTTCGACACTAAATTCAATTGATGAAGAAGAAGCCATACGATTATTGATTGATTATGGTATTGCAGAAGATAAAGCTAAAGTTCGATTACAAGTAAAAATTAGACATTTTTTTGCTTTGTTTCATAAATATGTAAAAACCAAATTAAAATCTCCATTAAGGAAGTACAAATGACTAAATCAGAGGATGCACGTGGCTATTTTACAACGGAGGAACTTGTTAGTGCATTCAAAGAACTTTCCACTCGACCAGAAATATACCATCTACTTGTCAGGTAATTTTCATTATTAATTCGATTTATATACGCGCCAATGAATTTTGTTTTTCTTCTCATAAAAGATATTCTCGTAATCAAGATTTTTTATCAACTGAAGATCTAACATTATTTCTTGAAGCAGAGCAAGGCGTAAGATATAAATTAATAATGAAATAACATGTCTTTAATTCTTTTTTCTCTTATGTTACTTAAAATAGATGTCAAAAATAACTCGTGAGAAATGTGCAGATATTATTCATGAATTCGAACCATCCACTGAAGCTAAGATTTTAGGGCATTTAGGCATCGACGGTATATTATCAAAATTAAAATTTTTGCCTTTAAGCAATTTTTATTTCTTTTTTTGTTTATCGTCAAGGTTTTACTAATTATCTTCTATCACCAGAATGTGATATATTTAATCCAAATAATCGAAGCATTTGCCAAGAAATGAATCATCCACTTAATCATTATTTTATAGCATCATCACATAATACGTAAATATAAATTAGTTACTATTATGTCTCTATTAGGGAAATTTTTCATCAAAACGAAAATTATAATAATTTGACAATCAGAAAAATTACATTAATAACTGTTGTAAATAAAAGTAAAAAGACATACTCAATGAAACTTTCACTTGTACTGAACTTAATTTAATTTGACATGAAGTGTTCAATATAATCGAGTATGTTTATTTGTAACTATTGTAATCACTTCTGTTTCAGTTTAAATTTTATGTTGGAATAATGATTATTTGATATTAAGTATGAATACTTTCTTTTAACATTAGTCTAGTTTCGTCTAGTGTAGAAGCATGCTATTATGAAAAATTAAAATCATATATGTGAATAAAACTAGATAATACGTAGTAGTAGAGAAAAAAGTCAATAGAATGATGACAGTAATTTTTAATTTACATAATTAGAAAAGAGTTGGTGACGTGTATGTATATATGCCTACGGTTACAGACAAAAGCCATTGTTTTTTAATATTTAATCAAATGAGTATAACGAAATTGTTGTTTTCTTAATTTTCATAGATTTCTTTTGGCCGATCAATTAAAAGGTCCATCGAGTGTTGATGGATTCATTCATGCATTAATGCGAGGTTGCCGATGTTTGGAACTTCATTGTTTTGATGGGCCTGATGGCCAACCATTGATTCATAATGGAACATTAACATCGCGTATACCTCTTAATGAAGCTCTTGAGGCTATTAATAATTATGCATTTGAAACATCTAGGTTTAAAAAAATGAAGTATTTCCATCGTTTTTTTATTTTTATTTAATTTTTTTCATAGCTATCCATTAATATTATGTCTTGAATTGCAATGTGGTATCAGTCAACAAGAGCGTATAGCCCAGTTATTACTTGAAACGTTTAGTGATAAATTATATCTTGATAATTCATCGATGGACGCAAACACTACATTCAATGAATATCGACCATTACCATCTCCAAATGATTTACGCGGACGAATCATTATCAAAGTAAAACTACCGTAAATATGTTATTGTAAAAAAACATATTCAATTTTCTAGAGTAAAAAAATACCTCAATTATATTTAAATGATAATACTAAAGACTACGGAGAAGTTACGGATGATGAAGATTGCTATGAAGATAATAGAAGACGATCAAAAAAGGTTTCAAAAATGATTTCAATAATTGAACATGAATGAATTAAGTTTATTTAATTTTTCAATAGGATATTAACAGTAAAAGACATCGAAAATTAGCTCGTGCCATTTCAGATCTTGTTTGCTTACTTCGTTCAGCACCATTCGAAGATTTCACTACATCATTGAATGAACGTAAGAAGAATCTATTTTTGAAAACAAATATTTTTTGTATTCGATATATTTATATGATAGAGCAATCTGGACAAGTGTGTACATTCAGTGAAAATGCTGCTTTACGTTTAGCAACCAGTGATGCTGAAGAATTCGTTAATTATAATAAACGATTTCTATCCCGCATATCTCCTGGTACATGGCGCGTTGATTCATCCAATGTAAATCCACAAGATTTTTGGAATGTGGGTTGTCAGATGGGTAAGTTAAACATTAAAGAACAAAACAAAAACTCAATATTTTTGTTTAACTAAACTCAGAGAATAGATGATGATCTGTTTTGAACTAACAGTCAATTTTTTTTCAATATAAATATGGTGAAAATATACTAATGCTAAATTGCTCATATTGATTTAGGCTTGATGTTTTACTTCTGACTAACTATTAGAACAATATTCTGCTATCTTGATTGTTTTTCACTTGAATCGATATCCTTTTTCAGCAGTTCCGACCGATGCCTAATGATTCAATAGAAAAAATAATTAAAATTCAATGAAAAACAAAATACTAGGCTTATTTTCTGAAATGACTAATTGCACTCATAAGCACTATATTTATTTAAGCTTTGGATATATTATCACATGTGTAGAGAAAGCTCATGTTGAGTGGCGTTATCTAGACGAAATATGATTAAGTTGCACAGCCTCAGGCTATTCTTTTTACTCACTATTGTTGATCGTAATTAGCTCAAAACGAAGAGTTAGAAATTGACAGCTTTTTTCAACATCAATCTATGTCTGAGAAAATGACGTAATGTTGAATCAAGATGGGGCTAGTTCTGGGAACGCTTGCAGGGTAATCTCGTTGATTATAATATAAATCTAAATAAACTTTTCTTCATCAAAGATAATTTAATTGATGTCTTGCTGAATGAATCAATCTCTAATAAAAACAAGAACTTATTCAATATTTCTTTCTATTATTGACTTATTTAGTTGCAATGAATTATCAAACAGCAGGAAAATTTATGGATGTTTATTTTGGTCGATTTTTAAGTAATGGTGGTTGTGGTTATGTCCTTAAACCAACCTACTTACGTTATGATAATGCAGCTACAGCTACTGGCGCTTCATCTTCCATGGTTAGTGGTAGATTTTCAACAAATCTGTATTCATCGAACACACCTCAAATACTCCATATTAAAGTATTGAAAAAGAAAACTTTTTTGTTTTAATATTAACTTCGTTGTTCTATCCTTTGAAATCTAAAAAAAAGGTGATCAGTGCTTTACATCTTCCTAAACCGGAGCAGGCAGAATTAAAGACTAATTCTGTTGATCCATATGTTGTTGTACAAATATTTGGTGTACCGAGAGACTGTGATGAAGTACGAACAAAAACAGTTTACCATAATTGTAAGATCAATATTCTTGTCTTTTTTCATGAACGATTGTTGTTTTTTATTACAAATAACTTCTTAGGGGAAAGTCCACAATTTAATGAAGCATTTGAATTTGAAATAGCTTTTCCAGAATTAACAGTTGTTAGATTTGTTGTGCTCGATGATGAATCGCTCGATTATGATTTTATTGGACAGTATACATTGCCATTTGACTGTATTCAACCTGGTAAATAAAACGATTAAAATTCAGATCTGATTTTTACATAAAATTTTATTAATAGGTTATCGACATGTTCATCTATATACGATTGGTGGTGATATCATTGCCAATGCGTATCTATTCGTACATATTGTTGTCAATAGCAAATCATTAGCTGTCGTAAGTTTTCTATTAGTCCTTTTTCTGTTGTTTAATGGTTGCTAATCTGTTTCATATTGAAATAGAAACCACGCCGATCATTATCGCGCTATCGTCGATCTTTGTTACGTCGTAAATTACGTGTTGCTGCATTTCGGCCAGTTAATCATCGACAAATCGACGATTTATTCAAAGTAAATCAATACATAATAAACATTCTGTCCTATGAAAGCATATGCTTTTTATTTTTCTTAACAATCTATAGTCAGTTATTCAACCACTAGAAACAGCATTTGAATATCGACATGCTGTTGAACAAAGTCTCTGTGAATTAAATGAAATGTGTGGTTTACCTGATATATCAAATGTAAAGCAATGTGTAAGAAAAATTGCTAGTCGGCTACAAAAAGCAAATCTTGTCGGCAGTGTTAGCATTCGAAATCAATCGGGAGTAAGTTACATCCAAATAAAAAAAAGCAACGATTCTTTATTGTAATACAAAGATTAACATAAGACGATAAGCAAAACCTTGACTATGAAAGAATATCTTTGTTGTCCTTTGTTCTATTTATTACGGACTGTCACTGAAATCGATAGACAGAAGTATCTTGTGACAATGCAAGCATAGATAATTAGCAAATACTTCTCGTCGTTATGATATGACATTGACAGATTTTCACATTTGTTTTCAAGGTACCTATTTTTGAATACTCTACAACATTACCTCAATTATCTCGTCAGAGTGTTGTCGCGTTAGAAGAAGTAAGTTGAATATAAAAAGAAACATGAAGTTGTAAAAACATGTTTTTGCTTTATTTCTAGGTTATTAATCGATGTCGAGCTTTAGTCGATAATGGTAGTGTGATACATAAAAAAGTAAAGAAAAAACTAGATTATTTAATTTTTCATATTAAATGAAAATTTCTTTTTTATCAGTTATTTAATGTTCAAACTGAAGTATACGAAATGAGCAAAGACATTCCAAAACTACTTGAAACTAGTGGTCTACGTGGTAAAAAATTTACCAAAGCCATTGATAATTTTTCCTATAATCTTGCTTTATTAAATGGTCAAACCGATTTATTAAATAAAGCCAAACAAGATGCAAATATTGCTATCCAACAAGTAAATCCTTTTTTGAAATTTATGTATGTAGGATTCAACTGATTTCACTTTTCATTAAAGATTCTCGAAGCAGCTGAAACAACACATCTACTGATTCAGTCCGAACAGTCTTAGTTCGATCGGTAAAAGCTTGGCACGAAATTATTGTAACCGGTGTTAACTGTTTTTATTTAATCGAATAATGTCCTTGTTTGCTTTCTTTTCTTTGAATATTGAGAAAATGCTATATTTCTTCTCATTGTCTATGTGTTTTACCTGTGCTTATATATTTATGTGCGTATGTATGATCATTTTACTTTTGTTACGATAAGAAATCGTTTTTTTTTTACAAATAAAAATATTCTCTAATTAATATTCTAATGGACAACAAAAAAAGAAAATACTACTCAGACATAACAATTGACTATAATAGATTACATGTATTGGTCGGTTAAACAGTGGGTAACCTTCTTGCTATTGCGAATCGGTCTTATTATTATTATTAATGCCTTGTAAGATATAAACGATGGATATATGCAACTCAATGTACGATGTTTATTCCATTTATTGATATTCGCTTCTCTCGGTCCTTTTCTCTGTCTCTTCTTTCGGCCAACGATGTAACCTATCTTTTAGGTTGGCCTGTTGTTCTCTCTTATTCTGTTTCTTTGTTTCTTTTCTTCTTCTTCTGCTTCTTCTTCTTCTTCTTTTTTCCGATAAAACTCCGGCAGAAGAAGGATAACGCTATCCAATAGTGCTGACGAAAAGCCTTGCGTATGTATGGTTGGTGATTGTGGCTAGCGCAATTAGAAAGGATAAAGTCTTTTACGCGTTCTATCTATCGTTAATACCAATAGAGTATATCGTGTCTGAAAAAGAACAACTGTCAAAGGTCAACAAGGTATAGTAAAAGGGTGGTGGTGGTGAACATTTCATACTCAATACAATAAAAATAAACTTTTATCCTAACTGATGGCCGAGCAAGAAGAGCACCACCACCCTCATCGAACGCAGGCCTCGGCTAATATCACATCGGCTAGTGATGGATCTGTATCACAAGTACATGTAAATGTGTCCGATTCCGATGGAATATTTAATCCTAGTGGCAATCCACTCACCACGACAACAATAAGTACCATTGCTGTACAAGCTGGTGAAGCTAGAATTGTTTTAGCTGTACTACGAGTATGTATTTGTTTTCAATAAAGAAAAACGAGTCTTTATTTTTAATGTTATCAATAAAACAATAGAGTTCAGACATTGTTCGAGTACGTATTCAACAAATGGAACCCGATCTAATGGATATCGGCTCAACTCTTGGTGATACAATTAAATATCAAAATGTTCATGAAGAGTTAATTAGTAAATTGAAGGTGACAAACTTAATAAGCATTTTCTTAATTTTCTTGTGCTATTTATCAACACTATTTAGGCTAAACAAGATAATATAACAGAATTGCTGACACGTGCAGATGATCTTGTTACTCAACAAAAATCTTACAACGAAGTCTATGAAGCAATGGCACGTAGTTTAGGTGAAGCATGGAAAGAACTCAATCTACAATTGGAAGGTCGAAGAAATTTATTAAATCAAGCTATACGTTTTCATACAATAGCCGTTCGAGTTAGTTTATAAAATAATTTAGCTATGGTTTTCTTCTCCTTTTAAAATACAAAAAACCTATTGTCTTTTGTTTTATTTTGAATGATTTTGTAGTTCACTGATCAGGTTAACGGTGCTCGTTCATGGTTTAGTTCATTAGAACAAGCTAATTTTGATAATAAACCATTAAATATATTATTTGACGAACACGATGCATTTCGAAAAGAAATTTTAGAAGCATCATTAGATACATTAAATGAAGGACAACTATTACTGGAACATGTCAAAGATTTAGGTTCATTAATTGAATCAGCAAATCAACATATAACTATTGCTGCTTGCTATGAAATTGAACAGCTACTTGGTTTACATCAAGATGAACGACGTAAATTTGAAGATGAATGGGAACGAAATAGAAAAATTCTTAGTGACTATGTGCAAATGTCAGAAATAAAGCATGAAATTGATCAAGTATATTTAAATGAATAAAAACTGAATAGACTTTTTTCTGAAAACATAATCTATTCTGTTTAGATATTTGATTGGTTAGAAAAACAAGGTAAATCCAATTCAGACAATACTGACCTTGGACAAACTTTAGATGATATTGAACGATTACAAATGATTCATAGAAATATTGAAGCTGAATCACAAGTAATTCTATTGAAATAATTCTTAATTAATTAATTATTTTTGATTCCTTCATAGACAATTCATGATCGAGTTATTCGTTGTATGCGTGCTGTTGATACATGGGTGCATACGGGTTTAACACGAGCCGATCGTTTACATGCATATGCGCATACACTTTTAGTATTGTGGGAAAAATGGGCACTTAAACTTGATATTCGGCGTCGACTTTTGAGATTAGCACATCAATTTTATATTGATTCATCAAATGCTTTTTCAACTCTTGATACAATCGATGCACATCTGTTATCTCTAACGTCAAATTATTTATGTTCAAGTGAAGATCTTTTACGTGAATACAATCAAATCAACGAACAATTAATTCAATCGACAGAGATTCCACTACGTCAAGGACATCTTTTATTAGAGAAAATGCAAACAAACGAATGTAAATCACCAATTTTACGTGAGCGTGTTTATGATTTAGAAAAACGTCTTGAACATATAAGAAATAAATTACGTGAAGAATATGAAAAATTAGATCAACAAGGTTCATCCTTATATCAAACATTTGATAATGAATGTACAGCGGCAGAAGCATGGCTATTTAATGTCGCAGAAAATTTTCTATATTCAACAAGATTTTTAATTGATTCAAATAATTCGATTGATACAAAGAAACAAGCAAATGATTTCTTAGAATCTCATCAACAGATTATTGAATGTGATCTCAAGGTAAGAATAGATTCTCAATCAAATCTATTATCAATGGCAGATCAACAGATGCCATTGAGTGTATTATTACTATTCGTCCATGTCTATTCATAGCACGAGAATATATTTAATGTCAACAATAATGATACTGTTGACTCGTACACTAATATTCTAAATTGTCGTTTTCTGTTTGAGCATTCTAAAGTGATTAGTAGTACTAACTAAATGAAATCACCATTGCAAAAATAACAGCATACAAATTTATACCTATAGACAATGCAGATAAGTCTTTACTTTCCCTGAGTTTAGAATCAACAGCGTTTGTGTGTTTACATATATATCTATGTGCTTGTGATGTTAGATCATGTAATTGAGTTAGCATATATGTTCGATGCCTAGCGCTTTTGCGTAATATACCAACAAGGTTTCATTACTCGCTTTTCTGCAGTTCTGATTAACAGTCAGCCATTTTTATTGTTTTCTTTTGTGTGTAATAACAGGTCGTTCTTGTTTGTACTATTTTGATAATCACACATGAATAAGATGATTTTCTTCCGACTGATTGATATTTTGAAGTGTGATACACAACTCTTGACATCTCTCAGTACACTGACGTTATCTAAATCAACACATATGTAGATGATTGGCTGACATACAAAGTTTTATTTCAGAAATATTAAAGCTAATATCTCAATGGAAAGAAGATGGTTTGCATTAAATCGATATAAAATAATAGATAATTTTAAATCTTGCCCATTCTTTTTGCAAAGATAACATTTGATTATTATCTCTTCTATGATTCAATAAACTCGAAGAGAATCCCAGTATCGTGTAAGAAGAATATAATGATTTTCTTCTCAATACAAAAGTTTAAGAAGATTAGATTCACTAAAGTGGTCTAAAGTTAATCGCACTATTTCTTGCATTTCTATCTGCCTGACTAATTTCTTGCGAATCTTATGTCGGATACAGCTCGAAATTTTTTACTGGTATTAACATTCTGATAGAACTCGTCAAATGACGTAAATAGATCTAGAAGATAATATTTCATTCGACTTCAATTACTGCAACATTGCAGGAATATTTTCCTGTCTGCTGCATATATCGAAGGTAATTGTTAGTCCTTTTTTTTTCGTAAGATTATTGTAATCTTCACTTGGCATACCCATCAAAGTTTCAAACATAGAATGGCCAATAAATCCATTCATAAAATGCTCGTCATACAGATCTAAAGATATTTATTTATAAATAAAAAATATTTTGCTTTTCATTTTTTTTACAGCGTCGTGAAGAAGATATTCATCGTCTTGGAACATTAGTTCATGAATTACAAGCAAGCAATGATCGAAGTTGGCAAATAGCTCGAACACGATATGATAATCTATATTCTCTATGGCAAAAAGTATCTGATAAAATCATTCGGCGTCATTCACTTGCTAAATCCTATGTAGATTTTCAAAATCAAGCCGAACAAGTATATTTCAGTTTTATTTTTTGAACATTGTTTTTAAGTCAAATTTATTTCATTTAAGTTATCAAATGGTTTAGCTAGTATTGATGATGTTATACGTTTTCGAGATAATATTGATCTATTACCTGATTCAGCAATAAAGCATATTGAACAAACATGGCTCACTCTACGAAATAATTATCACGAACTAATTAATAGTAGCAAACGTATTCGAAATACTTTAGAAACAGTATGCTCATAAGTTTATTTTGAAAATTTTACATCGAATACTTTGCTTTTTTTCTCCACTTAATATCAAACATAGGAATCTGAACAAATCAGTTTACAAACAAACGATACTTATCGTACAGTCGTTAATCAATGTGAACAAATTACACGTAGATTTGAACAAATTTCGTCTAGTTTCGATGCCTGGATTCGAAAATTAGCAAATTTAAGAGATTTTAAAAATCAGTGGGAAAACTTTGTTGATAATTCACGACAAGTAAGACAAATTTTACTTGTGCAAATTTCTTCTATTTATTATTCTACCTCGTAGACCATCGATAAAGTTCATCGATTTGAATTAAACATTGTTCCAGCACAAATATCAACCACTGATAATGTTGAAACATATCAAATTTTGCTGAATGATTTTGCAAATCGTGTTCAAGTAAACAGATAAAATAACAACGAAGTTTAGAATTATTTATTTCGTGCTTATTTTTTTTTAAAGGAAATAACACGTGAAGTTGAAGATCGTCTAAAAACTGCTGAACAATTAGGTGCACGAGGTGAAACAAATGGACAGAAAGAACAAATTGTTAATGAACTTATTAAAACTCAACAACAATTTTTAACACGAATTAATCAAACACGTAGTTTTCTTCATACCATGGTAAATTATTATAAAAATGCATCCAAAATGGAAACACAATTTGTTAATAACGAACGAATGCTTTTATCATTACCAACTGATATTCGTAGTACTGAAGTTTTAGTAAGACAATATGAAACAGAACGAGAAAAAATTCTTCAAACGTATGAACAATGTAGACAAGATGCATCACTAGCGGAAAACAAAGCTAAACAGGTTTGTGATCAGTAGGGTTTTTTTCAGTTCGTATAAGAAAACAATATTTTCAATGTTCACGTAGCGTCTTTTGTAAGCAAAAGAAATGTCTCAGTGAAAATTTAAAAATAACTTGGTTTCGATTTTGTGCTCAATATTTTCTTTCCATTTCGCAAAAACAACAGTTCATCAGATGTCTACTTTTATCGAAATAGAAACAAATAAAGATCAATGAGGAGCTTGAAATCTTAATCATTTTTTCCATAAAACGTCATGTTCTCCACGGAACCTAAATTAATATGTTGCGTAAAACTAGAATATAGTTCTATAATTAGGTTAGGTAATTGTTTATTTCATATTATTTCGACAGCATTCGAATTCTTCAGTTACATCAGATACGCGCATTTCAAAAAATTCTCGTTATTTTGTTTTCTTTTTTTTCTGGAGCAGTTGCATATTTCGTCGCAGTCCAAGATGATTTACTATTGCGCCGCTATTTATTGCATAGTACTAATATTATGACGTCTGCTCGACATTCCGATAGTGTCATGCAATACAACAAAAATAATATCACATAGATCCATGATGAGATAACCAGTAGTATCCGAAAAGAATGCAAAAGAAATCGTAGTTGCTATAGTCATTGTCAAACAGGGAAATATTGTGATAACTAATACCACGGATATAGTACGATAGTGAATTCGAGTGTTTCGAATTTTACTGTGTCAGAGAAGAGATAAGTGAAAATTTTTATTACTATTCAATACAGTCAAAGAGATAGATCGTGCACAGTTATACTGACCTGAATTGACATAAGCTCATGTTGGATTTATCTAACAATAGAAAAAAACCTAAAAGTTAATCATGATGAAAACTATAATGATGCACATAATAATAATAAGAAGAAGAAGAACATGTTTTATGAAGGCAACTTAATGATAAATATAGATCTAGACAAATGAAGACACGTAGTCATGCTGAATGAAACTTGAGTTGTAAAGTAATTAAAAGCTTGTAGAATGGTATAGAGTTTGTATTGAAAATAAAACTGATCGGCTACAAAGAGATAATGATCGAAATGTTTCTTTTAGAACACATGAGATTATCAATGAGAGCTATGATACGCATATAATGAATTGCTGGTCGTTTATGTATGCTTTGAAGAGTTGGTCGGTAGAGAATAGTAAGAGTAAAAAAATTAAAAAGAGGCTCAAAAATAACAAGAGCAAATACGTATTGTATAAGTAATGTATTCGATTTGTTTTCATTGGTAATTGGTAAATTACCGCTTTTGTGCGACATTATTGGGTGAGTTTGCGTCATTTTCTGTCGGAATATAGAATTTATTTTCTGTTATGAATGAAAGTTGAAAGGACGAATCGATCGATAGCGAAAAAACTGTATTACTGATTGAAATGCTATATTACTTGACGAAGAATCTCAGTTTTACAGATAGTATTAAAATATAGATTAAGTTAATGTAAAGTAAATAGTTTCATGTTTTTGATGTAGTCAAAGCCATTTCATGACGATTAAATATTAATAATCTGGATTGATTCACAGAAAAGTGTTTTAACGAATAAGATGAAATCTAAAGGTGCAATACTCGCAAGTTCCCAGTCTATACAGCCATCTTGTTATTGCTATTTCTTTGTGTGCAACAGAAGCTATACCAATATGACTTTGTCCATCAATATTTGAAGATTACAATCGAACATTGAAACTCAATAGGGAGAATTCGTTCAAGTTTTAGATTCCAGTGTTTTTTTTTCGTCGGGTATTTCATTTTGTAAATTATAAGGTTTGCTTCACACTGTAACTGTCCGGCAGTAAATTCAACCTGATTTTCATGTGAATAGAACCTATAAATAGCATTAAAAATATTCACTTCAATCAATTTTGAGAAAATAAAATCTCTTTTTACTTTTCAATAAAATAATCAAAATCTTTAAAAATAACTAAATAAAGATTTTGAATTCTTTGCATATGCGAATTTTAAAAGTTCTGCCTTTACTGAAAGATAAAAATTGAAATAGTTTGTGAATCATTCACGTAAAATTACCCAGTTAATGATATCGATGTTCTATTTTAATAGAATCCACATTGATCAGAATGTTTTATTTTCTCGTTGTCAAAAATACCAATCATTTTATGGGTTCTAATCAAGAATAAAATTTAATAAACTAGCTTGTTTAATTAATTAATAAAAATTTAAAACCATATTTCAGTGTGGAGTAAATTTATTTATTGATGAAATGTATGCAAAACAACAACAAATCGAGCGAAAACATTCTCAATGGCAACAGCAATATGATGAAAATCGATCAAAATTAAAACAACGCGTTGAATGGTGTCAATTTATAGATGATAAAATCAAAGTTTGTATTGTAGAATAAAGTAAAATTGAAAATTATTTTCTTTTTAAATTTTCAGATTGTTTACGAACTGGATTCATTACAACAAGAAATCGATAAACGAAAACGAAATATTCCTCAAACATACAAAGAAGCTCTCAGTCGTACTGAAGCAGCTCATGAAATAAATCGTCTCTATGATGTTTGTTTTATATTTATTTTTCAACTAATCATCTATTTACTTTATTATTCATTTAGAATTGTGAACGATCGGTTCGAAGATTTCGTACAACAGCTGAAATTATGCTTCAACAAAAACATCCAGACTATCAACACGTTGATAATGAAATAAAAGATGTAGAAAATAAATTGTCGACTATCTATATATCAATTGGAAACTATCGACAACATGTTGAAAAAACAACCGTCTATTACAAACTTGTCGATGAGGTTTAATGAAATATTTAATTATTCACAGAAATAAATCTTGTTCTCCTTTAGATTGAACGTTGGCATCAAGAATCTAGTCAACTTCTATTACAAGTCGGTACAGATATAATGCATTGTAATACAGAACATGATGCTAAAAGACTTCTTGATAAAGTTACACGAGCTATCGATCAAGGAAAAGAATATGAACAAGAGAAAATGAAACATATTAGTGCATTAGCCGTTGAAGTTTTTGGTTTGTTGACATTACAATCAATTTCTACAGAGAAACAAAATAATTTATCCTTCTTTTGTAGGACAAAATGATGGACATCATCAAATAAAACATGTTACATCACGAAATATTGAATTAATCAATGCATTTATTAAAGTTCATCAAGATATTTCAACGGTTCAACGTAATTTTGAACATCGAAAAGATTATCAAAGAGAGACTTTCTCAACGAATAAACAGCTTCCTGTTTTTGTTAAACCAATCAAAGATACAACAATTACTGAAGGAACAAGGTAAATGATTATTTCCTTTTTTTTTATCAGTCAAACGTTTTTTACAAGAAAAATAATTTTAGATTTTCATTTGAATGTATTATTGAGGGAAACGAACCGATCAATGTTGAATGGCTTAAAGATCAAACAATTATTTCATCATTAACGCATGATATTCAATATGAAAGAGGTTTAGCTACGTTAACACTTGCCGATGTACACAAAGATGATTCAGCTTATTATACATGTAAAGCAAATAATTCGGCAGGAACTGTAGAAAGCTCAGCCTATCTCATTGTTAAAGGTAAATTGAAAGAATATTCAACGGTTTTCTTCTAGAAGTGCGAAAACCTACCTTGAAATAAGATTTTTCATTGCTGGAATGAATTTTAAGTGTACAGTTTAATCCGCTCATATCATTTATGATTATGTTTGGCGTGCAAAGTGGACCATAAATAATTAGATGATGAAATAAATATCATGTCTTGCAGTATACATTCATCAATCGAGCTGATTTCGTTATACGATAATTGATGCTTTCTTGACGTTTTTATGCAGAAGGAAACTATTGTTGAGATATAGTGTAAAGCTAGCGCTTTTGCCAGAAAACATCTCAGTTTTTCTTAAGGTTAGCGATAGAAAACTATTTCTCGCATATCCTATCGAAGCCGTATAGGTCAGTGTGACAAATGTCCTTATCAGATTCTGAAGCACGGATGGATAATTCAAGACGTCGATTGAAAACTTTCTTTTATAAAATTTTGCTGGATTCAGGGCAAAGATTTCAACATTCTTTTGATTGAATAAAACTCTACGATTTCTCTACCAATCTGAATTGCTGCAATTGAAGAAGAATTATGAATTTCAGAGGATAAAAATTCAAATTGAAAGATTCAACGATTATCTATTAATCAATCTTAAACTATTACCTTTCTTGAATCATAGAACTTACAGTGAGAGAAGTTATCATGCATCATATTTCTACTGTAAATCAAGCCATTCGAACTAAATTGATTTTACTGGCCTACATTACTAAAGCAGTATACACGTATCTACATTAAATTTCATAGATCTAGCATTACGAATGGGTGAGGTCATAGAGCGAAATATTTTTTATTGATTCTGTGTTACTTCAGTAATGTTACTAGTGCGAATTCTCCATAGTATCGATATTGACAAATTCTTAATAAATAAAAGGAAAACTTTGGTGATTCTAATATTACTAAAGAGAACACTATCCTTACTGACAGAAAAACTATGACGATATCAAATTTCTTTTTTTGTCTAGTCACTTACGCGTCTCTTTAGATGTACGTAGAACGATAGCTTGATTTGTTCAATGTAAGAGTTTAACTGAATATAGAGTCTACAAATCAGCGAATACGTTGTTAAACTTGATGAAAACAACGCAATAGTCTATCCAGGAAAAAACAATCTCTCACATTACTTAATCGAAATAGAGATTATCACTCTAGTGCTGAATCTCAATTATTGGCTAAGACATGAAATGCATCGTTCAAATTGTTAAATAGCTTGTTGAAAATTTATGTTAACTTTCAATTAACACTATAATCATACATCGTTAGGCGATTTGTAATCTGAAATATAAATATTTTAAAACATGATTCAAGACAACAACTAATAAACCTTATCGTAGCATGTTGCAATCAAGAAAATGTTCGCCAAAAAATGTATGAGAGATAATGATAAAAAACAAAATTAACGCTTGTCTCCTCATATCATACGACAGTCAGTCAGTAGACTTAGACATATTGTATAGCTGGCAAACAGTGAGTGACATGAATATTGACTGTTACATTTGTCTTTACAATCTATGTTTTGCATTATAAGTAATGGAACGATATGTTGTGTTGCTTAGTTTCTCAGACTTGAGTGTCAGTTGTCATATTGAAAAATAGACGCAAGACCATAAGAGACTTTATATCCTATAATTAACATGCACATATCATTTAAGCTAAATCAAAATATAGATATCTGAAGCCAAAATTGTTATAAATTATCTTTTAGTATGTTATTTGTCTTTTGTTAAAATATGTTTGAACTGAAATTCTCATTCTTTTTGTTTCTACCATGATTACTATTTTTTTTAGCTGCACCATCCATAATTACTATTGAAAATAAATATCAACCTCACTACGCTCCGACATTTATTGAACTATTACGTTCACAAGATGCTCTTATTGATTCAACAGTTGTATTCGAATGTAGCGTTTACGGTGAACCAATACCGAGTGTGACATGGGAGCACAATGGGATTGAATTATGTAAAGGTCATTCTTCATCAGATTCACTATCGAAACATCAATTATATCGCTTAGTACTTCACAATGTTAAATTAACTGATGAAGGAAAATATGCTTGTAAAGCAACAAATGTTAGTGGTGAAGCAATATCCGTAGCTGATCTTCGTATTTATTCAAATCAACAGCAACAACCACAACCACAACCACAACAACAACAACAACAACAACAACATGGTAAATACGAGGGGTAGACATATGTAATAATATACCAGGAAGCAAAAGAGATAGAGAGAAGAAAAAGTATATAAGAGATATGCAGGCGTTGGCTGCATAGAGAAGTTGATCGTATTGGTAACGTTTGCGTCTTTTCTTTTGTACGTACAAATCCGGAAGACAACAGTGACAGTCTGTCGGTATTGTCTTCTTGGTTGTCTATAATGGATAAACGACTTGTTTGTGTGGAAGATAAATGGAATTCTTAAGTGTCAACCCTTGCTTTCTAAAGTATTGAAAAATACGAAAAGCACAAACTATGAAAGTTTAGATTTTGTTTTGAATAAATACTGAAAACAAAAACTAAGGGTAATATAATATAATATTATTTATTTTTATTTTTATTTTCCTAGACATAATGATGTCGTCGGGATACGAGCCTCGCCTTACTGAACCATTAAAAGCATCATATATAATTCGCGAGGGACAACCTGTTAAACTTTCATGCCGTTTTGACGCTAATCCAAAAGGTGACATTCTATGGCTAAAAGATGGAATACCAATTGACTTCGAAGCTCTAGGCATTTCACGTGATTTCAAGGTTTTTATTTACTAATTATTACACAAGGATGATTTCTTTTTTGTTGCTCTTTCATAATCGTAGATTGTCAGAGAAGTTGATTATACAGCGTTATTAATAACTGAAACTTTTCCAGAAGATACAGGCTCGTATACAGTTTCAATTCGTAATCCATTGGGTGAAGCACGTTCATTTACACGATTAACTGTTGAAGAGTTTTTTTGTCGAACACCGTAAGTTTAATAGGAAAAACTGTGTCTTTGTTAGAATTTCTTTCTTTTGTTTTATCATTGTTCTAGCGAATCGGAAATGTCCGATACATCATGTAGACCTGTTTTCGTTCAACCTCTTCGTGATACAACAATAACCGAAGGACAAAAATTAAAATTACATGCAGCAATCAATGCTCATCCTGAACCAGAAGTAAAAATCGAAATATTTTTCGATTGCTTTTTCTTTTCAAAAATAAAATACTATGTCAATTTTGTTTTTAAAGATTATTTGGTATTGTAACAATATTCCATTGAAAAGTTCACGTGATGTTACAATAACATTTGATGGACAATTATGTACATTAATAAAAGATAATTGTGAAAAAGAAAATGATGCTGGATTATATCGTATTACAGCTGTGAATTCGATGGGACAAGCTGAATCGATTTGTCAAGTAAAAATACAATCAAGAAATTCAATAATATTCAATGAGCGTACACAATCGATGCGTTCACCGCCAGTTATTCTTCAACCATTAGAAAGTACAACTGCTCATGAAGGTGAACGAATTATTTTTCAAATACGCATCAGTGGACAACCTAAACCGCAAATTATTTGGTACAAAGATAATCAACCGTTAAGAAATACGCATGATCATAAAGTATGTTTGACACAGAAAAAGAAAAGAAAAGAAAAAAAATTTATATTGTTTGTTTTTGTTTCACAGATTCGCAATCAAGATGATATTTATACACTTGAAATACCTGAACTATTTATGGATGACGCAGGTATTTATATGGTTAAAGCAATTAATATTGAAGGTGAAGCTAAATGTGAAAGTTCATTAAATATTTTACCTTCGATCCCTAATATTTTACCTTCGATTCCTAATATTTTACCTTCGATCCCTAATATTTTACCTTCGATCCCTAATATTTCAATGACTAATCAACAAATGAATATTCAATCAGATGGTTTTCCACCTGAATTTTTACAATTATTTACTGATCGACCAACATCAGTTAATTCAACAATTAAATTTGAAGCTAGATTGATTGGTACACAGCCTTTAAATGTAAAATATAACGCGATAGATTTGCTTGTTTTCTTTTAATTTCTCTTCTAATACGTTTTTTTTTCTGTTTTAAAGGTATATTGGTTATTTAATCGGTCACCAATATCGGCTCTGGAAAATAATCAACGTTATCAACAACAGTATTTTAATGACACTTATTCATTAACAATACACGATGTTCAGTTTGAAGATGCTGGGCGATATACATTAAATGCAGAAAATGCATGGGGGAAGGCTACCTGTACTGCTGAATTATTTGTTCCACCGAGTGGAATGTCAGGTAAGAAATGTTTTGTTTTTATTTCTATACGGTATAACAAGAAATTCGCCAAGGTTACTTTCAATTTGGGTCATTTAAATTAAATCATTACATTTTTTTTCATTGAATCTCAAGTATTATTAAATAGCTTTCAAAACAGTAGTAGTTCCTGAAGATAGTATTCATAGCTAATACGGATTATTTATTTATTTTTACTTCAAAAATATTTTTTGATATGATTTGTTTGTTTTTTTCTCTATGCATATTGTTTGAAAATGCACGTTTATCTGTAACACTCACAAAAAGCATTTGATCAAACCTAAAATAATCTTAACCTTGACAAGTATTTTATTGTTCTAATCTAATTTCTCTTGTCTGAAATTATTCCGTTGAGAAATGAAAAGCACTAGTAGAACCGTCATATTACATGCTGATCTATTCTTTTCCTTGTTCTATCTTAGTCTTGATATCGTCAATAAATGTATTTCTCCTCCTACGATTTTCTTCTGATATGAATAATGTAGGCCATCATTTTCTCGCTTTCTTTTCTTTGATTAAGCAACGAACAGAAAGATAACAACTCATTTTCTCTCCATCCAGTTTTGTACCATCGTCGTACGTGTTAAGATCTATTCTTGTTTCTGTGAGACCTGAGCAACGAGATATATAAGATTGATAGAAGAAGAAGAAAAATCTACGGAACCGAATAACAGAAAAAAAAAGAACTCGCTCGACATGTATCCATCTGCAAGCCATTTACTTCTCGCGATATATTAAGCATAAAAAAAGAGCTCGCAAACACAAACGTACATTGTACACCGTCTCGGAATAGTGATTAATGCTGGAAAGAAAAACAAGTATAACATAGGAGGGACAGTGAAGAAAAAGATCAAAGAAAGTGAGAAAATTGCTCTTTTGTGAAGGATAGGAAGAAAAGAAGTTGTTTGACAGCACGTGATAGTATCAATCGTTTATATTTTCTCTATATTAGCGAAAGGTAATGAACAGCTTGTGAGTATGTTTATAGAATAGAGAAAATTATTGATCGAAGGTCTTTCTGTCTCCTGATATATGGCTTGCGTAAGTGAGAACAGTTGCACATCAAATTATTAGTAACAGTGACAGTATTAACATAGGTGGGCAGAATAAATATAGCCTAGATTGTCATCTATTTTCTTCTCATCGTTATGTGTATATATATTGCCTTCTGCTTCTTACAGTAATCGTATAGATAACACTAAACCTGTTTATTTCTGAATGCGTATGCGTGTGGTGTGCGTGTATGGCTTAATGCTCGTTTTTAGCACAATCGATGATGTGCTCTCTCGTATGCAGTTGCCGAGGAAAAAAAGGAAAAAAAAATAATCCGAAGAATATATATATATATATATATTCGCCTACAAAATCCGTCATCTAGTCTATATCTATAACAAAGGAAGTGCTTTTTTTATACATTGAAACGACATTGAATACTGTCCTATCACTGCGTATATACATCTAAATACATGCACTTCTATATTACTCTAGACTAGTAAATTTTATTTTTGTCTCTGCGTATCTTCGTGAGAAGGTACAAAAAGTAAAAAGCAATATGTTGTCCGATTTATTAGTCGAAATGTCACCTTCTCCACCTTCAACTCGAAAACGACACATTGAAACTACTCAACAACAACAACAACAACAACAACAACAAACATCTTCAGCAAATACACGTTCATATGAACAAGATTATGAACGTCGACAAGAATCATCATTTATCTCGTCGAATACCAATAAACGTTATCGTCCATTACAATCGTCACTTGAACGAGCACATTCGTTGTCACGTGAGGATGAACATCGTCGACGTCAATATCCAAAATCTATTGATGTTTTTATTCCTTATGATATACTTGAGAAACAACGCGATCAACAACAACAACAACAACAACCTGTAAAATCTTCAACTACGACACGAAGTTATGAATATGAAGTTGAAGAGAGACGACGTTCGTCATCGGCCAATGTTAAACAACAACGTAAAATGGATTTTGATGAAGAACAAGAATATTTACATTGTTTACGTGATTTAACAAATGAATATGAAAAAAATAAACGCCAAAAAAAGTCATTTGATACTCGAAAGAAAACAACAACTACTGATACACAAGAACAATATGAGAGCGTCGAAGAAGTATATCGTCAACGACCAGTAACGACAACAACAACTACTACAGAAGAATTTATAAAGCAATCAACATATCGAATACCAACAACAACAACGACAGGAATATCATCATCGATGACTCGTCTAAATCAATTTGAAAAGCAATTTATTGATAATTTTGCAGTTCGTCCACAACAGGAACAGCAATCATCAATATCATATACGACACGTAATGAAGGTGACCAACGTTTAACAGAATCACAACGTTCATTTTCAGAAGAATTACTTTTTAAACGTTTAATACCAACAGCTAAACAATTATATTCAGCAACAGCAAGTGAAGCTGGTTTCGCTACAAGTGACGATGATTTAACAACTATGGAATATCGTATTAAACGAAAAGAACGTTTAAAGCCTATACGTATTTATTCGTCAACAAGTTCGATACCAGGTGAAACAAGTGTTAAATATGTTCGCACGGAACGTCAACCTGTTCAACTTCTTGTTCCAAAACCACAAATAATAACAACACAAGGTGAACATTCAACAACAATTGTAAAAGATGTTCGACGTTCAACAGGAAAAATAACAACAAATATACAACAACAGCATCAACGAGCAACAATTGAAGGCGAACATGAATTACGTATTATTAAAGAGCCAATATCATTTGGTCAAAATCGAACAGTCGAATTTACAATACCTAAACCAATTGATATTCCACCAGCGGAACATTCATCAACGTTTGTTGTTGAATCGAAAAAAGGTGGACGTTTTCAAACACTTGATATCAGTAGTGCACTAACAGGTGAACATACACTTGCTGGTGAACACGAACTACGCGTTATATCGGAACCAATATCAGCTGGCTTACATAACAAAGCAGTCGAATTATTATTTCCTAAACCACCATTACCACCACCGCCAAGCCAGCATTCGTCAACAGTTGTTAAACAAACGCGTGCGCCGCCGTCTAGTGTTGTTTTTGATAATATTCAAACGACACTAAAAGGTGAACATGAATTACGTCGAGTTGATCAACCAATAGAATCAGGTGCTATGGATAGTGTCGAGTTAATAGTACCGAAGAGTTTTACTGAAACAGCTGAACATACAACCACCATTGTAACTGAAACGCAACCGCAAAGACGTGTTTTAGAAATTACTGGTAGTGGTAGAAAAATGGAAAGTGAACATGAAACAAAATATTTTCATGATGCTGTTCGTATTGAAGAAGAAATTGAAGTTAAATTACCTAAGCAACAAATCGAACTTCCTGAACATACAACAACAATTATTAAACATAGTCGAGGTAGAGGACCAATTATTGAGGTTGACACAACACAACGAACAATTCAAGGCGAACATGAAACGAAAATTATTGAAGAATCTATTGAAGCACGAGCTGATGCTATGCAATTGTTAGTTGCTAAACCGCAAGGATCAGCAGAACATAGTACAACTGTTGTTAAAGAACAGCGTGGTAAACCATATATATATGCTATTGATAAAACACAACCAATTCCTGGTAAGAATAAAAATAGGAAAACCTGCTACAGCCACCAATCATCCCTACAGTAGTAAAGTGTGAAATGTAATCTTGTTGTTGTGGTTGTGGTTGGTAATCATAGGAAGATTGTGATATCCTATTGATCGTAGAATAAATTTCTGCACGATTCTTTTACGTAATATTCCACTGATGTAATATGGAAAGAGTTCATATTGTGTAATAAGACATTGTTGATATTTAGTCCTTGATTGCATGTGTCAACAATGGCTGTGCCGTCTAGTGATAGGATAGCTCGGTAAAAATATTGATTAGATTAAATTGTTCTGACAGTTGTTCTTTTGATTTGAACTCATGAATTCAAACAATTCCAGATCTTTTTACGTGTATAGAGAGAATGTACCATTTTTTTGCCTTCATATTTTTTCCACTGCTTTTATATAGTATTTCTCAAAACCTTTCATTTATTTTCATATTGTTTTATATTAATTAGGTGAATATGAAACAAAATATTACGATAGACCAATTGAAGCCTTTGGTGAAATGCACGTTGTTTTCCCAAAACAGCAACCTGTTATTGGCCCATTAGAAGGTGAACATATGTCAACATTAGTTAAACAAGTTCACGCAAGACAAGTCGTTTATGATGATCGTCTTCGTGAAATTCCTGGTGAACATGCATTAACAGTTGTGGATAGTTCAACAACACATATGGATAGAGGTACTGAAAGTGAAATCGAATTCATTGTACCGAAACCACAAATTCAACGTTTCGAAGAACATTCAACAACTGTTTTAAAGAATCTATCGCGTCGTCCAATAGGTTCAAGTGGTTATGATGAAGTATTTGCTTCATCAGCTGGTGAAGACGAAAATATTCGTCGACGTTATCGTTATCAAGAGGAAGAAGAAAGTGGCTGGACTAGTGCTGGTGAACATTCAACAACTTATGTTAAACAAGCACGAGCTAAATATGAACCAATTGAGCTTGTTGTTGATCGACCAAGAATTATGCCAAGTGTATCAACATTAATTGCTGATATACAAGCACCAACACAAATCACATCAATAAAACCAACAACAATACTTATACCCCAAGATAGTTCAGTTAAATTAGATATGGACTTGAATAATCAATATTTGCAAGAACAATATGATGAAATGGAATTAGTCTTAGAAAAACCTTATATACGTGATAGTTCAACAAAACTAATTGCAAGTATTCAACCTGGTTTAGAAATAAAATCATTTCGACCAACCACAGATATGCAATTACAAACGAAAACTGCTGAAGAAAGTAGTTCGTCATTAACGATGCAAATGCAACAAGAACAAGAAGAATCAGTAGAACTTCGTATACGTAAACCGCATATACAGGATAGTTCAAGTGTTCTTATAGCTAATATTCAACCTGAATTAGGTATACAAGGACAATTAAAAGCTAGTCCTTATATTCTACCGCCTGTTGAAGAATCAAGTACAGCATTAACAATGGATTTAAATGCCGATCAACCAACAGCACCATTCGAATTAATTATACCACGCATTGGTGTTGAATCATCAACAAATACAATTCTTGCACAAGTAGCACCAGCAATGGCTGGTATACGTGCTAAACTCGATGGACCTAAAGTTGAAAAATCGACATCAAAATTTGTTCTTGAACAAAAGAAACGTTTTGATGAAGAAGTTGAATTAATTATGCCTAAACCAAAACGTATTGAAACAAGTACATCGACAATGCTTGCTGATGTAGCAGCAAAATTAGAAACTAAACAAATACGTGCAAGTCAAGTACAACCAGAAAAATCAACATCAACATTTTATCTCGATGATACAGTACAACAAGTTGAACCACAACCAGTTGAATTACGTATGAGACAACCAATTATAGGTGAAAGTTCAACAACAGTATTTGCCAATGTTAAAGCAACATTAGATACACAACACATAAAAGTACTCGGAAATCCATATCAAACTATTGAAGATAGTTCGTCAGCTATTATGCTTGATACTCTATCGGAACAACTTCAACCATCTGAAGTTGAGCTTATTCTTCCTCGTCCACAAATACAAGAGAGTAAATCCGTTATTTATGCTGATGTTCGTCCAACACTTGATACATCACAGACACATATTGTTATTCCACCACCTATACAATATCCTGTTAAATCAAGTAGTGAACTTATTTTACAACAAGATACTATTGAAGCACAACCTGTCGAATTACATTTACATCGTCAGCCAAGTTCACATACTGTTATGGCTCGTGTAGATGATAAACGAGCGAAAACTAAAGATAAGTATGTTTTCAGTGGACAAGATCAAAATTATGGTTATCAAATACGGGATAGTTCATCAACATTATATACAGATTTAAGTAGACCCGTTGAATCGAAATATGCTGCTGACAATCGTAGAACAGCATCGATGTCTGATCAGCAACGACGAGACTATAATTCAAGAGTAACAACAAAAGAACGAATGAGTATGACAACTGGCAGTACTATCGGAGCATCAGAAAATAGTACAACATTGATTACTGGTACTAGAAGAAAAATCTACATATTTATCGTTTGACATCATTCTTTTCTTTATTTAGAAATCGAACCACGTCAATTAGAACCAGTTGAATTCATAGTTTCAGGTAGTATAACTGGTACTAATAATAGATTAGAACCATACACAACTAATGATACTAGTAATTTTACAACAACAACAACAACACAACGAACTATGTCATCAATAAATAATAACGGATATAATCAAAGAGCAAACATGGATTTAAATCAAAGTTATCCACCCTATTTTCTCGCTTCTTTACGTGATCAAACAGTTCGAGAGGGTGAATCTGTACTTTTTGAAGTTGTTGTATCTGGTAAATAGTGACAAATCCAATCATGTGTTTTATTCTTACTATTTTCATTTTTGTTTTCTTTCAATCTTTTAGCTTTACCATTAGCAGAAATTATGTGGGATAAAGATGGCGAAATATTAAGCGTTGATTCAGCATTTCGCATTGATTATTATAGTGATGGTCGAGCAACACTTTATATACCAGAAACATTTTTAGAGGATCAAGGTTATTTTACATGTACAGCTAAAAATTCAATAGGATCATGTCGTTCAACTGCACGCCTTATGATCAAAGGTGAATTTTACACATCATTGTTTTTTAAATCTATACTTAAATCATATCGAATAATTTTTCATTTTTAGCAACAAGTGAGCGATTGTCACCAACACGTCGCGAAATGCATAACACAACATCTATTTCTTCAGCAACTACTCAATATCAACAACCCACAGGCAGAACAAATCAACAACCAGCATCCTATCGAGTTTACTCACAAACAGACCCAGCAAGGATATCACATCAAGGAAGTCTACCCAAAGTTATAACACAAACTACTGAAGAAACCGAAGTTATACATATCCCTCCTCAACAAGAACAACAACGCAATGAAATATCCTATACGGTTCAAGATAAAAAACCAAAATTCGAACCAGTTGCATTTCAAGTTTCAGCTGTTCAACAAAATACTCAACCAGGAATGAAAACTGACGGTAGTGATCCAAATCCGTTTAAAATTTTTGGTGCTAAATTACGTAGTCGACCCGTTAAAGGCATTGTTCCATCGTATGATGATCAAGCGACAAATAATTATTCACAACAAGATCAGTTCATGTCTTAACAACCCTCTTCCTCTTTATTCCCCGTCTACACATTTAATATATTCAAATCTCATCAATAAAATACGACGCATAAGATGAAATACAAATCAATCTGTGAGAACAATAAATAAAAGCAAGTTATATTATACAACAATAATAAAGACAAGTCGAAACTTATCATTTAGCTTCTGAGCTGTATCAATATTTTATTTCAAAAAAAATTACATCGATCTCATGTTTGAATATGCAGTCATTTCGTCAATGGTATTATCATAATCAAATTATAAATAATTGATATTAGACATATTCTATCACTAGAAGCATGTTACGAAATATTTATGCCATGGGTAGATCGTAGTTCAAAGAATTTTATTCTCATAACAGATGCCATTCAAGAAAATAATAGGTAAGAAGTTTTTAAGATGAAATTCAATATTTTTTAAATAAGAACTGACAAAAAATGTTAAAGAATGAAATCCGCCATTTTTTCTTCATAAATTAATCTAGTCAAATTTAATCTTGATGCTTATTACGAGTGACTAGATAAATTGAAATTTTAGCATCGATAGCCCAGAGCGTTTAAATTTTTATAGCAACACTAATTCTTGTTTTTCTTTGAGAATTATTTTTTTTTATAGAAATAGAAAATTTCTTCGTAATTTGATCTGGATACTGATTACAGGCGTCTCAAAAGATTTCTTAGTAATCAGTTGTTTATTTGTTATTTCTTAGCAGACCATGGCAAGATTCAGGAAATTATAGCGCCTCTTTATGTCATCTAATTTTATTATTGTAGCATAAAGAAATGTTTGCATAATAAAAGGGCGATGTTTTGAAGGCATTCAGAAATTAAAATTTCTATTCAATTAAGATGTACCCACGTTAACAAAGGGATTTTTCTTGCTCTACAACACGACATGTTCTCACAAACCAAAAAGATCTAGCTTAAAGATCCATAGAGAATTTTCTATGAAAGACTAAGTAGCTCTTGAACACGTTTACAAAATGCTTTAGAGTAAAATTTGTTCTTGAAAATTTACTTTTGTATTTTGATATCATAATTATTTTCATCAATGCCAATTCTCTCATAACATTGTATAGTTTTGTACAAAAATTACTTCTTTATAACCATATATAATTGACTCCTTTACTTGGCAAATACATATTTTCGAAGTTATCAGTCTTAATCAGAAAAGAAAATGTCACCTTGTATTTCGAAATAGTGCAAAGCTGTTATTTTTCTTATCTACTTGTCTGAATTTGACTTTTATGTCTAAACTATCACACTATAAGTAAGCAATCATCAGATATTAACAAATCCATCAATACTATTGAATTAGTCTTTTTCATCTATATTCAATATTGTATCGATCATAATAAAACACGATCTATCGTAATTTTAGAAATTGATATCCTAACCCTGACTCGTGTGAACAACAACATTAACCTTATGAAAACTATTGATTTTGAGCATATGTTCTTTGAATGTCAAACAGCCAACTCAATTATTAATGTGATAGTTCCAAAAAAAGTTATATCTGGTTTAGAAAAATTCTTCGTCGGAGTTTTTGTTTCATTGTTCTCACACTATTGTATTGTTTATTTCTTCTTTTGTTTTGTATTTGTTTTTCTCTACTTTATACGGAAATGTCGCTCCGTGGCTTTTTTCCACTGTCAATCAAACATACTTCTCTTTTCATTTTTGTTTGTTTTTTTTGCATACCCCTTATCCCTATTCTATTTTATATTCGAAAAGAAAATACGTTTTACGGCGACAAATTCTAGGATCAATTAATAATTATAATATTAAGTAGAGTTTATTTGTTTTTTAAAATTTCTCTTGTATAAGATTCGTTTCTTTTTATTTCTGTCTACATAACATAACCTCTGTTCTTCTTTTCTTTTTCTTTTTCTTTTTTATTTGAATCCCTTCTTTTTTTTTTCTTGGAATTTGTTTTATAGTCACATACGAATAAAAACACGCATGAATTTTATACTGATTATAGCGGGCAATAAATAAAACAAATGAGCGAAGCAAAAATATATGCAAAAAAAAGATTTAAATCATCAATAGAAAAATAAAACTTGAATCTGTGAAAAATTTGATTCATTGATCATGTTGTATGTGATATATACTACAAAGAATTTTGATATAGCAACAGTTGAATGTGACTGGATGTAGGCGTTTTGCTCATCACCTTCGGTACTCACACGGTGGCCTAAAAATTTGATCTCGTATATCTCGATTGATGAGTGATAGAAATAGTGTGGCAAGACCGTTACTTGTCATGCATAAAACTCGTTTACACAGACAATTGTTTTGTTTTTGTAGAGGAGTTTGAAGAAGAGTAGCAAACCTATGAATTTATTTCAATCATTAGTAAGATTCTATTTCGATAATTGATCTTATTACTTAGAAGTACTACTCGTACTTGAATTACTTTTTTTCTGAAGAGAGTAAATCCGCACCAAAGTGGAAATAATATAACTATAGGCGTCGCACTTATTAATATGTCATTGATTTTATGGTTTTCTTGAAACGCCAACATCTGGATATACGGATGTATTTACTGTAGCCATGTTTGTAATTACAAACATTATACTCTGTGAAATGAAATATTCATCCAGAGTAAATCGAGCAAAATCATCTTCGTTTTTTGGTTGGTCGTTCAGATACTTTTTTCGAAAAAATCATTCTATCACTATTCGATAGAGAGTGCTGTACTCACTCTAACAATCTGTTCCATTAGTTTCTCAATTAACATTATCTAGCTTGATGAAAAAAAAACTGCAGACATTAACACTTAATCAATCATCTAAGAATGAAGGTCAGACAATATACAAAATTGATGATAATTTTTCTAACAAGGATTTGTTGAAATTTCAAACATCTGAAAAAAATTGTATCTTGTGTTATAAGAATTTTAATGTAAAATATTGATATGACAAGATCATTTTATTGTTGATTTTTAATTCAATACCACTCAATCGTTTCAACGATTTGAACTTGGTGATCAAACGATTTCGTCTAAAACTAAAGTCTACATCCAACCATCCGAGAATAACATTTCTATGTGCTAAGCATTGCTTTCAAGAATGTTTTTTTTCCGATTGGGGTGCAATAATAGTCAATGCCATTGGTTCTCTAAGCCCTCTTGTCATGAATGATAATAGAGTAGAGAACCTTGAAAAGTCATGCAAGCAAGGAGCAGAATTTTCGCTAGCAATTAATGTCGATCTCGTTATTTCTTAAATTGAACTTGACAAAGAGAAACATTCGCAAATGAGAGTACATGTGACAATCTAAGTTCGCCAGTGAAGCACGAGACCTTATCTAAAAGTTTGTTGTAACAACAGAATTTCATTTGAAAAGCAGAAGATGAAAGTTTTCTACAATTAACAATTATCTATCAAATAGCAATAGAATAAATTAAGTGTCTGACAATACATCAGGCTGACACCAAAACAAAAAAATTATGTTAGCATCTTATATAGTCGGTGTAGACCACTATTGAGTTACCTTCAACGAAAACATGTAATCAACTACGTTTCATAGTAATTCTATACGCAAAATTTAAAAGAAGTTAATACCCAAACAAATCGTTATCCGTTAATTAAAAGTAAAAATGAACACGTAGAACATTGTTTTCTAGTTGTTAATCTTCAAAATAATTATAAAAGGAAATCAAAAGAATCCGCCAACTGAATTAATTGGTTGTGATAGCCCGTCAGTTATGACTGTGAATAAACCAGTTTTTATAAAATCTCTTTCAATTTGCGCTTTTCGTTGATCATATTCTATGATCATATGCATCGAATTTTCATGTAAGTTCAATACGAAAAGAACTCGACAGCAAGTCCACAAATTTTAATTCGAACACTTCTGTTGTATGTTGCATTTTGCACAAAATTAATAACAATGGTGAATATAACAGCAATATTTTTATGATTGTATTATCTTTCTCTACGCAATCTGAAATGTTTTCAAGTGAGAATCGTGTTTCATCAATGATGACGAATCGAATTAGTAGAAGTTCAGTTTAATATCCGCTGTCATTTGTCATTAGATAGAATTCTTAGATGCAGAACTGAGTAGTTTTTCAGTGCATAATTCAAGTAGATAACATGAAATCGTCAGAATTTTATTGAATTATCATTTGAGTTTAACTTCTCAATCCTTGGCTCAGTCGTATTGAAATTCAATTGAAAGCGATTTCTTTAATACAAAAAAAAAGGAAAAGCAATTATCTTGGCGTTTTTCTTTTCTCACTTAATTATTTGAAATCTTTCAAAAACAAATAGCCAAATACTTACTTTTTCATTTTCACAAAAATATTTAAATAGCGTTCTACAACGTTATATACAACAATCGTTTGACCTACTTCTATTATATTTGACGCATACTTTTGATTTAATATTCATAAAGAACTAGTATTTGTCTGTCGTTATTATTTTCTGATTTAAAATTGAATTAAAATTATTTGCTTTTAGTTTTAGTATTATTAATAAGCTGTTCTACTTTTCATATGAAAAAGTTCACATTTATTCTATATTACGAGAATGTTGTTAGAAAGGTGAGAGCCAGTCACCATTAACTGTGTTGATAAGAACGATGACTATCAACAACCTACAGTAATGATTCATACAATGTACTTGCAAAATTTAGTCTACGTTGATTTTTTTCCCCTATCAGTATGATATATCTCTATTTTTTCGATTATTTTTATTTGACTTATTACTTACATATTTTATTTATCATTTGTTAAAATGATATCCAACGTTTAAATGCTCGCTAAAAGTTATGTTGATCATAATATCTATCAAGTAGGATGGTTAGAAAAAGAATTATATTTTTTTAAAACGTCGTGAGATAAATTATTAGCATTGAATCTCTTGAGAAACTAAATCCATATATTATATCAAGAATGCAAACATTGACAGAAAACTAAAATAGACAATAAAAATATGGAACCAGATGTTTAAGTTACTTAATTCAAGACACATATTAAAAGGAGTTCTTCTAGATTCAATGATTTGAACGCTTCATCAACATAAGTAATGTTACTGTTCTATATCAATTCATTTTCATCTACATCAAATATGTAAAGTTGACAAGCATAGAAGACACTTCTCCTACGCATTTGTTTTTCAGTGTTTTGTATTAATCTATTCAATCAACTGTGAGTAACAAAGTAGAGCCTGCGGGGTTCTCTGGCAAAAATACAAGTATGTTAGCCAAATAGTACAAACTCGATTGAGAAGAAATGAATACACGGATGCTTCCTAATTTGATTCGGGAGTAAAAATATTTTTTTAATTTCTTCTGTTTATGAAAATGATAATTATTGTTGTCTCTTGTAAATAGACTGAATAAAAATAGAAAGAGTCAGAAGATATTCAATTCTTAAAAAAGCATACACAAAATCTTTCAAATTATACAAGAGCTATTCGCATGTGACTTTTGAAATTATTTGTACACATATCAAGACACAGTCTACACAATTTTATTTCCATGTGAGTTTACTGATAGCTTCGAAATATTTCGTTGACGAATATTCCCACGTATATAACAAAAATTCGAATAGATAAGCGTCTAAATAAACTGCTTAAATGTCTCGACTCTGAAATTCCGCACCATGGATAGGATGATTTGCAATTATAGACGATTTCGAGGTTATAGAAACATAAAAAAAATGCTCTTATGAACGATATATACTATTTAACTTGTATTTTATATCGATACAGTAATTTAGAACGAAAAAGATCTAATATTAGAGCGTGAAAAACTAAGAGAATAATAATGTATCTCGAGTTAACTTTGTCAATTTTATTATTCTCTCAGTGCATCATAAAAATCAAATTCATCCAAATGCGTAAATATTACTTGTTGACCATACACACATTACAAACTTTCAGCATAGAAAAATTAATAAAATTCAACGGTCTGACACTTTGCAATTATTTCATAGACCATGCCGTTTCTATCAGAATAATCAAAATAATAATACATCAAAAAACACCATGAAGTTTTTTGTGTTCCTAAGTCTTCCTATTAATTATTATTTTCAAGCGTAATGAAAAACTAACACGTTTTCTCACAAACTATTTTGTGCTTGATTTAACAAGACGCTCTTCTAATCTCTACGGAAAACAAAAGAGTAGATAGATATTTTTTTTTTGAATAGATCTTAATTTAAAAAGAAGGTATTCCGCTAGAGTTTCTCCAATAAAAAGAGAAGACACTACCACATTGAATTGTATTTTACAAGCTCTTCTGAACTATTTTTGGAATTTTGTTTTTGGAATTAATTCTGTTAAAATAGTGAGCCAAAATATGGTTTCGAACAGAATGAGAAAAAAATGTTTCTTTTGCAACCAAGTTATTGCTTGAAAAGTCCATTGATATTTATGAATAGAATTCCCATGAATCCTAAATAATAACATATTTTTAAATTTTGAGAGCTGACTAGTTCTGTTTACAATTGTATTCGCAGTCATAACTATTTATTGATAACTCACAACAGTCACCTCACCGATGACAAATGCTCGTAAATCGAACAGGTAAAAAACATATAATACATTATTTCAGAAGTACTTACCTTCTACTCAGAAAGGTAAAGAGCACAGTTCTCTGTACGGTTTTCATGGAAATCATGCAATAGTAATCCACTTGTACATTTTTTTAAATGAAGGTTCATTTTATCGAACGACCAGTACGATTTAAAATGAATCTTTTTCATCTGGGACCATGGCTATTGTTAACATTAAGGAAGTACTCAGCAAACATAATTTTTGCACAAGTACGATGATATTCGCTATCTAAAAATATACATAATCGATTTTATCATGCAGAACAAGAAAAAAAATAAAGAACATTATAGTCAAGCTTGCTTTTATTTGATCTATTCTTATTGTTTAGTACTTTGAATCATTTTCTATTTTTACTTTAAGATGATACCATAAGAAACGTTAGTTTTTCTCTTCACAAAAAAATGTTAATAACAGTTGCTTCCTCACAGTCGAAAATAGATTTGTCTGAATCTTTTGTTTTTGTAAAGATTCTTCATTGTATTTGACATATTCGTCTTCGTCAAAGAATTTTATACATCGTAACATATAGTTTGATAATTCGAAATAAAAAGAATAATGGAATTTTTTTTCTGTTTCGCGGAATGTTTTTTATGTAACCTCCATGACTTCATATGTACCTGGATATGAATTTTTTTAAGATTAAATATAAAAAACTACTTCATAAATGCGTATGCAATCAGGACAATACTAACGAAAAATAATTTTCGATGTATGAATTACTTCAATGCTATCTTTTTGTAATGAGAAAGTATTTATTTCAAATAAAACTAATCGTTCGTTACAATCATACGTTGAGAGTCTGAAAATAACGAGTGCTTCCAATAATGTACCGAAGCAAAGAAAATAAATACTTTCGATTTATGTGTATGATAGAAACAAAATTGTAGTAAATTATTAAACGTGCGTAAAAAAAGGCAATAAGAAATCCTTCGCATTCAATGTGAAATATGTGTATTGAGGCGATTCGATTCTTGCATTTTTAGTAATTAGAAGATTCCTAGTCAGTCAAATGTACGCGATGTGCACTAATCAAACAAACACAAAAGAAGGGACAACTTGATTCGTTCAAAAAGTTGAAGAGCAAAATAATGTGTTACATTTTATGCAAAAAAATAAAATTTAAGAATGATTTTATATCAAAATAACATTGCATTCTATTTTATCTTGAGCCTCTATGAAATTTACATTAGAATACGTATTGATTCTTCCAGTAATGTGATTATTTGTCTTTGTTATCAATATATTTCTTATCGAATCAAAACACAAAACACAGAAAATACAATTCATAACAAACGTTAAAACTATTGAAATAAAAGAACAATATAACATACAATACAAATGAATGAGCAAATAGTATGTCAGTAATAGATACAATCTAAATTCTGCCATTGTCTGTACGTCATAATCATCAAATAAATGATGCGTCAAATGTGAACAAAGATCAGTTCTTGTAAGTTTTTAAATAACAAACTTCTGACTGTATTACTTCACTTTGCTGGTGATGTAAGCATGGAAGCATTGCAAAATAAATCATTATAGATGATAGATCGAAGTAATTCTTCGCTTTTTTTAATTTTCGGCGTATTTGATGGCTATAAAATGTAGAAACATCGAAATTAACTAGTAGAAAACTTGTTTTATAATAATTTACTTTTAGTTTAAATGCTTTTACTGGCTCGGAAAGAAGTGCAATGAGACATTGGTCACCAGATGAATCTATGAAAATAAAATCATGTAGTTACAATAAATATGTATATGTAAATAATTCATACATCGTTGTACTGGTGCTACTGCTTTTTTTGCCATGTTTTCAAAGATATTTATAAATAATCTTGACGTACGAAGTATTTGTCTATATCTGTTTTTATCTAAACGACTAAGCGCTGTATTCTATAGAAATGATTGTATACCAATAATATTCTCTTGTTTTATAATGCAAGGATTATCAAAAAAAAAAAAAGAAAGAGAAAGAGAAAGAGAAAGAGAAACGAGTATCTTAATAACTTTTCTGTACTTATTAAAGTAACGAACAGAGAAACATAGGAGAAACGCGTATTTCCAAGGCAAATGCAATGATTAATACTGATGGTCTACGCAACATCAATGCGCGAGATGTACGTAAACATGGGGAAAAATAAATTTGTCAAGGTCAAATTAAGTACTCTATCTCAAATATAAGGTCACGTAATTGGAAATATATGTCATATATTGACTGTGTCAATGGAAAACGTAAAAATGCCTTAAGCAATCATCAACCATTTAATTCTAAATAATTTTATTGGTAAGCGATAATGATACTAGAAAACATTTTATGTCAAAAATATATTTAAACAAAGTAATTCTAATGCGAGATAAAAAATGCCCTTATATTCTCTGTCAATATTGCTATAGAACGCATAGAAGTAAGAATAGAAAATGATCAACACTAGAAAAATTTCTTATAGCATTTCATTAATTAGTTTCTATTTCTGTCTGCCAACTTACTTGGTATTATTTATCAGGTACATAAATTTCATTATTCAGTTCATTTATTACTCTAGTACTTATCTTTGGTAAATTTTAATCAAATTCAAAGCTACCAGTACTTATAAAGACATGTTTGCAATAGAACAATAAGCTCCTAACCTAAAGATTAACTTGATAAAAACGTATGTTCATGCTTTATTATATTGACATAAATAGTGCTAAATTTATCTTGTAAATATCTATCGAATAATATCAAACATTTTTATTATTTATTTAAAGTCACACGTGTCTACGTCTAAAACCGTATACCATGAAGATGTACGTAATAGAGAGAGAGAGAGAGAGAGAGAGAACTATTTTCTTTCAAATAAATCCTATCGATCATGAAATGAAACGTATACAAAATTGCACAATAGATATGTGTAAGAAGTATGCTAATAGAACTGATCGAAATGACATGCAGATTAAATAGCTATACGAAGAAAAAACATATCTACTTAGAAAAAAATATGGCGCAATAAAAGTTAACTTGAGTATAAAAAAAGAGCAACGCATACGACATTCCTTCTACTAGTCACATACAAAAATGACAACACGCAAACCAAGCTTATAATAATATGCAGGAAAAATGTACCCGAAGCAAACGAGAAGAAATGTACCTATGACCTAGACGTTCGACAAACACAAAATATGTAAAACGTAGTCTTCCTGAAAATAATCCTCTAAACATTTCTTGTATATATTTCATTAAAGAAAATATTGCTAAAAATTCGGGTGTATAAAAAAAGTTACGTTATACTAATAATGGTCTGGTTTCATCGAAAGAAACAACTAAAAATTCCATTTGCGACATCTGTTTCAGTCAATTTAAGCTATCACAGCTAAAAAGCTACCAATAGAAAGCGGGTGAAATTTGAATTGTAGAACTTTTGCAATAGAATTATAGTAAACACTAAAAGGAACCTTGAATTTCTATTGATTTGATTTCTTCTAACGAGGTTTTACTTTTTTTCTACATGGTAAATAAAAGATTAACTTTTAAACCCATATGCATGCAATAGACTGTAAATTTTTAAATTATAAAGTCTATTAATAGGATTTTTTCCGTTACTTATGTCTGGCAGTTGTCTTGACTTAAGCAAAAGTTTGAAAAGAAACGAAGAGATAGGAAAAGTCATATATGCTGAATACTTCTTGTTCTTTTTGTAGAAGCGCGAGTACATAATGGCATAAGAGCAGCGTAACTTCCCTCTGAATAATTAGTGGAGTAAAATCATGTAACGAGAAAAGAAAGGCTACATCGACCTTGTCTCAACACAATATAAAGCGTTTTCCTATACTGAAAAGGCTTTGGAAACAGTTCTTTTTGACAATGAGAACAATAGAAAAAGGGTCGTTTGATTACTCTTTCGGTTGAAAAAACTAATAATTATAATGACAAGACGTTCGAACAATGAAAACTTGTATTGTTATTTATGCGTATACATGGGTACTCAAGTTAACGCAAAATAGAAGGCTAGTTCCGTAGACTCGGAATGACGTCTTGATATATTAGAAATTATTTGAAGAACAAACAATGATGGAAATGAAAAGAGTAGTCCATAGAAGAAAATTTCTCATTTCCTACTAATAACAGCAGTGTTCAGAGTTCCAAAAAAGGAAATTTTGCATCTGATATCCCCGAAACTTTGTTATTACAAAAAAATTTGATAATGTCCGAAATTGCCAACTTCCGCAATTTCCAGTTTTCGAAATTTCTGTGCCCTTCAAAATCTCCGAAAATACTTTTCTTTGACTTTACTTGATTTTGAAGGTAATGGAATTTTCCGTAATTTCCTTTCTCGGAAATCTGAACATAAGTCACTAATAAAAATAACCTTTTTTTGCTGAATAAATCCATTGAATAAGAACTTCTAATCAAAAAAGTGTCTAACTTTTAAAGTGAGAAAATTTGTTTCTTTTTCTGTTACGATCAGAAACTAGCCGCACTTGTTTTAGCTTATTCTTATGAATAAATCTGTAGAACGTCGGCTATATTTATATGGTGAAGAAAATAAATTATCAGAAAAAACCATTCAAATTCTATATTCAATAAGATATTATCTCGATATATGTAAATTCTTCGTCCGTAAGAGTAACTCGAAAAACGTGACAATTTCTTATATTTCAGACTGTTAATAATGCATAAGTCTTATATTATTAAAGACTAAAACTATGTTCTTATATCTTTTTTTTAAGTAGCTTAAGTATTTTTCTACTCTTGAAAAAAATAGTCGGAGTCCATAATTTTTCTAATTCATCATGCACACAAATAAAGCAACGTCGAAGTTATGTTATACAATTCAATAGTGCTCGAATTCGTGTTTGAGCAAGTACGCTCTTGTTTTGATTTACATTTGTAAACTGAAAAACAATGAATTAAGTACAATGAACTACTTTCACCAATAAATTTTTACTGTCTACTATATTTTTGTTTTTGATAATTCTTCAATTTTATTTTTCAAATTTATTGTTAATACCCTAGTAAATGTTCAATTCTATTTCATAGATTATTCAAAAGTCGTAATATTCCAATCTTGATGAAATTTATTTTCAATATTTCCAATAAATTCTGAGTTGCTTCCTGTTTAGAATATTTTGTACGAGTTTATGTTTGAAACAAATTGGCGACAATGAAACAACTCTAAAATATTTATTCATGTACATAACTTACATCCGATTAAAAGGGTCATATGCAATCGTATTGTTGCATCACATAAGAATCATCAGTTGATATCAGTCTAGAACCCAGTCAAGTTATAGATGTGTGATATTGACAAACTTTAGAATTGAAAAATATCTGATTTGTCTAGCTTGGAATCTGTTTCTTGATATTCAAATATTATTCTGTCAATATGTTTGTATATTTAGTATTTGATTTCAATTCCATATAAAAATCAGTAAAAAATAGAAACAATATCTGTCTTTGAAGGATTTGGCATTACTACGTTGAATGCTGATGCCATTGGTGCAATTGGATTCGTAATTGGCACAAGTTTCCATACGAGTTTCACTTGATTAAAAAATCTAGTACAAAGTCAAGGGAAATTATCATGAAAAAGCTAGATATTTGATGAACAAAATACCAATTATTCTACTATTTATGTCGCAAAGGTGAACTTCCTCGAGGAATTTCAGCAACGAGTTCCTATCGTGTTGGTCTGATGGGAAACTCGACTTTTCTGCAATCTGCTTGATTCAATGATTGTAGTGTAGAAGGAAAATGCACAAGCAGACATGTCTAAAGCCATTACCAAGAGAACTCTATCAATATGCATTTTTGTGTTTTCAGAGGACGCTATGAATTTATTACTTAGCTATTTATGAGTCATTATCTATCATCAGTTGACCATACACAGAATAATTTCTATAAAAAGAATTAGCTTATCATGGTTTCAACTACCTCGAAATTTCAACAATATCCACGTTCATAAATTAGTGTCTTATCGTTTAGATTTCTCTAAGAAAATAATTAGTTTAAATCCAATGATACAATTTTAATATGATACTAGAACTAATATTTTCTAACTTTTCTTATTTAAAGTTATTGTGATCGAAGATGATATCAATGCATTCATACGTCTAGTAAGTAAATATACTAAAACAAAATCAATCACAAACCATCGCATGATTGCGATGGAAATCTATTTTAAATCTCAACAATATGATTTGAGATAATATAAGGACGATAAACGATTTACTCTGGAGTCAATGTTGACATGTTGAAGATTTTGATTGTTTCAACTGTTTACGAAAACAATTGGGTTATTTGATAGAAAATTAGCTCATGAACTTTAATTATCTCACATTAAATATTCAGATGACATTGTCAAACTCGTCTTTTTACAGAACTTACCGAAGATGAGCAAAACGTATGTTGCAGACGTAAGTCATCTGTATCATCACAACAAATGGATGTCCCTGACACAATAGCACGAGTCTGAAGTAATAGGTCATTCTCTAGGCCCTAGTGACATAAGCTAGATACTATCGAATAGTAGAAAACACGCAAAGGATGTACAGATAAAATGCTCGTGCGATCGATTAAACAAACGCTCTGATTTGCGTAGCATTAGGGAAATCTTAAGTATTTCTCTCGAAACCTTTGAAGAAACTTGAGAAATATTGATTGAAAAGGAATGCAATTTAATTTCAACAAAGTTACGTGTTTACTTCGATAAGATTTTAGGATTCCATCAGGACTTTCTTTAAAGTTTAATTGCCAAAATACAAAAAATAGAATTGACTTTCGTTTTTATTGATTGACTTTGAAATTCAATTTAATGTCGCATTAAATTTCTTTTAAAATAGAATTTCAAATATATACCAAAAGAATTGAATTCATCGTTTCCATTTAACAGATCATGTGAAAACAGATAGAACTTTATAATCTATCATAGATTGTGACTAGACATAGATTAGAATTTACTTTCTTGAACGAAACGACAATAGAGTACTGCTAAGTTGAATAAACACAAAAATCTTCCGATAGTCTAAAAGTTCATTATGATCGAAACATTCTCCGTTGCGAACTAAGCTAAATAATGAAAGTTTTCACTTAATAATATGAGTTTGTTCTCTATCGAAGATGAATGACGCGCCAGCAAAAGCCAAAACTAACGATCGAGTCAGTTAGTCACCGTAGCGTCATCGTCTAATCCTATTGACAGTCGGGTTATACCTATGCTGTTATTTTCTTTTGTATTTGCTTTCATATAGGTGTATGTAAATGTCTATGCACAACTGTGTCGCGAAAAGAAATCCTTCTGTTTACACAATAACATCCCATTGTTTTTTGTTCGATGGCAATATTATCTAAATAGTGTCTAGCCGCAGTGTTTCTCTTTGACTGTGTGAATGTCAATGGTAGCAGGTGTTTTTACATCCTATCGAAGTTATATTTTGTTTATTTGAAAAATAAAGACCGAAGGTTAACAAAACTATTCTTATATATCTGTATGAAAATTTTTAGATAATAATTTTTTACAGTCAAGAAGACAACAAGCAATTATTATGAGTTTATTTAGTAATATTTCAAGCGATCCGCCTATTGAAGTATTTCATTTAACTGAACTTTTCAATCAAGATGCAGATCCATCGAAAGTTAATTTAGGTATTGGAGTATATCAAGATGAAAATGGTAAAACATCGACATTACCTATTATTCGTTCAGTTGAACAACAAATGGCAAATGATTTAATTTTAACAAAAAATTATTTAAAAGCAACTGGACTTGATATATTTTGTACAGCAGGTCTTAAACTTTTACTTGGTGAACAATCATCGGCCATTAAAGAAAAACGTGCTTGTTCAATACAATCATTAAGTGGTACAGGTGCACTACGTATTGGCTTAGATTTTCTCTATCGAAATGATTATCGGATAGGATATGTTTCAGAACCTACATGGGGTAAAAGTTATAATTTACGCAACCAGAGATAATTTTTATGATTCATTTTTGTTTTAGGTAATCATCAATCAATTTTACAAACAGTTGGATTTGAAGTAAGAAAATATAGATATTGGAATCAAGAAAAACTTACTCTTGATATTGATGGTCTAATCAATGATCTTGAATCTGCACCCGAAAAATCTATTATAATACTTCATGCTTGCTCTGTAAATAGTTCTATTCAAAAAAGAAAGATAAGATACTTTTTTTTGTTTCTATTAGCATAATCCTACAGGTTGTGACCCTACACATGAACAATGGATGCGTATATCAGATACCTGTAAATCTCGGCAATTAGTCCCATTTTTTGACATAGCCTATCAAGGTTTTTCAAGTGGTGATCTTGATATGGATGCATGGTCAATACGCTATTTTGTACATGACGCTAAACATGAATTATTTATTGCTCAATCGTTTGCTAAAAATTTCAGTTTGTATAATGAACGTATTGGCCATTTAGTTGGTGTATTTAAATCATGTGACATTGTATCTAAATTTCGTACGCAAATGACAACAATTATTCGAAGAAACTATTCAAATCCGCCTGTGCATGGGGCATATATTGTTGCTACAATTTTAAATAATCCGATCCTATATGAAGAATGGAAAACAAATGTTCGAGCAATGTATGAACGAATACATTCAATGAGACAATTATTTTATAGTAAATTAAAACAATTAAATATATCAGGTACTTGGGAACATATTATACAACAAACAGGTGTGTTGATTTGATAAAAAAAAAGACGAAGTTTATATGAACTTCATTCATTTTCAGGTATGTTTGCTTATACTGGTCTGAATTCACGCCAGTGTCAATTATTAATTCAGAAGCATCACGTATACATAATGAGCGATGGTCGAATTAATGTTTGTGCCATAACATTGAATAATGTCGATGAACTCGTAGAAAAATTCTACGACGTTATTACTAATGGTGATAATGGCACTAAACTTTGACCTTATTTTTACCATTGATTATAACCTTTAGTTATTCTTAATCTTTCCATTTTTTTCGAAAAAAAATTTTAATCCTTGTATGCTTTTGTAGATTTATCTTCGGAATGACCTTTTCTTCTTGGTTTTTTAAATAGCTTTGTGTTTTTTTTTTCGAAAAAAAACACTATTTATCTGCATGTGCATGTTATTTCTAGACATTTTATATGTTATAATTTTCTAGGGAATTAAAATGACAAAAAAAAAATTTTTTTTCTTATTACATCTGTATTTCTCAATATGACATGTTTTTAATAAAACCCATCTTCTACTGGATTCTAATAGTTGCATGATGTGCATATGCATATCATTGTAATTGCTCTTCTTTTTTATTTTTCTATCATGCTTATGAAACTTTATTAACACGAACAATTCTTGAAAAACACGGAATCCAGAGATTAGATCTCTGGATTGTGGTGTACATTTAGTGTTTGAGACAGATGAGAGATCAATTTTTAACGAATGACTACCACTGTATAATTTTTTTTTATCCCTTCTCTAACAACGGTGACGGTCATGTGCGTTGTTATGATGATGGCCGTCGTCGACGTCGGTATAGTAGTAGTAGTAGTGGTAGTAGTAGTAGTAGTAGAAGTATAATAGCACTAGTGAAACTTTTTTTCTCTCTTCTCTCTCCCTCTCCCGTTATTTCTTTCTCGTGTCTTTTCAACTGATTACACGTACACATACGCAACTGGATCCTTCGTATTCGTTCTCATTGTCCCGTGTTCATTATTAAGAAGAGAAGTACAGAGAGAGAGAGAGAGAGAGAGAGAGAGAGAGAGAGGAGGAAAGGAATCATTACAACAAAAAAAGAAAACAAAACTCTCCTGAACAGTTTAGGTAAGTAATGACCGTTTGCTTGCATCATTGAACTTTTATAGAGTAAATTTCTCTTCAGTTGCTCTTTTTTTTACGCATTCATTCCTCTGTTTTAGGTCATCTATGCGTTTTTCTTTCGTCACAATCGACTATCGGTCAAAAAATTGAAACATTAGTGATCATTAATAATTTTCTCGACGTTCTCGATCGCCTAAGACTTGCGACCAATAAGTGTAACAGATGGTCTCGATATTTTATTCATCGTCGTCGCCGTCGTCTTCTTTTTTCTTCTTATTCATATAAAAATCGTTTGCAAAAGTGAGAATACATAAACTGTAGTTTAATCCTAGAAGAAATGAGGCAGATTCACAAAGAAGATATTAGTGTGTGTGTGTGTGTGTGATATTAGATAAAAACATTGCTGAGAGTGTCGGCTACGTGCAAAGTGATGATCAAATTATGTAAACAGTTTGTGATGTCATTACAAAAGAGAAACTATACATGTAAAAGTATTAGTAGGTATGTATATCTATTCATGGCCTTAAAATTCGACATGCAGACACATACACACACGTCGAACATCTTTTCGAGGACAAAAAGGACAAAAAAATAATGAAAGTGATAAATAAAATCCGTAAGTACAAGAACAAATAATACAAAAAAGAAAGGAAATGTACGAAGTATGTTCAGGGCCATTTATTTTACTTCTTCTTCTTTCTAATCATCTAGAAATAACAACACGTTGATCTAAGCCTTATAGCTTTATTAGCCAATTAGAATATTGATTCGATTCTATCATATATACGTATATATAGTTTTATATTTTTTGTTGTCGCCTGTGTGAATAAGAAAGAAAATGTATAAAGGATAAAACAAGTAAAGACATGGAGAGGTCGACTATTTTCGATTTCTTTATTGTCTGTGCATGTGTATGTGGACAGAAAGAGAGAGAAGAAGAGAGAAACATGTTGCACCGTCGACATCGCCGAAAGCCAGCTGAATTGGACTATGTCAATAGTAATAGTAGCAATAGAAGCAGCAGTAATATCAATACCAGTGATTTTATATGTTCTTCACATACTATTCTTCAATCGAGTTAAGTATTTGTATGAAGGATAAAATAGTATCAGGTTCTAAGAAAAAAAAACGAATGTGATGGCATCCCGTGGTGAGAATAAATTTTACTAACGATATAGATTCATATATTTTAGATTTCTTTTCTTTTTTCATCGATTATTAAAAAAAACTTATTTTCATCTCTTCAATATCTGATGATGCCTATACTGGAACAAACTGCAGTTACTCATCATCACCATGGACATGGTCATCAAACATTCTATCAGGAACAACATATATCAGAATCTTCTAACAAGATCGAATTAACACTTATCTTGCCAAATGGCGTTCCATCTGTACTTAATGTCGATCCAAAGTAATACATAATTATATCTCTTAATTAATAAAAAAAACATACAAATATCATCGATTTATCTGATGCTTTTCCTTTCTATTTTAGTACTCCCATGATGGATTTACTTGTACAGGTAGCATCATTAAATAAACTTAATCCAAGTAGTTATACACTAGTTGCTCTTGATTCAAATCAACATGTTATACATTTCAAAGCTAATCAAACAGTGGGACAAATAGGTATGTATTATGAATATATTCTCGAAGTGAAACACTAATTCATATAAAACAAAACAAAAAAGAAAACCAACAAAAATCTTCACTATTTTTTCAGTTAAAAACTGTCGTTTACCACAAATAAACGGTAATTTATAGATTTCTATTGTCTATCTTTTTGCCTAAAATTCTTGCTTAAATCATTGATTTTTATTGATTTCGTAATTTAATAAAAGTGTTTTATTCAAGGTTCGTCAACTATACGTCTTCATCCAAAAGAATCAACGCATTCAAATTCATCATCAAAAATCAAAACTCAACCATTCGAAGTATGTCAAAAAATGTTTATTCATTCATCATTAAAAAAATTCAATAAAATAAAAAATTTAGATAACAGTTCGTTTATTAGTTAATTTACCTGATGCACAAAAAATTTTATTACGTATTGATCCAACATTGTCATTACAAGAAATAAAAGAGCAGATATGTAAACAAAAAAAATATACGAATTCCAATGAATATACATTACGTTTACCCAACAAACTTGACCAACCAGTTTTACTGGGCTTATCATTAGCTGAATATAAAACAAATGAACTTACATTATTACATCAGAAACCCTACGATTTAGATCAACAATTAAATACAAATCCATTGCAATCATTTGATCGTCTCTATCGCTTACGTTCCGAAAGTCAACCACGAAAAGAGAATTCTCAACAAAATGAACAACAACCAATGACTATAACACACATTCATCATACGAATTCAAGTCGTTCGTCATCATTACGTCCATCACATACAACATTACATGCTTATTGGAATGATCCTAATTTTGATACGCAATCACAATTATCAACTAGTTCATCGATTGCAAAAAAACGTCGTGCACCAAGACCACCAGGTTGTACGAAGTCTACGAGACCTGAGTCACAAATTATTTATACTCAACATCAACTATCAAATGATATTCCTTCACCTCCATTGCCATTACGCAGTGATCATCATCATCAAAGTCATGAATCTCTTCAATCAGAAAATACAAAAAAGAAACGAAAAGCTCCCGTTGTTGCTTCAACAAATGGCATTCACAAAAAAGATGAAAGTGATAAACTAGAACAACAACATCAAACAAATCATATCACTCGACCAGGTAGATGAAGATTCCTGCAAAAGCATGAAAACTAAGATAAATACATGCGATAATAGCTCGAGGTTTAATCCGCTTTTGCTTAAAAAACAACAAGTTATGTTTTTCAGAAGCAGATTTTCCATGTTTCCGCTACTAATGCCTTTCTGATCGAGGGAGCCGGAAATAAAATTTGTCTGAAAGAACGTGTGAAAGCACCGGATATGGCATTATCATCTACTTGAATTTAACTTGGTTACCCATGTACAGAAAAAGCTTACTTTATCAATTAGACCATTATTGTACCAGAACGTTTCATACGCTTGAAGTTCTCTCTACTTTGAAAGTGAAAAATTAAAGAAACCATCCATGTTATGTTTTATCAAGTGAAAAAAATAAATCTCTAAAACCAATATCCACGGAGAAAGTTGAATAAACTATTTTTGACTTTTGCTATTTGAATATCTCTAGACAAAGTTATCACAGAGAGGATTAAAAAATGAATTCTATAATAGTCCATGGTGTTTTAATTCTCTTAGCTTTTTGTTCTTTCATCAGGTTTAGATCCTCCACCACCACCAACATCGATTGCAAACACTATTCCAACATCAGAAAATAATTTAAATGAAGATCTTCATTCAATAATAGAAACCAATCGATATTCCATCGATGAGTCCTCAGAGAAAATTCATTCAAAAGTAAATCAGTCGATTATCAATTCATTAGAAAATGGCATCGCAACAAACGATAAATTAAATATTACAACTAATTCTCTGGAATTGACAAATACTGAAATACATTCACCATCATCAATTCATTCTCTTGAACAACTACAAACTGATTCACCAAATTCAACATTAACCGATATTCAACAACAATCGGAAGAAAAATTTGAACAGGTAGACAAAAATGTCTTAATTTCTTTAAACAGAATTTTAATAAAATAAGTTTTACGTTTTAGAAAGAGATTGCAATAAATGTAATCGATTCTCCAGTACCGAAACCACCACGTCAGAATTTCCACAAAGAAAAAAAGACTTCAACAAATAATGGTCTCTTACGTATTATTAATGATCATAATGAGCGATCAAATATTTATCAAAAAGTTGACATCAAACCAAAAGAAACAAATGAAAATGTTTCCTATTTTCGGGTTGCTAAAAGTCGTTATGGAAAGTTTGAAACAGAAAATCGAAACTTCGTTCATAACTCCATTGCTATATTTGATTCAACAAATCAACAGAAAGTAGAGCAGCAAATTCAAAAAGGTGCCAACTCTTCAGAGTTATCAAATTCAAAACAATCAAAAGCAATCCAACCAAATATTGTTCAACATCAAACCAAAGGTAAACAAGCATATAGTTTATTGAAAAAATATGAGAAAGAAGAACAATTAAAATCTACAAATGGTACTGACTATTTAAAAACAACAAATCAACAAGAAAAAACATCAACGCCAAAACAGGTTTGTTTTTCTTTTCGAAATTTTTTAATTAGTTTTGTTATAATTCTTTTCTTTTCAGCTGGAAGTTACTGAACGAATAGCTCACATATCAGTACGTGTTATCTATTAAAACTTGTTTGTTTTTGCTCATTTTTATGCTCTACTTCAATAGCCGATAGGCTGTTTCACTGCAAGGGTTCCGACGGAATAGAAATGAATATGTTAATAAATCGAGGTTAGATAGAGGATTAACATATGACTATAAATTTGTATATTCGTATTTCTTAGATCAATAGAATTAGTAGGATTGACAAAACTTTCGAATAGGAAGTCGATCGTGTCCGGAATCGATGAAAAGAATTTTAATCGTGATAGATTTTCATATACATTCGTACATTCGATGTGAATGAAGGTTCATTACAAAAATTTATCCTGCCGTTCAGTCATATTTTTAGAGGATTAGTGAGAAAGAAAAACGATGAAATCTATCCGAAAATATGTGGAATAAAATAATCTTCTCTTACGATTAGGAGACGCTGTCAGATCGTGTTACAGATTTTAGTGTAGCAGGGCTTGCGCCAGCAGCTCTTTTTTCTCCAGTGACAGTGACATGCTAGAAAAATACATGAACCGTACTGTAGTATTCTAGTTGATATATATAGTGAAACTAAAAGATTTCAGTAGAGACAGACCTCGTTTTTATCAAACTTAGAAGATGAATTCACTGTAGCGTTTACAACACATCAAGGATTGGAGTATTATTGAAATAGATATGTTATTCACAAAGTATTTTCGCCGCTGCAAACATCTAATTTAATCCTCGATTTCCTATCATCTAGCCCGATTGAAATTGAGTATTGACTGTTTCATTAGTATTCGTTCACTACAAATCCATAGAAAGACTATGAGCACTTCAGGTAGAAAAACATCCGCTTTAGAAAAATATTGTAAAAGCAAATAAGTTCTGATTATTGATTGCATATCGAGATGGGTTTCAGTGAGACATTTATAAGAAAATGTATACATCTTTATTTTAATTTTAGGTTACTCTAGAAAATGGTCGTAAACAATTGATAACAAGAGCTGCTTCAACATCACGTCCACCATCCTCACCACCGGCACCGCCAATCCTTGCACCAAGACCATTTGGTAAAACCATTACAGAATATCGTACAGTATGTCCCATTGACAATAATGATGAAATAATAACTAGAAAGCATAATGCATCAGTATCATCAATTGATATGAATCATAAACGATTAAGCCCCGATCTATCTGAATCACATGATGCATTAATGGCATCCATTCGAAAATTTGGCGGTTCACAGAATTTACGAAAAAACTAATATCCGTTCTATCCTTTTTACCTAGTCATTTTATTCATATTCTATAATTATAATATCTTATGAATGTTGTTCGCTAAGTTTCTCTTTTTTCCGGTGCTTTTTACAAATACTTATAGAATATATCCAAATATGAGATGAACAGTGATCTTCATACAAATGGACAACGACAACAACATCAACAATATATAAATAAACAATAATGGCATATGTAAAATTATCGATCATCATTTTAATTGTCATGTTCTGATTGCTGTTGTATGTGTGCGTGTGCTTTTTTTTCTTTCCTTTTATTTCTGTCAGTGTTCTACATAGTTGTTACCAAAGGGTAAAATCGTACGTGTGCGCGCGCGTGTTTGTGTGTGTGTGTGTGTGTGTTTATTTACACTTTTACCTTCTTTTTCTAATCAAGAAAATAATAATACTAATATCATCCTTTGATTAACATATGTACTGACATCATTAGACTAAAAGCAGCAAAACAAATAGCTAATTTGAACTTCATGAATTCATAATTTGATGACATCAAATTGAAAGCAGATAAGAAACTATGATTAGTCTTCATGACTACAAGAAATTCATTTCTTGAAGGGTCATCAGTTCAATTGAATCCGTTTCAGTAATTTGACGTCACAGAAAATTATGCGTACGCAATCATTTCTGCAATATATTGAATGTGAAAATCGTACAAAAGCTAATAGATCAATGATGTAAAAAGAAACAAACAGCTGGGATAACATTGTTTCAATGTGCACCTATGCATAACATGTTGCGCTTTCTGAATGCTAATAGCTTTTTCATTTATATTGTAATTCTTGTTTTTTTTCGAACAAGGTATTCTCTACTGAAAGATAATTATTGATAATGTTAGTCTAAAATCAGGTTAGATTTATACAGATCGAACCTTAGGTGAGAAGGGCATAGTGAATCCTAACATTTCATCTACTGTATTAGACATGATCAACATTATTTTATACGAAATTCAACTATATCATACAAAACGCCCATAGTCACATTTAGCTCAACAAGTTATATATCGATAGTCATTTGTCATGATCATATATCTATAGAAGAAGTAGAGAAAGCAAATAAAAATGTATCAGATGAATAGGCGTCTATTGTCATATTCTGTCACTTATTTTTTATTGTTAATGTTTGATGATGCATTTCGATAAATTTCTGTAAGTCATAAACAACTATTCAACAATCTCAATCCCACATACATACTTAAGTGACAGCTATATTGTTATTTCATCTGCATCATTCCTCGAGTTGACTAATGGTAAAGATTACTGCAAGAACCTCATTTAAGGTGCACCAAAGGTAAAACTTGAGAAAAAACCAAAGTTGTTTAGTTTTTACATCAATCAGTAGAGCTTGACGCGCTGATTCTGATTGTGTATAAATTTTTGTACTTTGATCGGGTTTTGGGTCTGAAAATACAGAAATACTAAAACATCTGAAAATGATCAATCAATACGTGCTTTGGGAAAAAAATAAAAAATTCGTCCTTTTATGTTTTTTCTTGTTTTAAAAAATGAGTTATTTGAATTCAGCGTTTCAAACTGACTATCATCGTATAATTTCAATCTATTAGAAATATCTTTGAACCTAGTTATTATCTTCCCAAAGATCAATAGGGACAAAAAAAATCGATAGTGACATCTTCATCTTGCAAACCTATTTAGTCTTCTATTTCGAAATATTTTTTCGATATTTATATATCAATCGAATCATCATATATCAATGAAGAAAACTACTTATCGGTTTTGAAAACTTCCTTTTCTTTACTGAGAAAAAGCTCCATCACTAATTGGTCGTTTATGGGAAGGTGACTATTCTCAGTGATTTCGATTATCGTCTCGCTTTCTATGTTATCATGATATACATAAGAAATTTTGAGCATTTCTATATAACACAAACGAAACATTGTGTATTTGCTTATAAATTAATTAAAAACAACCCATTCAGAAATACTTGAGGGTGTGCATTCCTCAGCCATGAAGCTCTATATTATCACGACGAGCTACATGTTTCTCTTCTCCGGTACGCAGAGCTGAATGCACTTAGGAGAAGTTAGACATACACTTTTTTGCACGTTTTTTTATTGATTCAAGCCCTTTTCACAATAGATTCATGAAATCAAAAAGGTTTTGTTTATTTTTAGTATTTTTTTCCTTTCTTCATTTTAAAGTGTTTTTTAAATATTTGTGAAAAAATCAATTGAATCAATTAAAACGAATTAATCGCACAATGGAGTATCCAATATCACTTGTATTCAAGTATTCAATATCACTTATATTCGAGTATTCAATAGCAAAAACAATAAAAGCACTATCTGACACGACTACAAAATCCGATTAAGAATTTCTACACAATCCTTCGAGAAAGTTCAATCAACATCTTATATTGACTTGTGCACAATTTCTTATATATATGACATAATAAAATAGAAAGCGCGACGATAATCGAAATCACTGAGAATAGTCACCTTCCCATAAACGACCAAATTAATGATGGAGCTTTTTCTCAGTAAAGGAAAGAAAGTTTTCAAAACCGATATGTAGTTTTCTTCATTGATATATGATGATTCGATTGATATATAAATATCGAAAAAATATTTCGAAATAAAAGACTAAATAGGTTTGCAAGATGAAGATGTCACTATCGATTTTTTTTGTCCCTATTGATCTTTGGGAAGATAATAACTAGGTTCAAAGATATTTCTAATAGATTGAAATTATACGATGATAGTCAGTTTGAAACGCTGAATTCAAATAACTTATTTTTAAAAACAAGAAAAAACATAAAAGGACGAATTTTCAATTTTTTTCCCAAAGCACGTATTGATTGACCATTTTCAGATTTAATAGTGTTTCTGTATTTTCAGACCCAAAACTCGATCAAAATACAAAAATTTATACACAATCAGAATCAGCGCGTCAAGCTCTACCGATTGATGTAAAAACTAAACAATTTTGTTTTTTTCTCAAGTTTTGCCCTTGGTGCACCGTATATAAATATTTTTCTTTTGTTAATATTAATGCGTAAAGAAAAGCAAAAAATTAGTTACTAATCGACAAACTGACAAACATTTTATGTTATTTTAAATATTATTCATGTAATCTTAATGAGTTTTATTGATGTCATGAACATGTTATTTTGGTCTTGATAAAAGACCAAAACAAAAGCACCAAAGCGAAAGACCTTTTGCTTCTTCTTCTCAAAGTCAGGAACTTCAAGTATAGAATTACAACGAAAATAGAGAGGGTAAACATATATGAAATTAGTTTTTGATTCTTATCATTTGCACTTTATGTAGGAATAAAACTCTCAATTGTTATGGGATATTTTTTTTATCATCGCTATTATCTATTAAATTAATGGCTCATGCTTGTATGTCATCATATAATACGTCTTTATGGAAAATGAATCGTAAGTGTAAAAAGATTAAGAATAAAAGAAGTCCAAATAAAATTTTCTATTTTCAGGCTCTCATTGTCCGGCATATTTTGATCGAATATCCTGTTGGCCACCAACAGAGACTGGTATTCGTCGTATTATACCATGTCCTGTAAATATATTCCCAACGGCTGGTGAAAATGGTAATGCATATTGGATACATTGATATCATGGATCTGCATTTTTTTTTCTTTATTAGTGTATGCTTCGCTTTTATGTAAAAATGAATCTCGATGGGAGGAGAAAAGTCACTATGAACTATGCATTGGTTGTACAATAATAGATCCATTGGATGGAGTAAATTTTTACACAAATAAATGATTCTCATAACTTTTGATTTTTAGAATGGAACAAATCTGTTTTTGATACCTGAAAGTTTTCTCGTCACTCGAAAATATTTTATTATTTGTGCCAATGGTCTTTCAGTTATTTTTTTGATTATTGGTATTTTTATTCTACTTGGTAATAGGTTAGTAAATGAATATTTTTTAAAATTAAGGAAATAAATAATTTGATTTGTTTTGAAAAATTTAGTCGTCTTCGACAATACTCAAGAAATATTCTTCATGTTAACATTTTTCTTGTTTTTCTCATTCGATCGATCCTTCAACTTATTGCTGAAATTTTCATGGATAAAGGCTATTTCACTCATAATGTATTTCAACGAACTGATATATGTAATCGAACTACAATCTACTTTAAAAATCATGTAAAGAATGTTTACACAGGATTAGGAGAAGGAAACTACATTTCAGAATTTTTTTTTATCTATTTAGTTAGTCGATTGTAAATTATTTGTTGTCTGTATCAATTACATTAGTAGTAGCGTCGTACATTGGTTTGTGTTTTGCGAAGCTTTATATCTGTATCGTTTACTGCGAGCAAAGGCGAGCAAGGATCAAGTTAGATGGTATATAATAACAGGATGGTGTGAGTAAATATAAATGCCTAAAGTAATATATATGCCATTAATATTAAAAACAAATAATTATTTATAGTAGCACCACTTTGTCTAACAATAGCAACGTTTACAACACGTTTTCTATTAAAAAAAGATTTGCATAGTTGTTGGTTTGAACCATCAATTTATGATTGGATCCTTCATGGACCAAATGTAATTCTTCAAATAGTAAGTAGTTAATTATAAAATTAGATTGATTTTGTAATAGATTGCCATTTGTTTAATTTAGTTAAACTTTCTTATTTTTGCTTATGTATGCATATTGCTTGTTCGAAAACTAAATAGAACTTATCAGACGGCAACTTTTCCTGAGCATAGACGGTTCGCTAAATATAGGTAAAAGTCTAAAATCAAATTTTCAATAGTTCTTGTAAAAAAATGATTTAGTCGTTTAACACGCTCCACATTAATCTTGTTACCTTTATTTGGTGTTCATTATTTTCTATTCTTGTGGAATACAAAACCACTACTAATATCGAATGTAATTCTCATTCATCTTACTGTGCATACAATATCGTCATCATTGCAAGTAAACTTGAAGAAAATATTTCTTTCTAGTCAAATCTTAGTCAACTTTTGTTTTCTATTTAGGGCTCGATGGTTGCATTAATTTATACAGTAGTTAATTGTGAAGTTCAGCGTGAAATACTTCGTAGTATAGATCGTTGTCTAATGCGCCATTGTTCATCGTGGGAGCAACCAAATTTCTTTCGTAATTATATTAATAAATTAGAAAATGCACGTTTGTTTTCTATTGATTATCAAAAACAAGTATTCATCCCTAATCTATGTCGTTATACGGAAACAAACGCTGTTATATAACATCATTGTTCATAAAAAAAAAGAACTAAGTCAACTACAGTTTAAATTAAATAGCGTTTCGACTAAGTCGAGAATACGGAGCATGATGTGAAATACAATCGCCGATTATCCAAATGGATCAAAATATCAAATTTCATCATAAGACACTTTCCTTCAAGTTTCTAAGCTACTTTTTACATAAATACGACTGTTTTGTTTTTTTATATCTCAGTTGCAATCAATAAAATGATCAGCATGAAAACGAAAACTGTCAGTTGTTATGTTTAGATCCATGAATTAAGCAACAGTATCAAGACCTATCAGCTTATTTCAGTATTTAAAAGATTTATGATAAATCATTAGGTATCAACATAGCCGTCTCAGTAATGGGAGAAATGAGTTGCACAAGTTGATTAAGAGAATATTCATATTGAAATTACAAAAAGTAAGTTTTCTCGCTCTATTTCTAGATTTTACCAGAAGGTTTCCTGGACTGAAATAAAGTCAATAGTATTTTCACTTTTAGTTTTGTTTCTACCATATAGTTCCACACAAACTGCATTCATGCAAATAAACAATATGATATCATCTATTCTCGATTTTGCGATGTAATGCATCGCACATAGATGCACGATATGAAAACGTGGTTTGAATTCAACTTGTCAGCACATTTGTCACTTGTTCTTGGTTGAGAATCGAATTATTACTGATTTTCTATTTTTTTGCGTTATTTATACCTACTCATGAACTACAAGGTGCTAAACTCCTACAATATAATCATCTCGAGTCATTTCAATCTCAATGAGACCATTTCACAGCGATTCAAACTCGAATATTCATCGATCTTTCCATGTTTTCGACCAGATATGAATCGAAATACATCCTAGATAACATATGCATGTACACAAAGAAATTCCATATTGTCCATCACCATTCTAGCAACTGACATTCATGTTTGTTGATTATTGTATTTATCTTTTGAGAATTTTCGTAATTGGAAACTTGAAACATTGATATCTACTAACGCAATTATTTGAATGAAAAAATTTCGTTGAATAGATTTAGTAGTTCTTGTCAATATTAAAAATCTGTCTCAATCAGATTGACTTGAGACCTAACGCATACAAAATCGAATATTAATTAATAAAATATTGTTTATATACATGGGCACAGAGCATGTTCAATGGCATGATATGCTATCGATTTTAGCTGAATCGAGTTGAAAAACGTTGGAGTATATACGTTTTTATGTAATTGTAAAAATTTATTTTATTCTTTAAAAATAAAATATGAAAATTTCACAAATAATATCCTCTTTTGTACTGAAAAGATCCAACGTGTGCCGTTTATGATAACACTTTGTGAATCACTTTTCGGCATCTCAAGTTAGTCTAATGTTGAAGGCAAACAAATACAATACAGAGATCAATAGCATTTGAATATTTCTATATATTAAACAAAAATAAGTGTTACATTGATTGCTTCAACGAAAAGATTTAATTAATTACTTTTCTATGCTACAAAACGACTATGTTCAAAAACAAGCTTTTCTATTGGATTATCTTTTTTCAAATGATACAGTTTTTCTTTCCATTCAATACTATGCGGTACACCATCTGTTTTAGCATCATATATAAGGTGAGAACTCAATCGTTCAGCAATGGCATCCTTAATAAGAGCAATACCAGTATGAAAGTTGTCCGATAATGGATAATAAATGCGTCCTGTATCTGGTTTCACATACAATCGTTCAGGTTCAAATCGTATGGAAAACATTGTTGATGGTATATGACAACATTCGAATAAATCCTTTTCATCGAAAAATTGAGTTAAAACAAATGGTACGTCAGCACAACGAATAAAATTACGTTCCCGACCACATAACGATACATATGGAAACAAGGAAACATAAGGACGATCACTAAATGTATTAGCTCGAACACGAGTAAAAAAGAATTGTAGAAATTTAGGATCTAAATATAAATCAGAAGAATTTCCTTTGATCGATTGAATTAAATTATGAAACAAACCTTTGTAACATGAGGTAAAATTTTTAAAGCGAACATCATCTAAGAATAGCTATAATGCAAAATTTCATACAAAGTCAAAATAAACAAAAACGTATGAATTGTACCTGTCCAAAAGAATCAATATAGTAAAAATATTCTCGTACGTCTGTACGATCAGGTGGCGCTTGACCTTGAATATATGATGATGAATATCGAGTGATATATTTATGAGCTTTTAATGATCGTAAAATAGTTAACAGCATATCGTATCTAGAAATGAATAAATTGAACATTGTCAGTATGAAAAAGCCAAACGAATATTTTTTTGTGCGAGTTGATACTCGACTTACGATGTTTCACCTGTAGAATAGTTTAAACTATGTCCTTAGTATTCAATCAAGAAAAAAATATTCTATTGTTAAGAAAGTTAATCTCTCGAAAATAATCCCTAAGTATAAGTATATGCAGGAAATCTGTAGTTTACTTGGTAATTAGACACATCGACCAAGAAATATTCTTAGAATTGGTCATTTTTTTCACGAGAAAAATGTGCGCATAAATATCCTATTCTATATTTTTCTATATATTCAATACTGACTTTGACAATTTAGAAAAATCATCAATTTAAATGCTTCTTGAAAGACAAAAGAAGTTCAAATGTGCATTGATGCTTGTGATAGTTCCAAACTGTTCTTAGAAAAGATAGCATATTATATAAAGCTTTCAAAGTTGATTAGAAATAGGTATATGAATGTTTTTTTCTGAACGAAAAATTCAAATCTCAGCCTGTGTTCCAATCATAAATATTGAAAATATTTCACATCATCATTCAACAGTATTCTGCAGGTAGATTTTTCAATTAAAGAATTGTATTAAAGAAATATGATTTTCTTTACGGTTAAATTATTGTTTTTTTCAGCCGCTAGTTATTTCCATCCTTTCTCAAGCTAGCTGTTAAGCAACTAGAGAACAACCCTGAATTAATTGATGATCTATATTAGAATTTCAACTATTTTTAAACACACACACACGCTTATCAGTGTCGTAGACGTGCGATTATATCAATTTTGTTTTGTTTTAATAGTTCAAAAGAGAAAGAGATTCAATGCAATTGTATGTCATTATATTCTTGATTTATTTCAAAACGATTTATCTTTTAAAAAAAACTGATTTCGTCAAGATTGATAAATAAATGATCTACAACTATCTTGAAGTTTGAAATTAAAATTATAACATTTATTTTCATATTGATCGTTCGAATACAATATGCAAAAATAAATATATTATCAACATATTTCTCATATGAAAAATAAAACACAGTATTTCTATCGTTGATATCATAACTAAACTTTATTTAATGAGAAAAAAAAAACTAAAGTAACTGTTTATTCATACTTATTATTGGCAAAATATGAGAAACAAAAAGTTTAAAAAAATGCAGGCTTAAATGGATATAATCTGTATTGAAAGGTGTTCATAAATGTAAGACTAGATGAATCTATGAACGATGGATAAGTGAGGTAGCTTTAAGTGAAAATTTTGGTGGTATATTTGCTAAACCAAATGTACCTTCACTTGGTTCAGGTACAGGGCCAGTTTTTTCGAAATCGTTATGAAACAGAAGTACACCAAGAATGCCAGTCAATAAATTAAATAAAAACTTTTCAGCAACACAAGAACGTGGACCAAAACCAAATGGTGAATAAGATTGAATTGGTATAGTTGATGAATTATTTCCGATCCAACGATTTATATCAAATTTTGCTGCGTCTCTCCATGTGGGCAATTGATGTAAAGCAACAATATTAGCACCAAACTGAGTACGCTTTTGTATATGATAATGACGCCATTTAAAATCTTGTAATGTCGAATGAATAACAATAGGTATAATAGGCGATAAACGTAAAACTTCTTTAACAAATGCTTGCGTATGAACAAGAGATTCAGCTGATGAGAGTTCAAATTTTGAATAACCTTTATCTCGAACTTCGCGTCTACACGAATTCGCTTCTTCAGGATATATAACAACGTAAAGTAAAAACCATGATATTGCACCTTTAAGCATTTCACTGCCATGCATAATTATATCCAGTATACAAGCAGAAACGTCATCGTCATCTAAACGTGGTGATGATTCATCGATAGCATTTAAAATTGAATCAAGAAAATCATGCGATGTTTTTGTTGTTGATGTTACAATGTTTTCGTCAGTTGTATTTTTTGCACGATTAGATCGTTGTTGAGTCCATGTTTTTATATAATCTAAGATATTTTCATTGATATCCAATGTTTCTGATTGGCCAGTTAATTTCGTAAGAATAACTTTAGCGGATTTTTGAAATGTATCTTCGTGAATTGCTTTTGAAATTTTATATAAATTTTGTTCAAATAATTCAAAGGCTTTATCATTCATTGCTTTAGAAGCTGATGAACCTGAAAGCGATGTAAGAAGACGAACAGCAAAACTAAATGTTGTACGACGAACATCAAATTTATTGGAAAGACGTAAATTTTGTAATTGCTCTTGTACCACAGAATCCAGACGTTTATAAACAAAATCATTATCCATAAAATTCACAAGTGCTTTATGAATTATTCGAGCATTATGATCTTGATGACGGAATACAATACCTATTAAACATCATAAAAAGCTTTTTAATTGATCAAAAGAAATACTTTATAAAAACTTTTAAGTGAAAGTTGTTCCAATCAAAAGTAAACATATTCTATTTAATATATCTATTAGAACATTGTTCGAAAAAGATTGACCAAGGGAAATTGAAAAAGTCCAACATTAGTTTTATTGATTTTAGAATCGAAAAGAACTGAAATTCATAGAATCGAGAATAATTTGATTCGTTGAAGTTCTAATAGAAACTAGATGGTATTCAAGTTTTACTCGAATACGAAATGCGATGCGAAGCTTGAATCAGGTGTTCACGAAAAATCTACAGTTCAGAGAAATCTTGAATACTTNCGACGGACTACATAAATGCTTCTGCTTCGCATCGCATTAAAAAAAGATCCTCGAAGGACTACATAAATGCTATGCTTCGCATCGCATTAACTACTGACAAGAACATTGTATCAGGATCGAAAATAAGAATATTCAGTCGTATATCTCTAGGCAAGATATGTTAAAACTGAGATGATTTATCGATTTCTAAAGTGAAAAATATGTTCAGAAGATAAAACAAAATTTTTGTTTTCAGTAACGAGGCTTTTGACTAAAAAAATAAAGTACATGTCTTAATAAATGACTTAATTATATTTCAATAGAATCTCTTTCATACATTTGTCTTCTCAAGGATGCTTTTCTTGAATAATAGACTCACATAAAACAGAAATAATGATCCTAAGAACTCAAAATTCCATTATGTATGTCCTTTTCTATTATTCTTTTTGTCTTGTTATTTAGTTGCGACTCCCTAGTAGAGAGTCCCTACATTCTATTGTATTCATCGTTTCAACTAAAATATTCTTATTAATTTTTCTGTTGTTAAAAATTCAAAGAAAAAGGTATTCTTCATTTCTTTGGATTCAAAATAAAATGACATTTTCTAGAGTATTCAAAATTAATTTGTAATAGCCTATCTATCTTTTGTTTTGCTGTACCTGTACGAATATGTTTGCCTTCTTTATATCGTAATTGATTTTCTAAATAACTATCCACTTTATTACTAACCAAATCAGCACGTCCAACAAATATTTCATTAATAAGTTCAGCATTATTCAATAGAACTAAACGACCCGTATGAGTCAAAACAGTGCACGAGTCAGGATAATCAGTTGCTAAAACCAATAAGTTGTCACGTTTTTTTCGATGAAACGATATAGCATCTTTTATATTTCGCCAATCACGTGGTCCCTTTGGATAACGATACCGATTACGATCTGAAAAGTAAATTAAAATATAAAGAAAAGTTTTATTTCTTTGTTCTAAGTGTAAAATTTTACCATATTGCCATTTGAGAACTATAACAATAACAATGAATAAAATATGAATACCGAATGAAGTAAAATAATGGAAAAATGAGTTTTCATCAGCACCAGATGAACTATCTGAATCGACCATTGCTGTTTCTAATGCGAAGTCAACGAAACTATTCAACGTTTTCTGCTATTTTATCGGTAATAGTATCAGCACTTGTCAATTAATTTTTTTGCATCTAAGATTGAAAAAAAAAGACAAATGTTTCTCGCATATATGTAAGTCTACTGCATCTCCACTTTTTTGACAAGGTTCTATATATAGTTAACCATTATAATGCAAATAATAAAAATAAAAAATATCGTCTATAATAATATTTTTTTTCTTTCTCTTATTTTTCAATGCATCATTATACGTCGTCATCCACCAACCACGAATAAACATGCACACATTAGTAATGAGAATGACAGATAGAGAAAGAAAACAAAAAACAAACAGGAGACACACGTATACATATGTAAGGTGAGATCATTTTCATCATCATCATCATCATGTAGCATAAATAACAATCAGCAAAAACAAAACAAAAAAAGAATAATTAAATTTTCGCTAATTGTTGATAAAGATTTGACGGTAGAATTGATTCGATTTTGTCCGTTAGATATTGTATCGGTACGCTAAACCAAGCTAGAAAAAGACGAGCGATATAAGCAGCAATTTCGGGATATTGATGAGTAAGTAACGCAAGCATAGCCGTGCCTGAACACAGACCAGCTGTAAATAAAATAAAAAATGGTAATTCTTTTTTCGGAAATACAGATACATCGTGAAATACTAAAAAAAAACAATAATGTTTGTTTGTTTTGTCGTTAAACAAATTAATTAAATACTTACCAGGTAATAATTCTCTATCAGCGGCTTCAGTACACTTTAAGAAGAAAAAAAAATATATATATATAAATTCTTAAAGTTTGATTTTTACCGTTGGATACGGATGAAAAAGATGTCCTTTTTCCAATGGATATGGAATCATTCGAAATGTTCCTTCCCATGTACAATGTAATAAATTAAGAGCGCCTTCAACGCGACGCCAATGTGGTAAATGGAAAAACGCATACGCTATTGCTTCTGAATCACCTCGTTTAAGAATATGTTCAGGTGGTAATATTAGACTTTTCATTTCTAATAAATACTATAAGCAGGAAACAAAACGAAGAATCGAAAAAATCAAAATATTAGTTGAAAGCGGAAAAACAAACTTACTTTAGGTACATGTGGATTAAATTCTACGGCTCGATGAATAGCTTCAACTGCTGACATTTCTGCTGCAGTTAAACCACGTTTACTGGCTACATCGGGTGAAAACCTATATTTTATAAAAAAGAAAAAGAAAAGTAGATACCATTTGTGATTTATATAGAGATGAAGTGAAACTTTTTTTTGCAATTCAGTAGAAAGTATCACTAATAAAAAGAAAAACATCCTTGTTCGATAGAAATCACGGTAATAGATTAAACCAAAGATTTTCAATAGTTCAAATTAATTTCATTGATTTAGAACTATATCTATCACGCTAAAAATATAGCAGAGTATGTGACTTTGATCATCGCGTACGTCGAATAATACGATAGACCCTTTGACTTAATAAGGAATTAAATAGAACATGAAAAGTAATCTCAAGTAATTATAGTTGGATATTTTCGACTGACTGTAACATGTAGTGTTGTCCAAACGTTTTTTTTCCTGACATTCTTTAGCATTATTGCATGCTAATTCAACGTTCTACTGACGAAAACAAAATTGTTGTGACACGTCTTCTAATAGAAACGACATTTTGGGTCATTTAAACAAACAGAAATCTAATGTTTTATGTACATATCCATTATGTGTCTTACTATTTCTTAGTTCTTTATCTCCGTATTTTTGTTCGAATAGAAAATACATATTTTCTTTCAGCAAAATATTCTTTTATGAGTCTTGATACAAAACCAAGACAACATTGTATTTTGAAAGAAAACAAAATTAGAGTCGTTAAAAATTTTCTCGTAGAAGTAGAAGAACGTTTTAAAATTTCGTCGGGTACACTTCAATTTTTTCACGTAGTACTTTATCGATCCCAAAGTGGTACTTCTCATAGATCCTGTTCGCCTGCTGAAAATTTTTGATTATAATTTTGTATTTCCAATAACAGACATTCGTTTTTCTCGACTTTTCAATTTCACTTCTGAACAGAAATCTGTATAAAATACCACCAAGATGACTTGTGAACTTGCTTTTTTAATTTCAATTAGCAAGTTCGATTACGACTAAACAACAAACCTACGTGGAGGCAACCGTTCTGGCTTTAAGCAATGCAGCTGTATAACAAATTGTGGCTGATTTTGGTAAACTAATATCTGAAAAGGAAAAAATTTAAAATGTATTTTTCAATGAAAAGTTTTCGAAAAAAGTATTTTACCATCATATTTGGCAAGGACGCCCTGTACATCTGCATAGTTTTGAAGTGCAAGTAGAACTTCAATAAGATTCTCATGTATATTAAAAACAGACATCATTGGAAATTCTTTCACTAGATCACGAAAAATTTTTGTTGCTTCACGCAACTTTCCCAATTTTCGCGCACACATTCCTAAACGTCGTTTAACATAAATTAATATATTTGTATTGCGTTCTGTAAGAACAACAAAATAATGATAGATATTCAAAATAACATTTACAATCAATTTTCTATCTTACTATGTACAATGTCTTGTATACGACCCTGTTCAAGTAACTGTTGTGATTTTCTATATGCATTTTCAGCACACTTTAAGGCTTGTTTTAATAAACGTTCAACTTCAATTATTGTCGTAGCTTCTTCTTCGGCTAGAAGAATTAATGCTGGTGTAAATCTAATATGAATATATATGTATACATGATAGAGAAAAAAATCTGCATGACAAACAAAATATTTCTTACTCGGAATTTTTTTCTAAAGCGTCATGAGCAAGTTGTATTCGTATTGACGGTGTTCGTTCACGCCATGCTCGTTGCATCACTACAAGGAAAACAAAATATCTACTAGGAAATAAATATCTCTCTATATAACTATATATCTTACTTTCGTATTCAGGTTTTCCTTCGTCGAGATCACAAGTAAAAAATGTTTGATGTTCTTGTGCGGATAAATTCATGTCATGAAATGTTAGTGGTTCTTTTCCATTATATTGTATTAAACGTTGATATTCAGCTCCGCGAAATAATGCACATGGATTTTTCCATACTTTACATTCATTTGTTCCAGTCACCGGTATGGTTGAATCTGTACCACCGTTGGATAATGCACCATTATTCACATTATTATTTCCACTACTTAATCCATTCATGGTTGATGATGATGGGAAGGATATAGATGATACATCATTATTTGTTAGGGATATATTATTTGAGTCATTTCCATTTAATATTGGTGTTAGATGATTAATTGAAACTTGTTCAATAAATGATGTACCATATCGTTTAAAATACCACCATTCAAATATCTAAGAAATAAATTAACAACGTTGTTTATTTTTCTCAAAATTTGTTTTTACCAAAATGAGGCCAGAAATTAACGACGATGTACCAGTTAATGCAACGTAAAATTTTGGTGTCAAAGTATTGAAGAACATTGTCGCTGTAAAACAAAAAACGATTCATAAATACTATGCAAAATTTTCGATTAAACAGTATAAAAAAGACAAAAGATTTGACAATAAGAATAAAACAAGAATATACATATATATATATATATATTTTTTTTTCTATTCATATAAAAAATTAGGATGAACTTACAAAAGATGAAGTTTAGCATGTTTGATGAAGATAATCATAGAACAGTGGAAAAGCAAAAGAGGAAAATGCAAAAGAAAAGAGAAAGAAAATGTGTCTTGGTGCGTGCCGTAGAATATTATAGATGTATAAGAGGATGTACAGCAGTAATAGCGACGCAGAGATCTATATTTACATTTATTTATATACATATATCTAGAAAAAGATAGACAGAACGAGAACAATACGCTTACATTCAGCTTTTTCTTATTCTTTCCACCATATTGATTATTTAATTATATATAATGTGAAGAGAATTTTACTGATGAATCTTAAAGATATTTTTTTTATCTGTATTGATTTTCATGCGAAAATGAACTAATTTAATTCAAAACAGAGACAAATAAATCTAGCCTTGTGTAATTATCTTCACAATGTCAGTAGCAGTTGCATTCTATTAGTATGACGAAAATAAAGATTATCCAATGTTGTTTAATAACACGGAAAGAAAAGTCTACATGCAATAAATCAATTTTTTCTTATTGTAGAAATCTTCTTATTTTATTTGTCAAGCTTATCTTGGCCTCGTCATAAAAGAATATGAAAATAATAGAAATTGTACTAAATATCAATATAAGGGAAATTGTTGTTCATGATTTCTATTATAAGAGCTATATACTCAATGATAGGAGTGTTGTGCTTAAAACCATTCATCGCATTTCATTTTTGTTTTTGTAAGAATCTTCATCAAAATCATTTCTCAACATTGATATTCTATTAATTAATTTTTCTCTGTAAGACTATTAAACGTTTTCGAAATTCTCTACTGTTCACATAGTGAATTTATTTATTTTTGTAAAATACAAAATAATTGATGATGATAAAGAGAATCAAAAATGAAACCGAAACGTTTAGTAATATACCCAAAAAACACACCAACCATGTTTACTTTATCGAAAACATCAATAAAGTAATAAAGATAGCGAAGAATTTATATTTTTCATACTAAAACAATGTTACTCATCACTAGATTCATTTTTCAGAGACGTTAGAAGTACGTCACATTTTCTCTATTATACTTCAATCCGTTTTTCTACTGCTGGATCTCATATGTTGTTTTCTCTTGATTTTATCGAACACGATTCCGGCCGACGCAGAAAAAAAATGTGCGGACATCTTAAATTAACTTGTCATAAAGTAAGGTCGCTTGATTTACATTAGCAAAAATGAATAGAAGAAAAAAAAAGAAAAATCAAATAATGGCTGATCAAAATTTTGTTCTACTAAATGTTCGCTCCTTTTTTAAGTTTCCTTCAAAGATCCTGAAGAAATTATAGAACATGAAATTTGAATAAATTTTTTCCCTTCTTTAAAAATGTAACTTCAATACTTTCATATTATTTTTTGGCGTTTAAACAATATAACAAATGAAAAACAAACTTATAAGTAAATGAACTCAATTACTATTTTTGAAACCTCTTTCTATCGCTTTATAAAAAATAATCTTATTTTTAAGTTCTATACGAAAAACTTTAAACAATTTACTTCAAGTTTTCTTATAGATCAAATCACAAGTCTTGAACGAGAAATCTTAGCAACACTGCAATCCTGTAATTCGCACTGATTAGAAACACAGTTCATAATTCCTTATATTGAAATTAAAAGAACAATTAGTTTAATATTTTAACTTTACCAGTATTGAAACTATTTATGATATTGAATGGGCCACGAATAGATGCATAGAGAAGAAATATAAGTAGAATAAAAGATATCGCCCATAGATAAGTACAAACATATGTTACAATAGAACGAATTTTATTCAAAATATTTGAACTACCTAAACGAACAAATATATGTATAAATAGAAAGTTAATCTATGTTTTAATAGAATAAAATTTTACTTGTTTCATCATCCTCTTCATTATCTTCTTCGACGAAATTTTGGTGATTGAACATGATATAATGACGGAATGAACTTATTGCAAAGGCAATAACAGCAAGAAACATTAAAATTCAATCTAGAAAAAAAAATAAATCTTGTCTACATAGTTCTTCATGATTAATCGATAAATAATAAATTGATTGTCTAAAAAGTATCTACCGATTTATCAAAGAAAATAAAAGATAAAATAAAATATTCTCGAATGTTCATCGTGCACTTGGTAATGGTACTTTAATAGAACGAACTCTTTTAGAGGCCTGCAAGAAAAAAATGAGACAAAAAATAGTATTGAAAGTTTTTTTTTCTGTCGAAATATTTTACTTCTCTTTCATCTGATTGAATTAATCCTCGAACAGCGAGTATTTGATAAACTGGTTTTTGAAATGAGTGTAAATTTCGGCGGAATATATATGCTTCTGAATAAGGATTCTTACAGAACTTTTCAACCTTATATTTTGGTGTACTTGGATCAAATATTAACAGACGAATGTTACCATCACGAAATTGTTCATAACCAATAATTGTACGGCTATGACCTATGAAAAGAAAAGAAAATTTTCAGTAATTATTCAACTAATTAGTCAATTAGTTAATGAAGTAAAATATGATAGTTTTGATAAATCCTGAAAATTACGAATAGAGTAGAGTAAAAGAGTTTGTCAGGAAATTAAGGGTAGGTCTCACGAATTTCAATATATATATATATATAGGATTAATGATTAATTGAATGATAATATGTTAGATTCAAAACTTTTGATGTATGCAGGTTCATATTTAAATAAATGTGGAAACTTCGGATTTCATCCGAAAGTTATGTGTACTGCAAAAAGTGCATGGGATGTATGAGTCATTCTAGAATGTCTGAACACCAAAATTATCATGAGAAACTAGGCNAAGTGCATGGGATGTATGAGTCATTCTAGAATGTCTGAACACCAAAATTATCATGACAAACTAGGCAATTTGATTTTTGGATGCAGTTTTTGTGCATTTTGAGACGTTTTTCAGGCGATGTTTCATCAGAAAGCTACTGTTTAGCTCAAAACTAATATCAGATTCGGAATTAGCGTTAAAAACTGAGTCGATATATATATGTTGTGAATAATTCTGAGAAAGATTTATCTTTTGAAAAAAATTCCCTGTACTCCTCCTCAGGGATGGCCTGGTCAAAAATGACAATTTTTTCGATAACTCAACCATTTCTTGAGGGATTTTTCTCATCTTCGAACTCGACCGAGATATTCATGAGATTGAACTGTGTGGAAAATTTCATCACGGTCTGACTCTCCTTTCGCAAGTTATCGTGCCTACGGCCGGACGGCCGGACGGACACACTGACCGATTCTAGAGTGTACTCACTTTTTGAGTACACAAAAAGAGCAATTCAAACGTATTATAGGAAATGTCAAGAAAGTATTTCAACTATTTCTGTTCGAAATAAACAAGTGCAAACCTAAAACTACTCTTTCAATAGTTATCAAATTCCCGCACTGTATGTTTTCCTTGTACTTAAAACTAGAAAAATAATTTCACGACTCTGAAACACAGCAATGTCAGAGATATCTATATATGTATATAAATTTGTTCTATGTATTCTTTCAAATTTATGTTAATCAATTCTTTTATGTCAAAGGTTTTTCTGTATTAGATCACTTTTTTCCCATTCGCAAAAATTATTTGATCAATATTTTTCTACCGTATCAAATTTCATATATTGTTTATTTATGAAAGTTTCTCATTTTCACTCGTCGCTCGGAGACAAAAAATAGAATTGGTCGATTTATATAATATATAAATAGAGAAATTTAAAAATTCATAGAACTTATTTTTTCATGATACATAAATATATTCATAGTAATAATGTTACTCGAAAGAAATGAAAACAAACAAACTAGGAGTAAAAATTTAATTAATATTATAATTAGATATATACCTTCATGTTGTAAATAGAGTGGATGAATAATATTATTATTTTTATTTTCTTGTTGCTGTTGCTGTTGTTGAAAGTACTTTCGCACCCATTCAAATAAATATTTATAAGCAATTGATTTCTCAATATTTTTTGGTTGATGAAAATCAAATAATTCAGTTCTAGGATTATACGAACGAAAACAATCGACTTCGTATTGTAGAGATAAGCAAAACGAAACGCTCAGTTATTACTTTATATTTAAGTGTCCAAGGCATGCCATAATTTCTGTTGGTCCAATCCATTTAGTAGAATTAACTAAATGATTATTAAATTGTTGTCGTCCATCACTATCAAATCCAGCTGTCCAAGCTTTTTCAATTAATTTTTGTAAAAAACTAACAGATGGTATATCACGATTGACTTGATTAGATACATCATGACCAAATAAATGCATTGAGTATTGAGGATCAGAACGAAGTGATGAGAGTAACATTTGAAAATTTTTATATCCACATGCCCAGCCTTGGTCAAGCCATGTTGCACTTATATGATCACAGCCTGGTCGACATAGACGACGATCAAGAATATTACCCATAGGTAATTTTGAAATCATTGGAATAATGTCTAATTAAAAGAAAATGTTTAGTTAAAATACAATAACACTAGTAATTAGTTAAACTTTCTCACCTGTTGATCTAGATTCAGTTGTTTCTATTGGTTGTGCAATCATTTCATCTAATTTCATTTTATATTCTTCATATTTTGCTTGTGAAATAGATTTGTTCTTATAGATTTTATCTAGATTCCATCGTGCTCGTTCAGCAAATGTTCGTGTACTTCCACCATGTCGATTCTAGAATCCAGAAAAGAAATTAGATATTAGTTTTTATTTCCCTATTCTTATTTATTCACCTGAAATTCTTCAAATGATTGTGCATTTTCTTCTTCTTGAAGCATACGAGCTATATGAGCATCTTCATCTTCTTGCCATTGTTCAACACAAACTTCTGAAGTTGCTTGTTGTTCATATTGACGTTTCATGCGTTCGCGTCTTTCTAAATCTTGAGCATATAAACTATCTGAGGTTGCCGCTGCTGTTGGTGGTGGTGGTTGTGATTCTGATATCTGCACGGGAACTTGATCATGAACTTCATTAACATGAATTTGTAGAACAAGAGGATCATAACATCTTTTATTGCATAATGGACAACTAAAATTTGCTTCGGGTAGTGATGAAGAATTTATATCAAAACATATTTCATATTCATGATGAAGGGAAAGAAGAGTTGTATCATCAAATTTCCGATGACATACAGAACACTTTACGCATTCCATATCTGTAACAAACAACAACAAAAAATTGATATTTATTTAAAATCAATCATAAATTCTACGTTTAGACAATCCCAAACGTTACATTATCAAATATTCTGGTATTTTGAAGTAGATGCAATCAACAAGAATATAAAGAAACACATAGAAGTACAAATTATAATATTGCGTTGGATGTTAGAGTATTTCTCGGTTTATTTGCAAATACTTCTTCAATCAAAATGAGAAAATAAAACGGTCGATATACGGATCTCTATAAGCACAAATATTTATTTCGATTATAATATTCAGTTCTCCATTATAAATAACGCATCTATTTTTTTTCTGACTTATTGATTCTAGCATCCGAAATAGAACGTCATATCAATATGAAATTCACATACGAATGTGAATATGTATATATATATATACATAAACTAGAAAAATATATCAACCAAGCTATTTCATAAGATGAGAAACTATTCAAATTTAATACGACTTTTGAAAGGAATAGTTATAAAATAAATTGAATTCTATTACTGATAGGAATTCTATATGAATGCCCATTCAACATGAAAAAGATAATATTGGTTCTTTGGTTAAAACAAAAATTAAAGAACATGAAGATATTGAGAACGATACAGCTATCTATGAAATATTAGGCAGAGCTTTCAAAAGAATGAACCATGGCGAAATATAGTCAGCAGCAGACGCTACACAAGATCGTTGTCAACAATATTATCAAACAGAAAAGCGTCATTTAAAACGAGCTGAAAAGTTCAATATTTTCTAATTTTTAAAATATCCTTTTTTTCTCATGTCAGTTTTACTCGTCGCTAACTACTATTATGATTATTCGAATTTAGAATACGTACTCAACAGTAGAGAAATACGAACATTACTGTAAATTTCAAGAACAAGTTAAAGATTTACAGAAAAGAGAAGTCTTTCTTCCAAACACCAAGTTCTCAATAGTGACTATAAACTATTCTAAAATATCCTTCAGAATTTATCTTATCATAATGTATAAGGAGTTTTTATTAGACATTTCAGTATTTTGTATTAAAAATGAGTTCATTCCATAAATGGTAGTTAGATTCATTGTATGAAAATACGACAGCCGTTCATGTACTTTCTTGTTGTCGAATTACTTAAAACGTCCTATTCGTGATTTAACATCGAACAACATATAGAGAGAGAAAACCAACAGCCGAAAATAGTAGACTGTTGTCCATTGATATGTCCACTAACCTCTGTTGTAAACCTATCCAAAACAAAAGCATTCTTAATCTTAATAACATAACAAGTAAACAGTCTATAATCAACTCACAATTTCAAATATTATTGGTTACGACTAGCAAATATTTTGATTTTATTGCCATTGTAAATAAATTATATCAATATAAAATGATCTAATGATAGTAGTTCCGAGTTCGCACGTCGTTCTACATATTAATCTAAATCAATAGAAAAAAAAACCTAAAAGAATAACAGAAAAACAGAAATAGACTAAATTCGATAGTCCCTGTAGTATTTTTTTGTCGTTAATTTTTTTTTTCGTTTTAACAACAACAACGATAGCCAAATAGAAAAAAAACCAGATGGCCATAGTAATACAGATATAACAGTAAAGTAAATTTTCAGTTAAACAGACTACACACATACACAAACACATGTGTGTCAGTTAACTGAAATAACAACCAAACAAAGAAAAAGAAAGAAAAAGCGAGAGAGAGAGAAAGAAAAGAGCATAGAAAACAGCTGAAAGTTGATGAAAAAAGATGAACAACAATAGCACTTTCCTTGTTCTATTAAAGCCCGTTTCCATATAGCTACTACTCATTTATCTATTATGTTTTAGGCTATCATCATGAACACAAAATACAAATGAGTCTACGCACACACACACACATACATTCACTGTGGAAGTAATCGAGGAAGAAGAAATGTTGTCGTGGTTGTTGTTGTGCATGGTTCTTGTTTGATATAACAAAATTGTGGTTGATGATGATGGTGATGATGATGTTGCTGTTGTTGTTGTTGTTGTTGTTGTTGTTGTTGTTGTAAAGCAGCGAACGTAAGCAATTCGATGGTTGTTGTTGTTGTTGCCGTATTATTCGATGCTGATTGATGTAATGGTGTCGTTGCATTACAGCCAAGAATTTTTAATGTTGTTGAACAACTATTTTCATATTCATCCATGGCTGCTGTCATTGTACATGATGATGAAGATAATGATGGACTTGAATAGCAATAGATTGGAAAATCATCATCTACATTCGATGGTTCGCGTTTTATCAATTGTTCTATTAAAGCATCTTTAAAACAGAAACAAAAAATGCTTTATTATTTTATTTCTTTTTCTTTTATAGAGGAGGTGAGCTGTTTAGTGATAAACTCAGCCATATCTCAAAATTGAATTTCTCTTGTTGTTTTTTGTTTTGTTTTATGTCAACAATCGTTAGATTTCAATGTCGGCTGGGTCAAAATTTGATTTTATCAATCTTCTATGACGTAATACTATGATAATGACAAGTTTGTTTATCACCTTATTCAGCTGCTTCATTTTTGACTTACATAATAAATGAAAACAATTTTATGCCTCAATTCAATGGTACATGAAAGTATGACAAATATTGTCCTTTTCTGAGGTGGCATTGTTCACTGGTAAGTACCATGAGGACAAATTTTCCTGTCTACTCCACTTTTTTTAGCAGCATTCATCACTTACAATTACATATTATTCGATAGACTTTTCAAAGCTATAAGAAAGAGTGCTATTGCCTAGAGCTTTATTTGTAAGTAAGACACTTCAATTGAACGCAAAATGTTAATTAATGTTGAAATTTATTTGAAAGCATAACATAAAAACGAGTCAATCTATGCAGGTGAACAATGTTCGTTCAAAAACCAAATCGGCTTCAGACCTCGTGTGGCCAATAATAGTAAATAGCTTAGGTGTTGATTGATTTATTTTTAAATCCAGCTTAGTTTTTGTCTCGATTACGGAAATATACTATTGTTGGAAATAATCTATCTCATGCACACATTAAGTTCAAAGCAATTATATCATTTTTTTATAAAGCCTATTGAATGGTATTTATATATTTTTTCAAAGTGGACCGCTACTTTAAAAGAGCAATAGGAAAATTTTCCCATGGCTGTTCTTATATGTTATGAACGCATGAATAGCGCGTCATCTTAAGGAAAATAATAATATTTAATCATATTCGTATTTCTGATTCGGTGGAGAAATACAAAGAGCATTGATTTACATATCGATATGAAATTAAACGAGAAAAAAGCTGTTTACAACACAAACAAGAACATTCATTTTTAACTAATCTCTCATGAAATCTAACTATCTATTTCAAAAAAAAATCGATTTCTACTATCGAAAAAATAACAAAATCAATCTCATCAGTGAATAAAGACTTCGTTCCTTTTTCTATCTTACCATTTAATGTTGCTTGGCGAAGAACATTACACGCGACAATCTGCGCAGCTGCTTGTAAACCAGTTGCTGTTATTTGTTGTTGATGTAATGGTGGTGGAGGTAATGGACAATTATTATTGTTTGTTGCTGTTTCGAAACATAAGGTTGACGTTGTTGGTTGTTTCGCTATGGGTTCTTTTGATATAAATGTACCGTTACGAAATAGAATAACTTCACGCGGTGTCGATTTAACACGTCGACGAGTCGATGAACGTGTTGTTGTTGATGCTGATGATTTTAGTAAATCTGAATCATTCGAACATGAACCTGACGAACTTAAACCTAATGTTGTTGTTTTAGAATCTATTCGCGTTGCGTCTTCTGCTATTATAACAACACTTGCTTTTGGTTCTGTTGATAAAATTATTGAAAAAGAAAACAAAAGTTAATTAAAAAAGAAGACTTTTAAGTGTTGTAATTATGATAATTTAAATTGAAGACAAATATGAAATGAATGATTTACGTATAGGAACAGCTCAAATGTGAATGTCAAACAACAGATTGAATCTTTTCAAAAACAACATCATAATGATTATTCATGAGAATGAATTGTTCTCCATTATATGATTACATCTCTAGAGATTGATTTCATTTAAATAAAAACAAAAAACAAAAGGAAAGTATCAGTGTTCGTCTATAGATAACTTTCATTAATTTTAATCCAAATTACATTCTATTGAGACATGAGAAAATTTCTATTTCAATATTAGCTAACAGAGATCGTTTGAGACTATTTCCTTTCATTTAACTAATACGATAAAATACTATAATATCAATTTATTTAAAAAGATATTATCATGCTTAACGATCGGCTAGAGTATTCAACGTATTATTTCAAGATAGCATCGATATGCTTAAGATCAATCTGATCATTTTATTTTGAATAGTTTATATGTATCGAAGCATCCTGTAGATTGCACAAGAAACTTAAATTTCATTAATTTTTATGATTATGATTATGATAGAAATTCTAAATATTTATTATGATTTCGAAAATGTGCCATTTTCTGTTACGAATTTGCACAAAGTATCAATGTCAAATTTCCCAATATGCAAAAAAAATCAAGAATTAATCATCCGAGAAAATTACGAAATACATTAACAAAAAAACTGTCTACATTATAATTTCTTGGTTGAACCTACAAGGATTTTTTGATAAGACCTGTAAAAGAATTTATGATTATGAATATCTTAGTAGCATTTTTTTTCTTAGTTATGGAATTTTATCCATTGATATCCTTGATTGAGATATTAAAGTTCATTTTTATGATAAATAAATACTTGTTAGAAATGTAATATCATGATGAATGATACACATTGGAAAGATTCAAGAAATTAAAAATAAGAACTTTATTGAATATTTAGTTTCAGCTAAAATTTTATAACTCATAAAACTATTACCTGCTGCTGTTGAATTTAATCTTCGTTTAGTAGCTGCATGACTTCTTGATGTTCTAAAGATAAGAAACACAAAACAATGAATGACGTTTATCAATGAAAAATCAACAAATTAACCTACGTTCTGGATGAAACTCGACCACCTCGTTTAAATTTTTTTCCTTTTAATACTCGAGCTGGCACAATAGGTACCGATGGCTGTATTGATACAGATGATCTAGGTGATGATGTTGTTGCTAAAAACAAACAAATAAATTAAAAGAATAAAAATGTCTCTTGTTTTTTATTCTAACTTGTATATGTATGTCCTATTGTATTATTTGTTGTAACAATTGGATGAAATTGTAGTTCATTCCCATTTAGATATAATGTTGTTGGTAATTCAGCTGGTTCAAGTTTAGGTTGATGTATTAAACGGAGTGTTGTTGTTGTTGTTGTTGTTGTTGTTGTCGTTGGTAATCGTTGTTCAGTTGAATGTTGTTGAAAAAAGTCAAATAATTCATTTTCACGTTGTTGATATAAATAATTATTTGAAAGAAGTTTTTCATCAATAATAAATGAACAATTATTATTGAATGACGTTAATTTTCGTTTATCATCATCTGGCTGTTTTTCTTGTTTTATTTCAATATCATCACTTGAAAATTGTGGAGATAAAAAATCATGTTCAAATAACTGATCGAGTAATAACGGTTTCATCCAATCATCGGCATCATCGCCATCGATTGTTGTTGTTGATGGATTTAATTCATCCAAAAAATCATCATTCAAATGAAGCAACGGAGAAAATGAATCAAGCATTGATGTTGGTGGGGAAGTTGATAATAAACCGAATAAAGTTGGATTATGTGAATGAGCAAAATCGATTTCCATGATTAGATCACCGGGGGGAGAAAAGTAGGGAAAATCAAAAATTAAATTAAAATAAAAATAATTACTAAAAATGTTAAGGTCTTTATCAATAAAAAAAAGAATGCACCCATAAATCAACTTAGTGTACCACGGGTCGATAATTTTGGAAAGTTGACGATATGACCTGATAGGCATATTTATATTTTTATATATATATATATATATATAAACATATCCAGATACGCATGCGTATGTTAAGAAAGAATAGAAAGAACGAACATTCATTCTTATAGGAAGAAAAGATGAATTACGATCGGTTTAGAGTTACCATTAGATAGGGATATTTGACCTCTAGCCAAATAAGATATAAATCGATAGAGGGTTTAAGTGAAATAGAGAGTGTTGCTGTGAAACGGAAAAATTGAAAAATTTTCAAATGGTAAAAATAAATTAAGAAAAAAAAAGTGAATTAATTTAAATAAAAATGTTAAATTCAAGAACGACGCCTCCTGTTCGAATTTTACCAAATAATAAAGTTTATAGACAATTATTTGATGCACAAGTATTTAATTTAATTAGAAATTTAATTATTAATTAGCTTATTATTCTAATAGGTCCAATTAAGTGATGCTTATAATCGAGTACGAAATAATCAATTATCAAGATCTATTAATATTACTTCACAACCAGAATCTATACCACTTGTACGAAATATCAGACCACATGGTATGTTGGTAAAATTTTGTTTTTCAGAAACCGTATTAGCGAGAATTTAGAATAAAAAATAATTTAGAATTTGTGAAAAAAAATTTGAAAACTTAATATACAGCTAATATGGAACATCTCCAAATATTTCATTATAGAGAAATAGTGCAAACTTACTGTTTGTTTTTAAAAGATGTCTTATGAAATTCTCTTCAAAAACAATAATTAGACAATTTATTGAATTAGTTCAGTTAGACGCTTAAAATGAAAATGAAATTGAGTACTAGTCTTCCTTTTATTTCAAACGAACTTATACATGATATTATCATTTGTTTTCAAAAACATTGCAATCAAATGAATGACCATGAAAAAAATGGTCGCTGTTACATGGTTGAACTGTATGAAATCTTTGAAGAAAAGAGCTGATGATTTTACGAATATAGCTTACAGCACATTTTCAACGTGTTTTTCTTTTCTTTAATTCAAATATTGTCATGTTTTGACCTTGTGATGATCAAGATTTTTTTATTGAAACTATACCAAATAGAATAATATAATGGAATAAAGTCAAGTTAGTTAGAAGGCCAACGATCTTTAGGTAGATACTTGAGACTTTTCATTCATTTTTCTCGTTTTGTTCAAAACGACAGTAAAGATATCATGAAGGTCTCTACTTTTTCCTTGGAAAAGTTCATCAGTGCAGCTCAAGGATGCTTTTAATGTAAATGCAGTAGAGATTCCAATACGCATGTAAAAAATGACACTTCTAAGTATTGTGATTCATTAATACCAATATATATTTATGCATGCCAAATAATCAATGTTATATTCATATAGGGTTTCTCATAACCTTACTTGTAGAATTTCATCATGCATCTTTAAAATTGAACTTAAGATCATAAGATCTAGTTATGTTCAGATATTTAAAGCATACTAAATGTTGCAATCATTGTTACGCTTCTCGTACTTTTTTTTTTATAAATATAACTAATTAATTAAAGAATATTATTTGAAAAATATTGATTCAACTAATACTACAGGAAGATCACCAATAATTGATTATCAGTGAGATATAAGTACTTAAAAATCAATACCGATCAACAATTCTCCATTATATCATAATATAAATATGTGCAACACTTGAAGAATAAATTTTATAACCGATTAAAAATCTTATCACAGACAGACTATTTGAACCATTTTATTTAAACGCTTTTTTCTGCGAACGTGAATTTATTGCTCGAAGGGTAAAAATTCTCGATTATGCAAAATATAAAAGCAATTTCAATCCATGAAAGAAAAGCTACGTATTAATAGTAAGCTTGTTGGTGAATGATAAAAATTTACTAATTTTAAGTAGAAATATGCAGCCTTGACTATAATGTAATATTTTACCGGCTTAGCTCGAGAGAAAAATTCACACAAAACAAAAGAATAATTACTTTTCTTTTGTCTCATATCCTTTGCCATAAGTAACGATAGAGGTTAAAGATATTCATTGAAATTAATTTCAATGTTTCGAAACCTTGATGATAGAGAGTACTTCAAGCGATAGAATTCTTTGTTATTAGTTGTTTTTATAAAGTTCAAAGATTTTTTGCCTCAACTTTGTTTCTTGCAAGCAATGAACAATTTTCCATGTATCTATTTTTGCAGAAAATAAGAAAAAATATTTTCGTTTATTATAGGAATAATAAAATTTCACATGATTATGAGATTATTATGCCTTCGGCTAGATCAACCATTGCAATTATAGATGTTTAAACGCTTCTCAATAAATAACGAGATGAAATGTATTCTCTCGTGTTTGAAAAAAACTATTAATAAAGTCTGTCAAGAATGGTAACTTAAAAGCTTTTTATATGCTTCGATGCAATATATATACATGTTTATATAGATTGCCATTTTCTGATAAATCATAATGTAGATTTCTTCTATGTAACAAATAATTTTCGATACAAGTAAAACAGAAGATAATGTATGTCTCGATAGCATTTCTTCATGTCAATAGTTTATCTAACATTGGGGAAATTGCGTCTCTTCTACGATGGGATTGTCTCTTTCTAAATATGTGTTTATTCTGCAATACTCACTATATGTCTATACCCAATATTGGCCTCATTGCATCTCATAATCTAAAATCATCTTCTACTTCTTTTTTTGATTTGGGAAGCTTGAAAACCTACTTACAATTCATTTTATTTTACAATTCTATCTACCTACTTGTTTAGCGGCACAAAAACAAAAATGGTTGACGAGTATGTCATATAGTAATGATACTAGTATCAATCCAATAACAATAGCGTATGTTCTTAAAACAGTTCCTATTCGAAATCAAATTTCGTATTGACCAATTTAGATTTCATGACGAGCGAAGGCGACGTCAAAATGAACAACAACAAGAATTAGATGAATTAAAACGTGAAGTTTTTAATTTACCTGATGATATTGAATATAGTTTGTGTTTCACGTATAATTAATTTGCGTGAGATAGTTTTTCTTGTTTGATATAGTTGAGAGTGAAAAAAACGAAGAATCTGCTGATGCTACTAAGAAAGGTAGCATAACAGAGCGATTAGCAGTGAGTCGACAAGTTAAATATGATCAATTATGGGCAGAACTTTTAAATAAAATATCTGAAACCAATCAAGTATTTATTTGATACATAAAATTCATCGGTAAGATCGATGGGATTTTCTATTTAGACTTTGCTAGTTGAACTTGAAAAAATTACTCGACAATGTAATAAATATTATGAACAAGGTGATAAAGGTAAAACAGCAAGCGTGATATATTCTCGTTTTTTCTCCTATGCTTAATTGTCTCGTAGAAATTGATGAGTTTTTAAAAGATATAGTTTATCGAAAAAATATAGCAACGCTTACATTACAATCATTTGAAAACGCATTTAATCAACTGGATCAGTGCCTTACACCACGTCTGTCACAAATTCAAGAATATTGTCAATCTATTGAAGAACTCGAATTAGAACGAATTCAAAAAGTAAGAGAAAAAGATTAATGTTTAACAATAACATATTTTCGAATTTTTGTTGCCATAATTTCAAGCATCAGAATCAGAGAACTGTAAGAATTGAGACCGCCTACCATTTGATAGACGTTTAAATGGTTCTGAGAAAGTTCTCGGGTGTTTCCTAAAGCAAATGTATACGGCTGATGCATTTAAATAAGATGTTTAAATTTTTCACAATGGAAGATTTTTTGTTGTCTAATTTTTTTTCGTGTTTTCTTATCTTGAATATTGTTCAAAAATAGATTCGTGATTTGTTTCAATATTATTCTGAACATTTATATCGAACACATCATTTATCGGAGAATGATACCGCCAGTGCATTAGAAAAACAAGTGATCGTTAGTATTGAGAATTAATTAATTAACGCGAGGAAAAAATTTAATATGTTCATTAAAAATAGGAATTAAATTCGCAAATATTTGATAATCGTCGAACATATGCTGAACTAGAAGCTAAATTATTAACCGGTGAAACTATTCGTATTCATCGATTTCAAAATGAACTTGCCGCATATCAAACTAAATGGAAAGATGCAGTATGGATTATAGAAAAACAAAGTTGGATGTGAGAAAGTTATTTATTATACTTTCGCCTATGATTTCTTCTACAAATTTTTGTAGTTCAAAATTGTCTCAATGCAAAGCTGAGTTAGATTCTACAATTTCATCAAAATGTAAACCAATTGGCTTGGATATGGCTGCACTAACGAAATTGCTTGTAGAACATATGAATAAATTAAAGTAATCAGACATTATTTTTAATATCAAATAATTGATGTTTTTTATTTGTTTTATAGATCATTTGTTCCACCTACGTCAACACGTGAAAATATACAAATATGGCATAAACAAGGCTATGTTATAGTCAACAAAATAGTTATGAAGCGACAAGAACTTATAGAGCAAATAAATGAAATTACTAGTGATGAAATAAAGACATTAAAACAAGAATCCCAATTAATTCGAGTAAGAAACGAGTTGCAGAAAAAAAGATTAAAAGAAATATTATTTGTTTACTTTTATTTATTAGGAAAAAGTGTTGAACAATAAAGTTTTTAATGAAGAACAATTACAAGCTATATTTGTTCTTGATATTGAACCATTGTTGGAAGAGCGAAAACAATTTTTACAACAATCAGTTATCGAACGATTTCAAGTATGAGAGATTTTCAAACAAGAATAAAAGTTTTTTCTATACACTATCTATTGTAATTTCAATAGAGAAATTTTACAGCATCGTGCATTTTCATACGAGAAAGTTTATTTATTTCAAATAAGCTATTTCTGATGAGTTATAAACTAGAAGATATCATTCAAACTGAGATGTACTTATTTCAAAAGAACAGTCGATGAAAGGACTTAAAGGAAAAGAAAGATGAGACTCGTTTGAACGCTCCTAGATTTATAATAAACTTTTATCTCGTTTTCTGATCGAGTAATTTTCTTCAAGACTTTTCACATTAAATAATTTCCATTTCCAAGAGACGAACCTTTTCAGCATTGAATAACGCATCATTTATATCAGTATACTGAAAACAATGGAATGTTTTTAAATACTCATCGTGAAACTTCGGACTTAATGATCAAGAATATGATTTTTTTACTTGAATGAACCTCTTCTCATTAGATCGACCAGTTGTAAGGATTCCATTCCAAATTTTCTGTACAGTTCAAATAAATGTCGAATTGAAATTAGCTGATATCATTTTTGTGACATTGCATTGCATCATATATTCTATGAGGGCGATTGTTTCACCTATAAAAAACGAATCCAATTCATTGTGATTCATCGACATCTACTATGCTCAAGTACCTCTCCATTCTAGGGGCGTAACCAGGGGGAGGGCTCAGCCCCCCTACAGAGGTTTTAGCCCCCCTAACATGGCTTTGGCCAACGACTTAACCCCGCCCCTCCCCCCCCTAGAATTTGTTTCTGGCGATGCCCCTACTCCATCTGTTTTGCATAATAAAGTGTCTATGAAGGATACTAATTACATTCATTTGTATAATTTCTTTGTTAGAATAACTTGCCCTATTCCTTGCTGATTAATGTTTTTGTAGGCTGTCTATGAACAACTAACTAATGGAATGTATGAAATTCTTGATCGGCTCTTAGCTTTCGTAAAACCTGCAGCTGAACAATGGGATGATCATCAAGATCGTCTTGAACACGTTACTGCACAACTAACCACCATGATGCAAGAATGTCGACGACCACATGATCTTCAAAATGAAGTAAAATGTTTACTGTTGGAATAAAAAAAATTAACGAAATCCTTTTCTGTTTTATTTTATAGAAAAAATTAACAAGACTTGATGCAACGCTAGATGAAATGAGATGTGCATCGAATGAAACAGCATTATCACGTCTTTTAACTTCTTCTTACGACCAATTAGATAACATTAAAGCAACGTAAGCAAGAAAAATGAATCGATTTCTAAAACTAAAAATGAATTCTATATTATTTAGTTTTGCACAATTTTATGAAACAGAACATAATATTGTAAATAAATATTCTGATATGATTGCTGATGAAGTTAATCGATATAAAAATGAAATGTTGAATTATTTTCATGCTCGACAAATCGATGAAAATAAATCTAATGGTCAATTTTCATCATCAACACGTAAATACCATACAACATCATTGACAGGAGCAGTTTATGAACTTCAAGGTTATTTTAATGATGAATCAGATATTACACTGAAATTTAGTTCGACTAGTGATGACGAACAGTTAGGAAAATCACCTTTTAGAGAAAGAAATTCAAATACGTCTAAAAATTTAAACAATGGATCAAGTCAACTCGATCAACTTCAAACACAAACATTTCTAACTGAAACGGTGAACTTAGATACAGAAACATCAACGAATAAAACATCGTCTATACCATTTTATGATTCACTGCAAATACCGTCGAATCTCGTCGATGCTCTTACACTTAAGTAAATTATACTCTGTTATTTATTTATTTATTTTCAAAGTTATTCGATATTTTATATTAGACTATGCCGTGCTTTTCTGGATTATTATGATCAATGGAAAGAAGAAACACTAAAAAGAGCTGATGGAATTATGTATTCAAAACATGATGAATTAGAGAGAGAAATGGATTTTCAAATGCATTTACATGAACCAAGACGTGTCAGAATTGAAACCGATATACATAATGTTAGAGCAGGTAAAATTAAGAAATGTTTTAACGATTCGAAACTTCTAACTCGAATACGAAGAAATTTTTGATCGACTTACTACTAAGATGAATTAAGCAATTGTCGTAATAAATAAATAAAAAGATGCAGTACACAATCGTTTTATTTAACAGCTAAGTTGAAATGTGAACGCTTGATAGGAAAGGTTTACGTTGAATATTTTTAATATAACACTGAAGCGCAATATTTTGATGACTACATACATCCTCAAATAGATCTGCGCAAGACACTTCGAATCCTAACTTTTTTTTTTCGATACGATAATCGTATACTTTTCTTCCATAATAAAATTCATAAAAGAAGCTATACTCTCAGATAACTTTTTTTTTCTAATTTTGATAAAGTTAGAAAAGAATAGTCCCTTTTCTTTTTATCCCGAGACACAGTTTAGCTATGAAAGAAAAAAATCGAGTTTCACTTCCAGCCAAATAAATCCAAAATCCTAATATTTATTTTCTTCTTCTATTAGCCGAAATTGTTATGCATGACGAACGAGTTGAACGCCATCTACGTGGTGTGCAGGAAACTTTAGAACAAATTGATGCTGATTATATTCGAATGTTGAAAACATTTAGTAAATCATTGACAAGTTATAAAGATGATGTATTCAATCTCGAAGAAGTATTTGTCAATGCAACAACAAGCAATCGTCTGTTAGCATTGAAAGATCGTCTAGATAAACAACGTACTATATTAATGGATGATATTCGAACATCACTAAGAGGTTTTCGTCAACGCTTTGATGATTCTATGCAATATTTACGACAAGCAAATGTTAAATTTCGAAAATCTTTCAAGTAGAATTTTAAGAAAAAAATTTCTGCTCTGTTCTAAAAAATAATATTCTGATTTATTATTGTAGAACATTTTCTGAAGGTGGCAATTTCAGTCGTGAAGAAATTGAAATCTATCGAAAAAAACTTGAGAAAACTATGCTTCAAATAGATAAAGCTGAAACGACAATATTGCATGAATTGGAAAAAGTTGGAAAAAAGCAATTAGAAGAAGCAACTAAAATTATGAATCAATTTCAAGAACGGTTAGATCGAAACTAAAACAGATTTTATTTGTATTTGTTTTTCTATTCTAACTAGTTTTAAGAACCATTTGACTGATTTAAAATTTATTGAATTAGCAAATCGATGGATAAGTGAAACACAAGTTAAAATAAAAGGCGAAGTTGCGATTAATAATCAAAATGCACAAATACTTAAAACACTTATTGGAGCATATCAAGTTAAAATGGATTCAATTCTCAATCCAAATTTAGATAAACCAGTAAGGACTATGAATAAACAAAAAAGTAATATTAGAAATTTTTATTCTTTCCTTAGTTGGCAACAGCCAATGAAATTCGAGAACTTTTTCATGAAATCGTTTTAAAGACATATGAAAGAGCATTATATTTAAAATGTCTTAATAATGAATTGGCTATACCAGCTTCAATTATTAATAATCTTAAAGATAAAGGATTAATTGCTGAAAGTATATCGTCAAAATTGAATCATCAAAATTTTCATTTTCATTTATGAATATTTTTTAGAAGAATTAGTTAATGATCTTCTTCATGTTAGTGGAACAGAAGATGGAACTTCATCACGACGCCCATCAAGACTAAGTGTTGGTGCTACTAGTAATAATGATGAAACAAAATCGGTTAAATTTGCATCATCATCATCAGTAACAACAGCGTCTTCTCGAAATAAAACCGACTCAACTACATTGATTAATCTTACTGGCGGACATCCAGAAGATTTAGATACAATATCAACAATACGATGTATTCTACAGTATGTAATTTAAAAATTAAAAATAACATATTAACAAGAGAAGAAAAAAAACAAATTTCTTTTTAATTCAGCCAAACTGAAACATTAGAATCGGATGAAATCGTTGAACCTGGTATACCTGCTGCTTTAGGTTTGTATTTAATTTGCTATAATAATTATTTCCCATGTTGAAAATCGATCATATATATACTCAGTCATGTTTTTCAAAAGTAGTCATCATAGTTATAATTATAGACGAAATAAAGCGCTATTTTTCTAGTTTATCTATTCAAAATTTCCGTTGCCAATATCATTATTTTATCCAGTATGAAGTTGCGCGAGTCCTAACATCGGATATTTTTTCCAAGAGCTTATGTTCACTGTGCTGCTATATACAATTGTTTTTGTGTTTTCAATGTCTGAAAATTTCTCTTTCGGTAAGATATCATCATGGAATTTGCGTACACTTACTTGTATCGACAGCGCTGCAAAGCATATATACGTAGTATTTGTAAGCGTCTCAAAGCCGTTCAATTAAAAATAAAGTAGTTTAACAACACTTGTATATCATAGATTGAAAATATTTCAAATTAGTTGAATCACTTCAATTTTCACATCGATTTATTTCACTCAAAATCGATTATACATTTCATAGAAATATTGATAAATATGCATTTTAACAATAGTCGAATTTCAAACTTGCTTCTCGTCTCAGTTAAAGCATCTTTCAAAGCATTCGAAATTAATTGCATTGTATTTCCAAATATTTTGATGCGAAATGTATAATCAGTTTTGAGGGTTGTAGCGATTTAGATTTTAGATTTCTTTTTTTTTTCTAAACACGGCAATCTATCATCTATTTTAGAAATTCAAACACGAACAGTTGCTGCCGATTCATCAGCAAGACGATCTCTTGACAAAAAAACAAAAGAAAATGATAAAAATCATAGACTATCAATTATAGAGTACGAATCTATTTGTTTAATTTTGTATTATTTCAAGAATAAACTCATAAATAATTTCAATGTTTAGATCATCCATTGAAGAAGGAACAGCAACAACCAGTCGACATGATCGCCCAAGTCGTGCTCGAACACGCGATGAAATCTATAAAATTTATTGTGTATTTGGTGAAAAGAAACATCCTGATAAAGATTTTTTATCTAACATATTGAATATTCTACGAGAATCAACAGAAGGTTTACTGACACATTCTGAAGTACGCTTATGAAATTATTTTAAAATTATTTTGAATGCTTTTATTTTGCAAATAGATATTTTATCGAGACAAAGGCAATCGTCCTGTGACACGTCCTCAGGTATTACGTGAGAAATTCGATGAATTTGCTTATTCGATGATAGAAAAATTAAAAAATTATGAACAACAATGTCGTACTTATCATGAAAATTCTATCAATGGTATGAAATATTCTGTTAATGATCTAGGAAAAAATTAGAAATTTTTTTTTTGTTTTTTAGAATTTCATTTTATGCTCGAACTATTCGAACGTACATCATCGTTAATGCCAAAAATTGAATTTAATGAACAAATATTTCAATCAGAAAAAGTTCTTATTGAATTTAAACAACAATTTGATATGATAATTGATAAAGAACTAAATCAATCGAATTGTGAAAAACAAACTAATCTACAACAACTCCGTCCAACATACGGTGCTCCGGCAAAGAAAAGCTATTTACAAGCGATTGACAATCAAGAAAAATTACGTCAAGAAAATATACAAAAACTAATTAGTCAACTTCGATCAACTACAATTGTAAATAATTTCTTTTATAGACATAAAATTATATAAAAAAAAAAAAAATTCCTTTTTTTTCATTTTAGCAAAATATTCAAGCAAACGCACAAGAAATAGTTCAGTTATTAGCAACAAATGCTGAACGTTTATTAATTCTTTTCGATGAAATATTGACAGCTGATGAAATAACACGAACAAGTACGACAAAAAAACTAGTTCTTAGTCGGCACTAAACCAAGTTCTCATTCTGCCTGAATAAATTATTCATCCAAGATAAGCTTTGTTCACATACTTGAACATTTTTTTGAAAATCTAACTAGTTTAACACTTGTGAAAGGATCGACGACATAGTGCCAATATAAGAGCTACATACTTCATATAGTACTGATTGAAAATGGAGTTTTGCAATTTCCTAAACTTTCTTCATAATAACAATAATATATAATTCATTTATTGAGAATAATTTTATTTTTAGAATTACCATTAGTCAAGCAATCGCTATCGGAATTGATAAAACGTCAACAAGCAGGAAAATCTCTCGAAGATTCTGAGCCAACTCCATTGATTGAACGTAAACAAGGTCATTGGCCAGGTATTATGAATCTTATTTTTTTCGCTGAATATTTAAACATGAAATTTCTAAGGTTTAACATTAATTGATAATCAATTAAATCGACGACGTGAATCAATAAAATCCAAAAAACGTTTATCCGTAGCAAGTCTACGAGAAGCATCAGCTTCGATTGTTACACAAAAAACGACATTACCACAAATTGAAACAATAGTACATAGAGATCAAGCTTACCAAGTTAGAATTTTATTCGTATTTTTAATTATTAATAATGTTTATTTTCAATCGTTTATTATAGTCATACAAAGATGTATTAATTCAATTATTAGCTTACGTTGAAGGAAAATGTTCAACAGCAATAGTCGAGCTTGAACGAGATCGATCATATTGGAATTCATCAATTGAAAAATTACAACAATTAAGAATAACTTGAAAAAAGTATTTATTTTGAAATAGTTTTTATAATGATACAATTCAAAACAAAACAAATCTTTTTATTTTTTTATTTATTTTTTTATTCATTTTCTATTTGCACAAAATAAGTATACCAACAGTGATATGAGATTATTTTTAACTTGATTTTACATTTATGTACTGAATCTCAATAGACATGAAATAAAAAAAACAGAATTGTAATATAAACCAAACACGGAGAGTATCATTTACTGATTTTAGAGCGGTCCAAATAGTAGTCACTTTATTGACTAATTACTATGTGTTACGACTAGAAATTGAGAAATTCAGTTTTAGTATGAAAGTGAATCACCGTCCCAACAAGTGCTATACTCGTTGGATGTAAAATCTAAGAACTATTCATTGTCTAATAATCAGAATATTTTTTTATGATTTATAATGATCATTGTTCATTAATGGGTTCATATTTTTAAAATACGGCTCTTCATTATCATTGTTCATACTACTCGTAGAACAAAATAAATGTTTTATATTCAATCACCATAAATCACAAATATTTTTATTAGATTTGTATCAATTGAACTGTTTACTTTTTGTGTACTCAAAAAGTGAGTACACTCTAGAATCGGTCAGTGTGTCCGGCCGTAGGCACGATAACTTGCGAAAGGAGAGTCAGACCGTGATGAAATTTTCCACACAGTTCAATCTCATGAATATCTCGGTCGAGTTCGAAGATGAGAAGAATCCCTCAAGAAATGGTTGAGTTATCGAAAAAATTGTCATTTTTGACCAGGCCATCCCTGAGGAGGAGTACAGGGAATTTTTTTCAAAAAATAAATCTTTCTCAGAATTATTCACAACATATATAAATCGACTCAGTTTTTAACGCTGATTCCGAATNCCCCACCCCCCCCCTTCACGGATGGTCTGGTCAATAATGACAATTTTTTCGATAACTCAACCATTTCTTGACGGATCTTTCTCATCTTCGAACTCGACTGAGACATTGATGAGGCAGAACTGTGTAGAAAATTTCATCATGATCTAACTCTCCTTTCGAAAGTTATCGTGTAAGCAGACGGCCGGACGGACGCACTGACCGATTCTAGAGTGTACTCACTTTTTGAGTACACAAAAATATTAAGATTCTAGCATCATCAGCCGCATAAGACTTTTCTGTGACAAATAAACATTTTGATCCTCATGTAAAACTAATATTTATTCAAGATAAATAAAAAAAAACATGTCGAAAAATCCACGAAAGCTTAATGCTCAACATAAAAAGACAGATCTTGTCATGCAATGATTTTTCAGTGGTTCATTTATTTATGGTTTCTATTAAACCTTCATAAAAAAAAACAGTAGCAAAAGAGTTTACGCAAATTAGCCATAGACGATGGATGAGAAAGAAATTGCTCACATACACAGAAAATCGTACTTACCAAGTAGTTGAGTAACCAGGAATTTGTCAAGTGGCCGAGTGGCAAACTAACAATTTTTCAAAAAGATTGTAGTTGGCAATGCGTAATATTTTCTTTTTTTTAAATTGTTTTTTAAAAAATGACTGTTAGTTGGGAAGTGCTCAAGCATATCCCACTCTGGTTATACCACTTTCGTAATTGATAAGATCCATTCGACTAGAAATAATAATGGCATTGTTGTTTACACGTAGGTAACTATGGTCTTTGGGATCAATTATTAGCAGTCGAATGGATTTATGAAAATGCACATTTATTTGGTGGAGACCCTAATCGAATAACTCTAGCTGGTCATTCAGCAGGCGCTGGAAATGTTATGTTAATCCCGGGTAAAAAAAAATGTTTTCTATTTTTCTTTACTAATTTTCGGATTATTAATGTAGCAAGTCGATATTCTCGTGGTATGATACGGCGTGTTATATCACAATCGGGTACTGGCTTAGCTCCGTGGAGTATAAATCGTACTCCGATGAAATTACTTGATCGTTTCGCGCAAGATCTTTGTTGTAATCGTTCAAATGGAAAAGACTCGATTGATTGCATTAATACATTATTAGAACACAATGTTCAAGATATTTATCAGCTTCAAATCAGTCTTACCATCGGTATAGAATAAATTTTCGGGAAACAAAAAAGAAACTAAATATTCTCTGTCTATTTAGCTGATGACAATCCATATCCTGTTATTGATAATGATTTTATAAATGATACGATTGAGAACATTCTGCAAAGTGATATGTTTAAAAATATTGATTTTTTAACAGGGGTTACATTAAACGAAGGCCTCTATTTTGCTGAATACCATGTAAAACATTTCTATAATGAACTACAACATCAAACACATCCAATGAATAAATCTTCATTCAAGAAAAAATGTCCAAGTATTCCTTCGACTTCAACTAATACAATATCACCGGATACTCAATTGGAAGAACGACAAACGACAAAAATGAAATATGTAACTGAGGAAACGATGGATAGTGAACGACAACAAACTGAAAATGAATTAGCAGCAAATAATGATTTATATACGTATCTGGAATATTTTACTACGTTAAATTATATTGAGCAATATATTGATGCAAATTTTCAAAATGGAAAATGTTTTATTGATGAAGTCAAAAAGAAATATGAATTACCAGGTAGTGAAAATAGAACAAGAAAAATGAAGGAAAAAAGACGATTTTTCTTTTAGCTAAAGGAAATTCAACACATCGATTAAAACTTTTCATTGATCTGGTTTCTGATTTAATGTTTAACTTTCATATGGTTCATTGTTTAAATTCACTTGCTAAAGTACCGAATAGAAATGCATCAAGTTATGCATATGTTTATTCACATCGGCCCACATCGAGAGTACAAAGTGCATATCGTGATCAAGTCAAACTATTACCACAAGCTATTGGACATTTCGCTGAATTAGGTAATTAAATTAATATTATCTTTGTTTACATTCTAAAATATACTATTGCGTTGATATACGTATATACGAGATTAATACTCTTGATGACAAATAGACTGATCTAATATGATTAATCTTGTAAACATAGAAATCGGTATAAGAACATTTGTTTTCTTATTCTGTCGAAATTTAAGAAACAATATCAGTCTTCACGCGAGTTGAAAAGAATGTTTTGTTTTTCCCATTAGTTAATCCTATTGCTGCAGTATCTTGAAGAGCGAGAGGTTAGAAGAACTATTGGTACTGATCAATTGGGCTTTGCGTTAGGGTCTTATTCGATATTATTTTCAAGAGACTGTTCATAAGGAACGTTCAGATAAAAGCTTCATTTATTGAATCCTGACTTTTCTGGTCTGACTCTTGAAAAATCTCCAAGCGGGCTAGAACTCATTCGGACATTCCTAGCAACTCGAATGGTTCAGAATTAGTTTTTGCCTCTTGAGATCCTGCCTTTTCTCTTCACGCTCTTCTTAAATGACTGCTAATGATAGACGAATTCAAAATTCATCAAGTATTGATTTGTTGCTTGTTTCTCTAGTATGAGAATTTCAGTCAATCTAAAAGTTAAATATATTTATACTTTAATAGATTATGTTTTTGGTGTTCCATTAGCGAATAATTACTCTCGCATACATCAAAATGTGAATAAAAAGTATTATAATTATTCAGCTGACGAGGAAAATTTTAGTCGACACTTAATTCATTATTGGTCGAATTTTATCAAGACTGGGTTCGTAGAAAATTTCTATGTTGAATTATATATTTTTGAATTTTTACTAAATAGAGATCCAAATAAAGGTTCATTTTCTATTGATACATTTGATATTCAATGGAAACCATATACAACAGACGAACATAATTATTTATATTTTCATATGAATTTTGTTCATCTCGAATATAATTATTTTGATGAAATGTATAATTTTTGGCTTGGCTGTTTTCAAATTGAATCTCGTGGTAATTGCCAAAAAATTAAAATTAGACAATATTTCATATCATTTATATTCTTATCGATTTTTCTCTTAACTCTTCTAATTTTTTTTATACTATGGAAATATTGTCAAAAGAAAAAAGCTGGACGTTTATTTTCTCATCGATCACCAGCAGCAGCTTTAGTCCCATATTCTAATAGTGTATCAACATAGAATAGACACTTTTTCTCTGTCTTTTCTTTTGCGCTTCGATGACTTATAATAATAAAACATTTACGTGAAAAAAAAATGTCGTCTTGTTTTTTTATTCATAAACAATTCTTGTTGATGCTGGTTGCTTTGATTTCGGTTTCGGTTTCGGTTTCGATTTCGATTTATCCTCATTTCTATTACTTGATGAATCATCTCCAACATAGACAGCACGAGTTTTAGGTGGGTGCCGTGTAGTGTGTCGTTGTTCCTCATCATCATAATCATCGTCGTCATCGACATATTCGACATAACGTTTTGATGAACTTCGCTCATCAACAAATTCAACTTCATTGCCATGTTCATCAACATAAACAATTTCATCTTCATATTGAATAGGTCGGTCGTCATCATCATAGACGATTTCAGAGCGACGCGAACGCGAACGACGAACTGGCTTAGGAGTTTCATCAAGAAAAACATATTCTTTTGGTGGTGCTCGTCTCATTACTGATGGACGACGTGGGGACTCATCATAATAGGCATCATCATATTCGTCATCATAATAATAATCATTGTCTCGATAAGGAGTTTCACGTAGAACTCTGACCATTCGTTGAGGTCTTCGTCGTCTTTCATATGAAATGTCCTAAATAAATTTCAAACCTATTTTCCTTTGTCCTATTCGAAAGAAGAATAACATTAAAAAAATCTACGCCCATACGGTCTTTTTTTTTTAAGGTAAAGAAAATATAAAATCGAACGTCATCAATGATTTTCACTTTTGAAATTGCACGGTTTTTGTTATTTTTATTGATAGACGAACAACAATCGTTAGCATTTCTTCCTTTCTTTTTTCTTTTTTGTTTGTCGTACGCCGTGAGTCTATATTCATAGTAGAAAAGAAACCGAAGTTTATAAAACAATTTGTTGCTACTATAGTGATGCCATTGCTAATGAAAAATAGGATACAAGGATATGTTGCATATTAACAAGAAAGCAAAGTTAGAATTTTAAATTTAGATGTGTGAGATTATGTGATTAAAATAGCTAAGCAATTGAGATGATAAACAATTCATTCTTTCATCGCTTACCGATCGATAATCATCATGAACATAACGAACTGGTTGTTTTCGTCGTTCTACGTCATAATTATCATTTGTTTCATGAATACGTCGTTGCTTTTGAAGTGCATTGCGAGGTAAGGAAATAGGTCTTCGGTTATTAGTAGCAGGAGGAGAAGAAGACCGATGACTACGGTTATGTTTAGAAATGAAGCGTAAAGGTTTGTGACGCGCATCTTCATCAAACGATGATTTACGATTATTGTGCATGATTCGAGGGGGTTCATTTCTACGCATACTTCCTGCATATCTATTATTAAACATTGGCGATGAATTTCTAGCAAAACGTTCTTTTGGTGGTGCTCGTCGAAAATCTGGTTGCATGAAATCATCTTTTGATGTTCGAGGATTTACTTGATATCGTTTCGCTGGTAATGGATAGATATCGGAACGTGGTGATGGTTGTTTGACAGCGGTGGGTCGTTGTGGCGGTGATTTACTAGTCGATTTCGGTCCAAATTGTGAGTTGAAACCGTACTCTTTTTTGCCTCGAAACTGATCGCGATAAGTTTTTGACATGTTAAGCTTTGTTGGTCTTTCTATTTCTCGTTTTCTTACACAATAGCCACTTGAGCGAGTAAATTTGGCTTACTGCTTTCATGTACTACTCCGTTTGCTTTTTTTAATGACCCAGAATTGCTTTTTTTAGTATTTGACGAAAAAAAATCCCGATGTTCTCTTCTCGTTCTCTTTCTCAATACAGTTTTCTTTCTTTTTGTTGTTTTTCTTTTTTAACTTATTTTTGAACAATAAATGAAACGAATCTTGTACATAGTTACGCAAAACTCAAATGAAAGAAAAAAGTGTTTTACCTGATTAGCACGAGTTACAATCTGCGGTTGTACAATACGTTTTGTTCGTGTTGTTGGATAATCGTACGGATAATTACCGGCACCACTTGATATTGGCATAACTTCAATTTCTTCAATAGGATCTTCGTCAATAAGTAATACTGGATTATTCTTAACGGGCACTGGATAATCACTCGATAGGTATTGATTGTCGTCAACGCTTTCCAGTGGTGTTAATGTTGTTATTTGTGTTGCGCAATTCTGTTAATAAATTTATTCATTCGTATTATAAATTTTTGCTTTCTTGAGAAGTATAAGTAACGAATTCAGACTTATGAAATCAAATCTAAAGTGATTGAAACCGGGCAAAAGACGACGATAGATCATTTGGTATAATATGCTCTATGAGAGTAGCATATGGACCATTAACTGACATATTAGTATGATACTTAATCGATCGGCTATCTACTGTAGATATAATAGTGATAATGCAAGGCAATATCCCTTGTGGGATATAAAACAGAAGTTTAGAGAGTACATCACGTTGGGTAGTATCCTCGACGGAGAAGAAATTAAAATGCTTTGCAATCGAATTTTCTGATCTAAGATGTTCTATTGTGAAGTACTCTTGTATATAAAAGAAAACAACAAAGATTTTGTACTGACAGAAAAAGTACATACGATATATTGCGTTCAAACACAAGGCCTGACTTACATAATATAAACAACAGATATTATGCAATATGCTGTATGCAAGATAGTCGTGAATTAAAATTCTAAAAGAATATTTTCCCGGTAAATGTTTACTTGTATGACATATTTTAAAATGCAAAGTTAAAAAATACTATTTCTTATGCAACTCGATGAGTTCTATGCAAACACAACGAAAAATGTTAACCATATTTATCTTCTATATATTGTAACTATCGAAATTTCTCTATTATCTTCTACAATGGAGATATCACGGTCAGCTTATATTTTTGATATGTTAATTTTCCTAGGAGACCTTCACATTACCAAGTTATGTCGAATGTTATTTGCGAACGTTGCAAAGTATTTAATATGTTACTACTAGGTATTCTCGATATTTTCTATGTTTATATATAATGAATATTTACTTTGTCGTATTGAAATGGAAAACCTTATCGAAATTGACGTCAGCGATGTTTTTCCAAGTAATTAATTTTTTAAACATAAAAAATATCGAGTCGTTAAACAATCATTCAGTTAGAGAAAAAAAAAGAAAAGTTATTTTTCTGTCGTAAGAGAAAAAAATCGATTTCTTTTGAACTTTCAACGATTGATTAACTGAGAAGAAATCTTAATGTTGACTTACACGAGTTTCGGGTGAATGTCTCGATAACGATGAATACGTAGGACAACTCGACAGAGAACGAGACGTATCTAAATCGGTTTGAAAACGTCGTAATGGCAATTGTTGTTGCTTTTCAGCTGCTAACTTATGAAAACGGTTCGGTGCTGATTGTGAAATTTGGTTGACACGCTTATGATGAATAGTGTTCTCTGTTTCTCTGATTGTGTTAACAGGCAAATGTGGCTGTAATCGATCACTTACCAGTTGTCGTTTTGTATTTATTTTTTGCATCGCAATACTTAAAAAAAAGGAATGATTTTCTTTTTGACTCAATTTTTATAAAAGTAAAAATAACTTTGAACAAATCGGTTTTTTTTCTTTAACAACATTTAGAGTTTACAGAAGTTTTTTTTCTTGTTTCGTTCGTTTTTATCAATTAGAAAATCACAGTAGGATTTTAATTATCTTGATTTTTTATTCGTTGTTAGAACAAATGAAGAAAAAATAATATTAATATTATGAAAGAAAGGTGTGCATTATGTGGGTAGAAAAGAAATAAAAACAAGGCTGAGCGTGCATTTTATTTGCTTTTTTCATATTAAAAAGAAAGTGATCGAACAAAACACAAATATGTTCGCATCGTCTAATCTTAAATCGTCTACTCGTCTTCTTTGCCACGTTTGATCTGTCGTGTAAATGCAGCGTAGTCAAGATTGCCTTTTGGATCAAGTGGAGCACCTTCGAGCATTTGAGTAAACTAAAATCATTCGAATAAAACCAATAGAAAGGAAAAGAGCTTCAGCTTTTTTTTGTTTACCTCTATATCACTTAATCCTAAAAATTAAGAAAAAGAAATAATTTATTTATAAAGAAAATGTTTGAGAAAAATCAGATTTACTGTCTTCTTTGCGTCCTTCACCAGTAAGGATTTCTCGTAGGCTACAAGATGATAATAATAATAAATTAATGAATTATTCAATAATTGAGCAAATATTAAACCTGTGTTGGCTGATAAGTCCGGTTCCTTCTTTGTCGAAGTTTTTCCATCCATTTAAGATTACATTTTCTTCATCTGTACCATTTAATCGTTCACCGAATAAGGTTAATAACATAGTGAAGTTGACTGCACCTTTGGCTTCGTCGATCATTGCTTTTAATTCGGCATCTTTTGGTGCTTTTCCTAAAGAAATGAAATCGTCGATTTCGAACTGAAAATTCAACGCTCTGTTTGTCTTTTTTACCAAGTGAAGAATAGACTTCTTTGAGATCATCTATACTGATTGTACCATCACGATCTTGGTCCATAAGGTTGAATGCCTAGTGAAGAAAGATTTTGGTTTTTTGAAGATAATATTATTAGATTTTGAATTCATACTTCTTTAAATTCTTGAACTTGTTTTTGATCGAACATTGAAAATACATTACTGGTGGCACGTGTAGCCTTCTTTTTTCCTTTTTTCTGTTAAACAAAAATATATTATTTGATTCATCTTAATCCAATGATCAAATTATTGCTTCTTTGGAAATCAAATTGTGAATGGTATTGAAAAACAAAAGAAGGTGTTAACATAACAAAGTACGTCTTTAACATGCGTAATATAATATGAGAAATCCCAGAGAGCAACAATCAAACATTTGTATGTGCGATAGAAAGAATACTGAAGATGTGTATGTACGAACGAATGTTACGATGCCATGTAAATATAACTTACTTCCTAGAAAAATCAGCAGATGATTTAATACAATAGTTAAGATTTATTACATCAATACTCACCTCGGCCATTGTTTGAGCTTAATGAAGACTAAGAGAATGAATCTAGTTAGATGTTGTATGTAATACCGAACGCAACTTCTTACTGGCGAATATAACAAGCAAAGGAACACTCAGATTTATCTCCTCCGATCTCTCTCGCTCTCTCTCTTTTTATTCTTGCTTCTCGCTGTTTTTGTTGTTGTTATTGATGGAAAAAATTGCCTTTTTGGGTGATATGTTACGCTAAACGTAAGAAAAAGAGAGAAGAATAATGGCTAACCGCTGTGGATATTAACGGAGGTTTTTTTTATCGCTCTCTCTGTGTGTGAGATTTGTTAGCGCATGTCTGATTCTTAACATATACATTTTTCTGATAGAAAGCGTTGATACATACTGCGATCTAAAACGATCTTATCTATCTTCCTGCCGCGGGTACACCAATAGACAAAGAGACCTAATCTGGTCATGGTGAAAAAGATTTGCTCTTTCTCATATGTAGATATTATTCGAGACATTCTATTTAGTTTGTATATTATTAGCCTTAATAATAGGAGACAAAAGAAGGATAAAGAGAAATGAATGATTTTCCTTGAAACAAATAGGAAAAATCGTTAGCATAATACAATAATAGATTTTTTGTCTTGTCGCAGTTAGATCTTTATTCCTTGATGCGATGTCAGTTAGCCATATTTTCGAGGCAAACGGGACATATTGACAAATCAATAACTGAGAGCAAATTGCAAGTCATCATAGAGCAATTACATGCTTCGAATTCAAATAAACTTAGTTTGTTTGTTTTAGTCCAAATAGACTTTTTTTTTAGTTCGGTTCTTTTTATTCTTGTTTCAACAACAAAACATCAAACAAATACTCTACTAACTATCTGACCAAAGTCAATACGATGCGAACAATAGTATGAATGTTATTATAAATCTGTTGCTGATGTTTGTAGTAAAATTCTTCGAAGATTTTGAAGATTAGATAAAAAATCCATATATGTCGAATATTCATTAAGATTCTGGTTTCCATAAATATCATTAAGTTTGTCAAGAACGGGTATCAGAGAAACAAAATCATTGCGACACGCATCTGCTAATGGTATCAATGCCGCTAGTATCTTTTCAATCTGGTCGTATTCGTTAAGATCAATTGATATTAGATGGTGAGAGATATATGAACACCAATTATGCTTGACTAGTTGATCACGAATATCAATACTAAACAAACAAATAGAAAATTTAATGCAAATCTATTCATCACGGGAGATAAATCAATTTATAGAATAAGTCAGACAACCAGAGATATCAACAACGTAAGAATGCTACGAGAAAGTCTTTAGATTTCATTCGATTATTATCGACTACGATGATAGATTATCTTGTATAGATAATCAGCCAAGCACTTATAATGAATTGTTGTTCTTTGAGTTGTATATTTCCTTAAGACTCGTGAAGGCGTATAGATCGAAACAAAAGTCTCTTTACTTCTGGTTCTCTCAACCAACATGTTACTTGGACTCTTGAGAATTTATGCTTCATCAGGCTTCTAGATCTAATGAATTTTTGCGATCTGACTTGTACATAAATTACAATGAGCTATTGTTTGTCTGTTGATTTTATAACTTTACGAAGTGTTTGTTGATTGAGGTTTACTATTATGTCTTATTCAATACATGATTATATCAATAGTTTTTTTTGTCTACTTAGTTCTATTTTAAATTCTTCTAGTAGAAAATTTAATTCTGAAATTCACTGAAGAACGTTTCGTCATCAAAAGAAATAACTACAAAAGATTAAAGACGTCGACAAATCATCAACAAATTTATATGGCAAGCAGCTGAAAAACAGTCCGTTTGTAATGATGTGTCTGTCGATATACGATGTCCTTTATTTCCAGATTTATAAACCTCAAGGCAAATATAGATACCATTCATAAGAACTCAGTAATTACCGATGCGATTGAGATACATATAGTTTATATGTATGAACACGCAAATCTTCCGATTCCTATGCCGTATAATAATTGAAATTCGAGAAGAAATTCCTATGTGTGCATATCATTCTCGATGTCGTTTTCTTATCAACGATACATAGAAATTTGAGCTGAGAAACTCGTCTGGTTTCCGTGTTTTGTTTACATATAATATCTCAATGATATTTAACTAATGTAAATAGATCTTTTTATTATGATTTATTCTCACGAGATTGAAACTACTTTTTGTCGATAGTCTATAACTTACTTTTCATAGACGAGTCGTTTATCATCCGTGGCTTGATCCTATCGTATAGAAGTAAACATAAATTTTGTTTCTGTATCTTTTATTCTTCTTACTTTTTCTATAATAAGATCATTCATAAGTTGAATAACTCTTAATTTCATTTTATTATTCGAATCGGTTGAATCGACAATTTTAATTATCGTTTCAATTCCACCATGTGCAAGAAAACTTCCTTGTGCTTGCGGAAAATTCCGTAACAATGTTGATAATGTAAAAACTAGACGATATTTCAATGTATTATCATTTCCACTATTTAATAAATGCAATAGATATCGAACTAAACCAAGATTTAATCCTTTCGATTGAACTTTTGGATTTCTAAAACAAAACGCTTTTAACAAACATTTTCACTGGAGTCTTGCTTACCCTTGAAAAGCTGCTCCTAATGCAAGACTTGCTAAATAACGATTATCATTGCTTGTATCAGTTGTATTAAGTAATTGAATAAGTAATTCAAGGCCATGCATATCACCAAAAACTATTGCATTGTCATACTAAAAGACTCAACTAAACTATCGAAAACTAACGCAAAGAAAATAATACGAACTTGATGAAGATAAAATTCTAGATCCGTTAGAATTGTTTTTCTATTCTCTTCATTGTCAGTTTTACCCAATTGTTTAATAAGTTTCGTTAAAATTTCGTGATCAGTTTCAATTTTCATATTCATTGATTCCAAATCTTTTTTTAATTCATCATATGGACGAAACTTTCTTTTAACATCTTCTACATGTTTCTTGAAGAAAAGATAATATTTTAAAATGCGAAATATTTTTAGATTATTTAAATCTTACTTCATCTGTAACAACATCATCTTTACTAAAATCAAGATTTGAAAATGCTCGTTGTAGATTTTCTTTACTAATTCGTTCGTGTTCATTATCAGGATCGGTTGGAATTAGTACGAGATCGTTTGATGATGGTTCTTGTTTACTATTTTCAAGCAATTTAGCTTCGCGAAGACCGCTTTGTAAATTTAATCGAATATGAAGACCAGGTGGTATAGCTTGACCTAAATAAAAACATACTTAATAATAAATTGTGGAATTAATTCGCGATTATAGTCTACCTTCTTTAACAGTTTGCCATTCGTTTGTTGGAACGAATTCTTCGGTATTTTTAATGAAACTTTCTAAAAGTTTAAAATGTATATTTTACAAAATGGAAAAACGCTGAACGTTGATCTACCTTCAGATTGTTGTGTTCTTAATGGCACCGATGATAATGATTGAACAGTTAATATAAGAATAATGCATAATAGATATGTGATAGAAAATGAATTGTAAAGCGACATGATTTATTGATTATGTTTGAATCGCTCACGAATAGATTTTGAAAATAAAAGAAATTTGAAAGCTATTTTTACTATTTATATCGATAGAAGAAAATAAGATGCTGCAATGACAGCAGTATAGTTAGTTCATGAGAAAATTCAACGTGGCAAGCAAAGCATTGGTTATTCGGTTTTTTTTTGCTGCCGATGATATATTTCACTGATGACTCATAGAAATTTGACGCGTACCAATAGTCATCCGAGACGATAGAGCTGCATTTGATTTCAAATTCATTTATTTCTTCAAACAAATTTCACATCTAATTTTTCCACTTTCACAACAAAAGTTTTTCAATTCAATGGGTTGATGACACAGGTCACATACAAAACAAGTATTATGAAATTGTTTTCCATCGAATTGACTTAAAATTTCTCCGGTTAAAAATGGTTCTTTACATATCATACAATGTGGTCCGTTATCAATATGGCAATTTAAACAATAAAGACATCCATCTTCTTGCCGAAAGAATCCTTGACTAACAAGTAATTGTTTACAATTTCCACAACGAAAACAATCCGGATGATAACAATCATATTGATACATTGATATTTTTTCACCGAAAAGAAAATTTTTTCCACATTTTTTACATTGATCATTTAATAGTTGAGATGATTTTAATGTCAGTATGCATGGTTCAATATCACTCATGCATTGTTGGCAATATAGAAAATTATTTTTTGAATAGAATATTTGATTGTTTAATGTCAATCGACATTTTTTACAAATAAAACTAAAACAAAAAACGAGCAAACATCATTTTATAACCACGAGTTTGGGTTCGGCAAGACTAAGATTATGTTTAAATTTAAAGAACTCAAGCCTACGACCTACTGAGGATGTTTAATATCTTGACGGCCCATTGAAACGACAGGAAATCTTAATCAGTAGAGCATAATAGACTCGAAGTTTAACTCCTAGTCTTAATATCAAGTCAAACGTTTTACCATTCATTATGATATTCTTGTCGTTGAAATTCAATAATAATCGATGTAGGGGTAAATGTTTGATGGCATTCGCTACACGATGAACATCGTTTAAAATAGCATGTTTCACAATAAACTTGTGGATTAGATATCTAGATTAAAAATATTCAATGAATAAAAAACTCTCTATTTAAAATTACATCTAATTGAAGTTTTTCATCGAGATAAAACGATTCATGTGATAGTTGCTTTTTACAGTCAACGCATAGAAAACAACGAAAATGATATTGATGCTGTTTAAATAATGCAACATTTTCTTCGTGTTGAAAGCAATCATTACATTTTTTACAACTAAAAATTTAATTCAGAAAAAGTGATTCCAAATAAATTCGTTTTTGGTTAACTCACACGTTAGATTTTATAGGTACATTAAGCATAAATAAAAATACGAATGAAAATTTATACGAAAATGATTTGAGTTATTTCCCGCAAAAGATCGATTTATAAAGATTTCAAAATAATTTTCAAAAATCAATACATTCTGGTATGTACGGCTATTATCAAAGCAGTTAAGACAAGTAGCTTAACATGTGTAGGTATATAAACACTTATGGGCTTAAAAGTATATAGCCAGAAGCATCTACCAGTAAACTTGAAGAAGGTCAAGTGCTATTGAATTCTTCGCTGTGTTTTGAAGATAAGTTTACGTCTGATAAGTAATTAATGAACAGAAAAAAATTTGATCGACAATGCAAGACACGATTATTACTTAGTATCGAATCGTACTCGTCGGATAACAGGGAGCAGTATTACGACTGATTCCAAGCTTTTGGGACATCATCGTATTGCTATAATTAACTCTCAATTAAACTAATGAAACTGTAAAATCATTCGTGCTTATGATGCATCACACCCGAGGCATGCTTAACACTAAAAAAAAGAGAGATATACCGGTATTTCAAAGTGTCATTTGTTAATCATTCTCGAAGAGTCTATGCTTAATTGACAATAATGAGGAGTCTAGCGTTAAGGAGTTTCTTTATCACATGAAAAAATGATACACTATTCGAGTTCAACCTAAAGAAGGAATCATCTGAATTTTACTCATAATCTAATTACATATAAATGATAAAAACCTTTCCAAGACAATAAACCACAGGCCAAACTTGGAGCCCAAGATCTCTCTTCATTGTATAGAAATAAGCATTGGCATGATTGAAAAAATATCCAAGCTGAATCGTGGAGCATTCATGTGTATAACATCTGCATTATATCAATTTACAGGAGATAAGTGCAGCCATTGAGAAATAAATAAGTGACACTAATTTCATGATTGCATTTTATGCTATAATTCATTATTTAAGAACACTGTAGTATTATGAGAGTTATGTATGAGTAATATTTCAAACATTTTGAATCCAGGCGACGATTAAGAAATTTCTTAGGATTCTTGACGGATTGTTAAGAATAAGTGGCAGGAGAAATCTTATATATGTGTATCGGAATTTCTTTGAATATTTACAGTATCATTGAATAATAATAATCGTCTGATAAAAATAATAAGTTGTACTTTACTCAAAATTTCATCAATATCTCCGCTTGAAATATATAAATTATAAATCTCCCGATGTCTCCTATGGTGAATAAGCGTAACGAAGTACAACAAATTCTATATAGAGTATCATGACTTGTATCAAATATTTTTTCTCTTGTTCTTTTTGACTTCTATTTTTGTTGAGCAGCGGATGAGTGTTTACAATTAAAATACCCAACGGACATGTTAACGGTTCGTTAAAGTTCAATCTAACAATGATTATCAAGTATGTGATTCATTGAAAAGGTCTTCGTGATATATTACTACTTTCCAGGTCAAATGCGAAACACTGAATATCCTCTTTTTCAAGTATTATTCCGATGAGCAAAATTTTAAACAAACGAAAAAGTCATCATCAAGAAAACCTTCATTCAAAACTTCTTTGCATTGAATGATCATCTCATATTTGTATTTGATTGAAAATATAAAAAGAAGAAGATACGACGATACAGAAGAAGAAAATGAAAATGAAAAAAAAAAGAAAACGACGCTCAATATCATACAATGAATAAATGTCCACCAAAACAAAAAACGATGACCGAAATTCTAACCACGATTAATTGTTCAATCTAAAATAAAAACAAAAACAAATATGTGATTGTTATGAATAACACATATCACAGCTCATCATCACCTCTAGTTCTTCAAAACAAATTCGAAAACACTCTCACGCATTCTATTCAACAGTTTAATCTCATGAGACAGATAGAAAAAAACATATCTTACCTCTCTTTCTTTTATTTTCTACGGTAATATTGGTGAATACCAAATATGTGATGCACCGCCATATGGTGACATTGACGGCATATTCTTCATATGATCTAAATCTATAGGAATTCGTTAGAAATCTAATTCAGTAAATTTTTATACCTGATGATAGATTCGACGGTATACTGGTTGAATAATTTGGACAAGAACGATTGTAAGGCGCACTGAATGGGCTTAATCCATCATAGCCGCGTGCTGAATCTATGATAAAAATAAAAATTGAATTATACGTATATTAATTTTTCTCTCTCTAGAAAACAGTCCTTAAGGGTATAGACATTTCTATTACTATTATTAAATTATCCTATACAACTAACTTACTAGGAAAAAATGTTGGATATGCACTAGAACTACATGCTACAGCAGCAGCCATTTGTCCCGTAAAACCAGAGCCAAATGCTCCATATGGATTATGATGATGATGTGGATGATGTGGATGATGATGATTATTAGGATCATTATTTGGTGGAAGTACTTGAGGATAAAGAGCCGATGACGATGACGATGGTTGAATTTGTTGTGACAATGAATGAGGTGGTGTTGAACCTGATGGACGCATATTTTCACCCATGTCATTGATTAATTGTTGCTGTTGTTGATGCTGTCGGCGACCTTTAACTTTATCTTCGCGACGATATTTAGCACGACGATTTGAAAACCATACCTAGAAAATTAAAAAATTAATTTTTTCGTTTTGAAAAATCTTCGAGTCGTCCTACTTGAATTCTTGCTTCTGGTAAATTAATTTTTTGTGCAAGTTTTTCTCGTGCATATACATCTGGATAATGAGTGCCATTAAAAGCTGAATTAAAAATTCTCGCATAGAAAAAAAACGATTAAAACGTTTGTGTCTATACCTTGTTCTAAAGCATCAATTTGTTCTTGTGTAAATGATGTTCTATTACGCTGTAACTTGCGTTTTAATTTTAGACGTTCTTGTATTGCTTCTTCATTCTCATTGATGCCTTCATGTGCAGCTGTTTTGCTGTCATTACTTGCATCAGTTAAATCTAAAGAGACGAAGAAAAAAATATCCTCTTCTTTCTTTTCCTTCTTTTTATCGTTTACAATTGAACGAATAAAAACAATGTCCTCAACGATGTGGAAAAATGTACGGATTAGAAAAAAGATTGAACATCTGTAAAATGCTGACACAAGTTTCTTTTTCTTTAGAAAGAAAAAAAGAAACAAACATCCAATAAGATATTTTCTATAATTGATTTCGTGTACATCGGAAGAAGAAAAAACGAATTATACTACTGATTTTGATTACCTTGAAATAAATCAGTAGCTCTAGGGCATTAGTAATTTATTTGAAATTAATATAGACCTCTTATCTATATCTTGGAATTTAAGATTTTAGCCGGCTAGATTTTGAATTTTCACGAATGCTTACCTCCTAAATCTTGATGATGTCCATGATTAGCATCATGTGCTTGATGTTTATATTCTGAATTTGAATCACCACTAGTTGAATATGCTGTCGATGGTGGTTGTGCACCAGGATGATGAACATAAAATGAAGATGACGATGATGATGATGGCCATGGTTGACTTTGTAAAACGCGTAATTTGCTATCAACAGAATAGTATGTGTCATGACTTGTCATTGAGTCTAAAGATTTCGAACCAAGATTTCTTAGAACTCGATTTATTGAAGACACCTAAAATTATC